TTCTTTTTTTTGAATTACTTTTATAATATGAAAAAAAAGATTGAAATGATTTGAAATATATGTACAAAAACTTTTTTCCAATGTTCAAGATAATTTTTATTTTTTTTTAAAGAGAAAATTAAAATATGTCATATGTATGTGTTTTTTACATGTTTATGTGTTTGGATTATATATTTATATTCATAAGGAATTGTGATTGGAATTGTTATTGCTTAAGAAAACTGCTTATTTTTTTTTTTTTTTTTTTTTTTTTAATTAGAATTTTCCTAATGAAAAGTGTAATATATTAAACTTAAAAGAGCGATAGATATGTGAATATGTTTCCATATGTTACTATAAAATAGCAAATTTTTTTCTTTTTTTTTTTTTTGAATTTTGAGGTTTTAAATAACCTATTGTTATGAAGTAAAAAAATATACTTTATTCATATTTAAAATAAATGAATTTTAGGTAAATATGAAATATTTTTATAGTGTTATGGAGTAATTTTATTTTGAATTTTGCTCATTATTAAAAATGCAGAAAGCATATATCTATTTGAAAATATTTTTTTTTCCTTATTCTCTTTTTTTTTTTTTTTCATTGCATTTTATAAATGTTAGTTTTAGAAAAAGTACCCAGCTGATTTAAAGACATACCTATTTCATTACAGATATGATAAGTAGCATTTTTTCTTTTCTTTTTAATTATCGCTTTTTTTTGGCTATGGGAAGAGTATCATGGACGAAATCAATTAAATAAATATTAAATTTGTTAAAAAAAAGAAAGGACTTTGAAGAGATAGATGAAAGAAATATTTCAATAATTTCAGAATATAGCATAAGTAAATATGGCGGCAGTAATCAAAGCTTTATATTATTGAATGTTTCTACTTACACTAAAGAAAAAACTGAATATTTTTAAAATATAATAAATTTATGTAGTAATAATGATAAGGGTAGTAATAATAAAAGTAATAATTTTATGTAATAGTAATGATAAGAGTAGTAGTAGTAAAAATAATAGTAATGATAATAAATAACGATAATAATAACAACAAAAATAATAATATATAGATGATTCAAATGAGAAATGCTTATTAAATAAATGTAAATGCGAATTATGCGATAATCATTTCAATATTTTTGCTAAAAAATTGAATAAAATCTAAAATTCATATGCATGATTTATCAAATGACTAAGTTTATTAAAATTAAATAAGCAATTAAATTTTGGTCCAAAAAAAAGAACCTTTTTGTTTAATATTTTTTTAAAAAAAAGGTGAAATAAAAGCAAAAAAAAAAAAAGAAATAAAAGAGATGAATGAAAGTTAATTTAATACAGTGAGACAAAATATGTATCAAACATATATAGTTTGTATAAAATAAATCAAATTTTATTAATATTTAAAATAATGAAATTTTGCATATTTGAAAAAATTTCAATTTAATCAGACATCTAAAAATCATTGATCAATGACAATTATGTTACTAAAAAAGAGAGAATTATTTGTAGCTAGCACTTAAAATTTTTTATTTACACTTATCGCTTAACAATTTTCAATGCTCAAACAAAATTATACTTAGTGGTCTAATTCAAGCGTAAACAAGAAATAGCTTTTTCTTTTTTTTCTCTCTCTCTTTCTCTCTCCATATATATATATATATATAAGGTAATGGTAAAGCATTAATAAAAATATTTCAATAGGAATAGTGAAGAAAGAAAAGAGAAAGTATTTAAATTTTATTTAAAATTTGTTTAATTATATTAAAATAATTAGTTCTAACCATTCTACACAAATAAATCATTCATTTTAACTTCTCTTTTTTTAACCTTTATATCTTTCTATTCATTTTTACTTCTAAGTTCATTTGAAGATGTATTATAGTCTGCTAAGTAAATATTTATCATTTTACGACAAAGAATTTTTTTTCTGAAAATAATTTTCGAAAAATATTTAGCTTAATGAATAATTTTTATCATTCATTGCTAAAATTTATTAAAAATGTTTCATGAAAGTTTGTTAAAAATTCCATCACTATAAATTGTGCAACAGTTACTTTTTTTTATTAACAATATTAGTTTCAACAAAATAGCACTTACTAAAAGTAATTATTAATCATTTTTTCTTTTTTCAAAAAAAAAAGTACTTTTAAGCCAATTTGGTTGGTATCTTTAACCAGTGATGAAATCAATTTGTTTGATAGATGGAAATTTTAAGATAACTGACGAATTTGTCCTATCACGTCATATTAAATAATATGAAATAAAAAATAATGGATAAAATTCATTAAGATTGTGATAAAAATGATTTATTTGAAAAGTTATGTAAACTGTTTTCATTTAGTATTTCAAATGTTGCATATGTATAATATATATTTTTTAAAGTAATTTATCTCTAAAAAAATGTTTTAAAAAAAGTTAGAATGTTTAAGTAAAATAGAAATTACTTGTTTATTCTGTAGTAAAATAATAAAAACAATAAAAAATGTGCTTTCTAAAAAAAACTAAAAAAAAATGTGCAACAAATCATCTAAGAAAGTTACTTGAAAAGTTGCTTGAAAAAGTTTAGTTTTAAAAAAGGGATGAAAAATTAGGAAAATGCATTAAAATTTTATTAAAATTATTTGAATGGAATAATTGATGCAGCAATGGTTATTATTATAATACTTAAAACTACTAGATAGCTCAATAAATCTTTGAATACTTTGTGCAAAATAAGATTTGATGAAATTAAGGAAAGAATAATATTTTGTTTACAATTTAAAATTAGCAACGAAAACAACAACAACAACAGTAATTTTGACTTTTTTTCTTGTTTTAATGAAAAAGAAAACGATGTATTAATAATAATTTTTTCTTTTTGAACATATTAGTTAAGATGGGTTAAGGATTATTAATAAGCTTATTGTTAATTTGAATACCTTTTTATCTCTTGAAATTTACTAATCTTTAATCTCTCTGAATTAAAAAAAAAAAGAAATGAATATATCTTCAAAACGTATTTAAAAAATACTGCAGTATATGTATAATAATATGCTATAAACATAATTATCCATAGATTAAAATCATCGTCCAAATAATTTGTCGCATAATCATGCGCGAAAATTCACAATTTAAAATGCGCTTTTTATATAGGAATTGAAAGTGGAATCAATGTTCGTCTGTTTGCCTAAATGCTAATTGACTGAAATGAATTCAATACAAGTATTCCGGATTTAATTTATGAGATAATTTCAACCGGATGTTTACATTTTCCATTTTTTCTTTTATAGAGGTAGAAGCCAATGAGAATGAAGACTTTTTCATGTAGAATAATTTCATTAGAATATTACATAAAAAAAAAAAAACAATACAAGTATTCCGGATTTAATTCATGGAATAATTTCCACCGGATACTTACATTTTCCAATTTTGTTATAGTAAGGTAGAAGCTATTATGAGAAACACATGAATGAAAGCTTTCTTTCTTTTTTTTTTTGTTGTTGTTGTTGTCATTTTCAATTTAAGAATTCTCAATCGAACAAAATAAAAGGACTCTCTCCCTCTCTCTCTCTCTCATTAGTGAAATGCTTAATGGAATTCATTTTATACTGGCATGCAAATGAAGTGAAATTTGAGTAATTTGAAGTAACTGTGAAAAAATTGTGAGTTATTGAAAGATGATTTTGATATATTTATATATAAAGGTTAAAATATTTTATTAATTTTCTGATATGGTAGCATCATGAATTTAATTAATAAATCTTCTAGACCATTAAACAGCACAGCAATAATTTATATTGTTTTATTGAAACTTTGCTCTAACTAGTAATAGATAGCAAATGATTTCAAGCATAAAAAAATTTATTTCAAACAAAAAAAAAAATTTTAATTTCTAATTTTTTTGTAGTTATTGAATTTCTTTTTCTATAACATGTGATATAAAATGACAAATATGAATTTTTTCATGTATTTATCTGACTGTAATTTAAATTTTGCAAATTAGATTATTATTACATTATTAAGTGATTATTTTTAATTTTAGTTTATCTTAAATTTAGATTATTTATGGCAATTCAAAAAGTGTACATAGTAATTACGAAGAATATTAAACGATTGTAATAACTCTTTAATTATTATCCGGATAGCAATAAATTGAATCTTTCTGGATTTGTTTGTCACTAATTAACCTATCGAATTATTAAACAAAAAGAGTAAAATAACAGAAAAAAAATTGGAAAGAAAAAATTTTTTCTTATTGGAAAAAAGCACAGCATTCGTAATGTAAACTTAATTAAATATTAATGAAAAAAATTCGCTAATTTTGTTTATTTGTGTTCTTTTTTGTTCGCTTTTTTCTGTTTTCATTTCTTTTTTATGACCAACTAATGGAATAATTTATTTCTTTAAATAATTTTACTCAAGTATTGAAACTGAGGAAAAAAATAAAATTATAAAAGATTTTTTTTGAAAAAAATATATCTGTTCATTTTTGTTTACTTTTATCTCAAGTAGTTGCGAATAAAAAGTCAAGAAGCAAACAGAAAGGAAACAATCATTGTGAAATATTATTATTTGACAAAAACGGAAAAAAAACCTTGGAAATGTTTTGTATATAAAAAAAGAAAAAAATGGAAAAATGTAAATTGTAAATTGACAATTCATAACTTCAAAACTGTTTATCATTTTTTTTTCAAAATTCTTAACCTAAATAATGCATACAAATGAAAGAATGGAAATGGAAGGGAAAGGTAAACAAGATTTAAGTCATCCTTAATTTAAAAAAATTAATGATTTGTTTGGATGAATTAAATTGACTAATTTCAAAAAGAATAATTGATTTGGTATATAAAGTGAAGTCATATAATCTATTACTTTGAAAAAATAAAACAAAGAAAATATAAACAAGAAAATAACACTTGTATTCTTGAATTAGTTAACTGATCTAATTAATCTATTATATTCTAATTATTCTAAATAACTTATCAATTATCATGCTAATTAACTTATTGTATTTTTTTAATTAGAACGGTCAACAAATGAATGAAACAGATGTATTATTTATGAATGATCGTCAACAATTACATATTGAATCAGCTACCGATCATCATGCTGGTCGATATTCATGCGTGGCGGAAAATAAACCAGGTCGAGCCGAAAAGGATCTTATTGTAGCTGTTCTTAGTTAGTATCTTTTTTTATTCTGTTATTGTTGAAAATTTGAATTAAAATTTCTTTTTTCCTTGGTGGCGTAACTCAATATCTAAAACTTTTTTAGCTAATTTAAAATAATCTATAAAATTAATTAGATAATATTATTTATATCAAAAGATTTGAATTCTATAATTAATTTAGCAGATATTTTATATAATAATTGATAATTTAGAATATTAAGCAATCATATTAGTCAATTTAATTTCTCTCTTGACATAAAACTCTTTTTTTTTTTTGCATACTAGCCATTTACATTAGTAACTTTCATTATTCTATTTTTATTTTTTTATTGCGATGAACACAAAAATATGCTAAATTCTAACAAAATGATAAAAATGATTGTTTTATTTCTTTGAACATAATGAAAAAAAGAAGAAAATAAAATAGATAATAGTTGATAATATTTTAGTTCCTACATTTTTTTTTTTTTATTCTACTAATTACTTACACTTAGAACCACCACAAATGGATAATCAACATCGAATCATTGAATTAGCTGAAAATGAAACAGTAACGTTGACATGTCCAATTAATGATCCATCAGTAGAAATACAATGGACTAAAAATGGTATTCCCATTACTACATCAAATAATTTACAGGTAAATTTTGATATATTATTATCTTATTTCAACAACATTAATTTATTAATTTCATAAAATGCACAATTCTAAATGATCATTGCATATTCAAAAAACAATAATCTTAGAAAATCAAATCAATTCCTTATTCCTTAAAAGTAATAAATAATCATTTATTTTATTATTCATATTACAATTAATAATGATAAAAATAATAATAAAATAGAAATGCAAAAAATATTTAAAAAAGGTATTAATTTCTAAAAAAATACTATTCTAAAAAAAAGATCTAAAAAATTTTAAATTCTAAAGAAAAGAAAATTTTTTCTTTTCTCTCTTTGATAAATTGATAATACAATATAAAAAGCAAAGATTATATGAAATTTTAAAAAATTATGTTTATAAGAATTAAATTATTTTTATATGAATAATACATATGTTAAAGTATAAAATTCTTTATTTTTATAACTGTACGAAGCAATTTATAAAAAAGTTTTTCAAAAAATAAAAAAGAAGGAAGAACAAGTTTTTTTTTTTTTTTTTTTTTATTTAAAATACAGCAAAATAAGAAGGGTATAATTTTGGTTAGTTAATGGAAATTGGTGAGAAAACTTCGATCATAAAAATAACATATCATTATGACTGATTTATTACCAATAAAATTTATTGCTTTTTTTTTAAAAAAAAAAAAAGCAATCTTTTCCCCTCTCTCTCTTTTTGAGGAAGAGAAGGAAAAAAGACAAAGAGAGAGGGGATGGAAGGATGACAGGAACGAATAATTTTTGATAATATCAACAAAATTCCCTAGAACGAATTATTGGTATTAAAATTAAAAAAAAAAAAAACCCGTCTCAATTTTTCAAATTGAATTTTAGTTTCACCATCCATTTATATTCTAATTTTTGCTTATTCCATTCAATTTCATATCCAAATAATGAAAAAACTAAAAAAATTGAAAAAATCTAACATATTATAAAATTAGTATTTTTGAAAAAAAGAAAAAATATTTTTAAAAGTTATTCTAAAAAGACAAAAAATTCTTTGACAGTTTGTTGAAAAAATATTCAAAATGCATTAAATTTTCATACTATTCATTTATTTTTCATTTATTACTTGATTTTACAATATGTTAGATCTTTTTTCAATTTTTTCAATTAGAAAAATTTTCATAACTATAAGTAAAAATTTAAAATGAACGGACCAAATTATAGCTATCAACAAGTGGCATAAAATTGCATATATTACACGGGCAAGTATATGATGCAGGCCGATATGTTTGTCGAGCATGGAATGATGCAGGCGAAGCTATTGCATTTATAAATGTCGTCGTTTTAGGTAAAATTTAATTAAGTAACAGAAATGTTTGACAATTTCAATTATTCTAAAGCTTTTATTCAAAAGGAAGAAAAAGAATTAAATTACCTATTAAATTTAGCAAAACACACACATTGATAATGCATTAGATATGTAGAATTATTGAAGCAAATTAGTGAAATGAAGAATTTAAAAGCATTGAATTAATTTTGAATCTTCATATGAGTAATTGTAAAGATATTTTCCATAACAAGATTTTCTTCCTCCCCCCCCCCCTAAAAAAAAAAAAAAAGAATAATAATATATTTATTTATTTGAAATTAATTTTTTTTGTTTCTTTTTTGGTACAACTGATAGTGTATGAGAAAGTTTTCGTTTTTTTTTTTTTTTTTTCATTTTCCTAATTCAATAGAAGCTGAAATCGTTCAACTTTTTCTTTTTTTGCCTTTTTTTTAAATTTATTTTTATAAATAGTGCCTTTTTTATAAAGTTATTAATGTTATAAATGAATGAAATCAATAAAATTTTCCCACATAAATTGTAAATTCACATCCAATTCATATTAAATTTAAAAAGCTTTCTTATTTTTCCACTCTTTCTTTTGCAAAGTTATCAAATTGCAATGAATACAATTTTACTTTTTAAAAATAAAATGAAATTTGTATGTATATATTTCCACTGCAAATGAAATTTTTTAGGCTTCAAGGAAAAAGAAAAGAAAAGAAAGAAAAATATTTGCAAAATCTGAATAATACCTGAGAATGGTAAAATTAAAAAGTAAAAAGAAAATTTTTTAAGAAAAAATTCGTAACGTTATGACATATGCATTGATTTATAAATTACTTTTAGTACCGCCAAAAATTATTGGATCAACATTTCGTAAGATTGAATCAATTTTGAATCAAACAGTAAATATTGAGTGTAAAAGAACTGGCATACCAACGCCAACAAATATTTGGTCATTTAATGGACGAACAATTTTTCCATCTGAAAAAATTCAGGTAATTGCTTTAAAAAATAAAAAAAATTGTTAAAAAAATTTCCAACTGAAAAGATGATTAAAATTAGTTGTTATATGATATGACGTATGAAATGTCGCGCTTATAATATTTTTATACTGGAAAACAAATAATTGACTTTTTTTTTTTTTCAAATAAGTCGAGCAACTATTTTATTTGATAATGAATAATGAATAAAATCGATTAAAAAGTGTATTACAACTTGAAATTTTGCATTATTTTTTTTAGCACTTATTTATTTGATAGTAAATTTATGTTTTAAATTTGGACAAAAATTAAGTTTATTTTGTCTTTTGTGTTTTATACTTGTTTTCAAACTGTAATACTTTTTAACCTATTCATTAATTTTTTTAGCATTTCTAACGATTGCTTTGCCATATCAAATTTGTATTTTATACTTAACTTCAAACTGTAATACTTTTAATCTATTTACTATTTTTTAGCATTTCTAGCAAGTAGTTTAAATTTAGATTTTAAATAATGGTACTTTATTGGTATTAAAAGAACTGCAAGTCAATCAGGAAGGACGATATTCATGCTTGGCAACAAATAAAGTTGGTAAAGCTGAAGCTGATACATTCTTACAAGTTACAGGTTAAAATTATCAATTATTGAAGTATTTTTTGAAAAAAAAGATTAAACACAACCATTTTTATTTTTAAAAATTTTTTTGAAATTGATTAATTAATTTTAAAAAAAAAGCGGAACAAAAAAATTAGATCAGTTTTTATTAAATTTGGGCTATTTTTGTATGATAAACTATTGACTACGATAATTTGATAAAAATTTCTAGCACCACCAAAAATTTTAACATTTATTGATGAGCTAAAAGTAATCGAAGGACAAGGACAAACAATTCGATGTGAAATAAGTGGAACACCAATGCCAAAAGTGGAATGGCTTAAAAATGGACAATCATTTAATGCTAGTATAGCTCAATCGTCTAGTAATTTGCATTATCTTCATCTCAGGTTTTCTTTTTCTTTTCGAAATTTAATAATTTAAAGAAATGAATGAAATAATAGCGCCAAAAAGCCCATCAAATGAAGTACTAATTAATCAATTAATTAAATTATCATAAATAAAATTTTTCTGCTTATTACAAAAATGTAATTCATAAATTCAAAAATGTAATTCAAAAATGTAATTCAAAAATTCATAAAAATGAATGAAAGGAAACGTTTATTTTTAAAATGGTAATAAAAAATAAAAGTTTTGATAAATTAATGTTTGTTTTTTATTTTCCTACAACGGAATTTAAAATGAAAAAATAAAACAATTAAAAATGATAAAGGAAGCAATTAAAAGTTACATTAAATTAATTATTTAAATTTATAAAAAAATAAACAATCAAACAAATAAGCAACTAAACAAACAAACTAACTACTTTTTTATTAATGAATTAATTAAGAAATTTTTGAGTAATAAAATAAATTAATTAAGGAATATTTGAATGATAAAAGAAATTAGAGAATATTTGAATAATATAAAAGTTTGTTAAAACATTTTATGGACCAGTTTAAAATTAACAATGAACAATTAACATTTCTTATTGAAGAATTAATTGAAGAGTATTTGAGTACAATGGGAGTTTGATAGTTCATTTTATTAACTAATTTGAAATTAACAGTGATAAATTAAAGTTAAAATAAAAAAAAGTATTGAAAAAAAATTTTAGTGAAGCGCAAATGAGTGATGCAGGACGATATACCTGCGTAGCAAGAAATCGAGCTGGTGAACATCGCATGACAACGGAACTTGATGTCCTTGGTAAGTAATAATGAAATAATTTTTAAAAAAAATTACTGCAGTTAAAAAAAAAATAATGTAAACTGATGTGATATATGAGAAATAAATTTATCATTAAATTTTATTATAAAGATATGTGTATAAACATTTATTGAAATGTTTGATGAAAATATTATTGTTTAATCCAAAAATTTATGAAAAAAAAAGAAAGAAAACGAATAAAATTGATGAAAATATTCAATTTCTTAGTCTTTTTTTTTTCATTTTATGACACTTTTTTTTGAAAAAGGAATAATAAATTTATCATTTTTTTTCTTAAAAATTACAGATTTTATAATTTGTAAAATTTGTATAAATTATTACATTAAGTAATTTTATCAATGGAATATCAAATTATATTATTATTTTAGATAATTTTATTGTAAAATTTTATAGTTAATTTTTCCTTTTTCTAGTGCCACCAATGATCTTGGAAGGTGAACGTGTTGTACAGGTAAAAGAAGACGCTACATTAATATTAGAATGTATTGCAACTGGAAATCCTAAACCGATAATTGTATGGAAACGTGATGGACAACTTTTGAATACACGTGACTCACGTTTTGTAATTGCGTCATCAAAAGCTTCAGATGCTGGCAGGTAATACGTTATTGAGTAACATAATTATTTCAGTGCATGATTTTGTAAAATTGTCAAGTTTTTATTTTCGCTTTTGCAATTGTTAATTAGTGTTTTACAAATAAGTATTGATAGTTTTATTTGAGGTATTTCAGACAAACTTAATCATGAAAGTAATAAATTTTTTATATTATATTCAAAAAAAATATTATCATTAAAGGAAGTTTTTGGTGAAAAAATTGAATTCAAATGAAAATTTTTTAGGTATACGTGTGAAGCACGTAATGAAGCTGGTAAAGTATCAACTGATTTTGTTGTTGATATTTTCATTAAGCCACATTTTCGTGATTTGAAAACAGAAATACGAGTACATAATGGTGAACAAGCACGTCTCGAATGTAAAGTTGACGGAAATCCAGAACCGAATATCACGTATCATTTTTTTCTTTTTTTACGCAATTAATAAAGTAATTGTAATACTTCAATATTTTAATTTAACTATTTCAGAAACAAATATTATATTATATATCAATTTAAGATTAAAAGTAAATATTTCAGATGGATGCGTGGTGGTCGTCCGATTGAAGATATGAGAAATATTATATTAAGTCCACGTGGTGAAACAATGATGATTCTTAAATCACGCAGGTTCAAATTTTTTCATAACGCAAATTTCGAATTATGAAATAAAATTAAATTAGAAAGAAGAAAAAAATGAGAAAAAAGTAGACAGAGAGAGAGAAAGAAAGAGTAAGAAAGAGGAAAAAATGAAAAGGGAAAAAAAATTACTATTCTCAAATATTATATTAAATATTTGACTTTTTTTTAAAAAAATATATAAGTTTTTTTTTTTTTTTTTTTTTTTATAGGTCAGATTCTGGTAGCTATTCATGCGTTGCAAAAAATTCGGCCGGAGAAGCAGAAGCTAATTTTATAGTAACTGTTCTGATAGCGCCATATATCGAGGAGCAAATTGATCAAAATTTACGTGTTGTTCAGGGTACGCAGGTTATTATGCATTGTCCAGTGCAGGGTAATCCAAAACCAAAGGTTATTTTTTTCATAATTAAAATTTGCAGTGTTAAATATTGTTTAGAAATATGATTTCGATTCATAATTCTAGTTTTGTTATAAATGTAATTTCAATTTACAATGTTAGTCATATTTATGAGTACAATTTCAGTGCGTAATTTAAATTTTTATAAATATAATTTCAATTTGCAATGTTAGTTATATTTATCAGTATGAATACAACTTCAACTACCAATGTTAGCTATATTTATGGATATAATTTAAATTTCCGCATTTTTTTAATGTTTTCTTTCTTTTTATTTTTAGATTAAATGGCTATATGATGGAAAACCAATCACAATTAATCGCGGAAAAATTCTTAGCGAGAATGATTTGATAATTCAACAACCAGAGGTATAAAAATGTAAAAATGCAATTTGAATATTTCAAATTTATAGCTGTAAAACGAAGTGGATGAAGTAAAATACATCAAAAAGTTTCAATAAAATTATTAGCCAATTTATAGTTTATTAGTCATTAAATTAAATCAATTATATGACAAAAACAAAAGGAATTTTATTAAATATTTCAAATTTTACAGTTTATTGAAATTCAATCTGATCATATGTATATTTTTTAGCAATATGAAAAAGGGCGTTATACATGTTTAGCAGACAATGAAGCTGGAATATTATATACAAATTATGAACTGGAAATTATTGGTAATTTTTTAATTGAAAAATTTTTTTTCATAATTAATTATCTGATGTTTAAATTAATTAATTAGTAAGCTAAATTATTTATATGGTTTTATGATTTTGTTACTTTTCTCATTTCTCATTGCATTAAGCTCAAAGCAATTTTCTTTTTCCTTTGATAATTAAATCAAAAAATAAGTAAAAAGAAACGTTGATATTTTCTTTTTAATCACTAAAATTTAAATTAAAAATTTATGATAAATTATTTACAAAAAGAGACAATATTAAATTTAACACTTTTTTATTAGGCCCCCCAAAATTTCATCATCGTGGTGAAACTATTTATGAGGCAATAATTGGTAAAACGATAACGATGGAATGTAATGTTGAAGCTGAACCAAAACCGGAAATTCATTGGTTCCGTGGTGATTTACCTTTATATCTTCGTAAAAATATTCATATCTCATCGGATGGACAGGTTAATTACTCATTTATTCAATCTAAAAAAACTATTACTCATTTCCATGACATAACGCGCAGTTAGAATGTTATATCTGATATTTGTCTAATTCTAATTATGTGATACCATTTTTTTTATCCTAATTAAAAGAATGTTAATTGTTCATAATTTAGAATTAAAAATGATCAATGAAAAGTTACAGTATTTTTATTGTTGCTTGCTAGAAGTTAAAGTATTAGTTTTTCTTTACTTTGTCGACATCTATCAATTTTAGAAGAAACAAAACTTTTCAATTAATCTAAAATATTAGAATAGCAAAAATAGAAATTATGTTTTTTTTTTTTATTTCTAATCCATTTTCCAATATAATTAAATCATTACAGCTGATACTAGGTAAAAAATAATCAGAAAAAAAAGAAACAAAGACAACATTTTAATTTAATGGTTATGTAAGATATTAATATTAATTAAACTAATATCATTGTTCAGTAAATTAATTATGAATGAGAAAAGCAATAAATTAGAAAAACGATTTAGTTACTTTTTATAAAATTAACTAAAATTTAATGTTGTTAAAATTCTTCATGTTTTTGGATTTAAAAAATAAAATAATTTTCATGAATATAATTCCATAAAATAAAATAAAATTTTCTGATTCATTCATTTAAAAAAAAGGGAAAAAAATTTAAGTGATAAAAATTAGGAAATCATTGAAGTGACAAAAAATTATAAAATTATTAAAATAACTTTTTGTTAATAAGAAAGGTAAAAATAATTTGCATAATAAAAACTGTGAAATTACTGAAATAATTTTTTTTTTAATCCATAATTGAAACACCTTTTTTTTCTTGAATTTATAACAAGATTACTGAAATGTAATTTTCTAAAAACATTTTTTTTAATCAAAAATTATTTTTTTAGAAAATAACAATACATGATGTAGAAATGAGCGATGGTGGCAAATATACATGCAAGACAAAAAATGAAGCAGGTTCAGCAGATATTGACCTGATATTAAAAGTGTTAGTACCACCAAGTATCGACACATCAAATATCATTGGCAATCCATTAGCAATTGTGGGAAAGTTTGTTTTTTTTCAAGTGATTTTTCTAAAAGATTAACTTTTTTTTTTTTCAATTATCTCAAATATTTTAATAAACAAAATAGATGTGTGAAATTAGAACCTAAAATTTTAAATTATACTTTATATTCTTGTATTATTTTTATAAATAGTAACAGTTATCCCCTAATTTTTTATGTTTAGTTTTTTTTTTTTCTTGAATAATTTGTTTAAACATTAAAAAAAGGCGTTTACGCTTTATGAATGTAATAAATATTCTAATATTATAATAATTTTTTTATCAGCTTAGTAATAAACAATAATAATTTTATTAATAAGTGTTATATAAATTTATTCATTCACTTTTTCCACATCTTTTCTCTTTTTTTTTTTGAAATATTTAGTATTAACTACACTTAGTGCAAATTTTATTTTTAAGAAATTCATTTTTTTTCATTTTTGCTATATTTATTTTATCAATTTTACATTAAACATTTTTTTAATTGTCTTTCCTTCGCCTGTATTATTTCAAGTTTTAACATCAAAGATGAAAAACATTGCAACTATTTTTTTATTTTTTTTTTTTTTTTAATCAGCAAAATTGATTAATTTAAAAAATTAAAAATTTCATCAAAGTTAAGAGATGAGATAAATTATTGGAAATACTAACTAGCAGATAATTTTATTTATTTTCAAAATGATACATATTTTTTTAATGAAATACTTTGTAGATCAATTTACTTAGAATGCCCAGTTTCTGGAATTCCACATCCAACAATTACATGGTACAAAGATAATATTCCAATATCAATTGATAATGATCGTTTTGTTATTGAACAGGTTTAATTGTATGAAATCATTAAACATCCATATGCATCGTCAATTTTCTAATTATATATATATATATTTTTTTTTTTTTTTTTTAGTTATCAATATTTGTTAACAAAAATTTTACTAATCAATTCAAAAAGAAAACTTTTTCTTTAATTAAGATTTACCAGTAATTAGAATTTCTTTTTATGGAAGAAAAAAAGAAGTGCTAAATGAAATTTTATAGATTAGTCTTAAAAGTAAATAATGAAATTATACTAAATAATTCAAAAAAAATTTTTTTTTAATTGAAATATTTACCATTAATTACAATTTGTCCTTATAAAAGAAAAGAAATAGCAAATGAAAATTTATAGAATAATCAAACATTTGGCATTAAAGAAGTAAAAGTAAGTGATCAAGGACAAATTATTTGTGTTGTTGAAAATAAAGGTGGCCAAGTGGAACAAAATTTTAATTTGGAAGTGTTAGGTTAGTCGTTTTTTTTTCTTTTTTTTTTAAATTATTAGATTAATCGGCTGAATCATATATAAATACCTAATGTTATTGCAGTATAGACTATTAATGAGCAAATATTAATTAATTAACATATGAAATTAATTAACGTACAAAAAAAAAAATTCTTTTTTTAATTCTATGAAAGGCAAAAAAAAGATAAAAGTATAAAAAGCTTAATAATAATTAACAATTAACATATTATGTTAATTATTACTACTAAATTTTTTGTCAAATTTACAGTACCACCAGAACTTGAAACAGTACAATCACAAAAATATATAAAACGTGAAAAAGATAGCATTACATTAGTTTGTCCAGTAAAATATGATAAATATTCAACAACACCAACTGAAATATTATGGTATAAAGATGGTCGTCCAATTGATCGATTTACAGTATCAAATATTAAAGTTAGTTAAAGTTTTTTCTTTTAATATTTATTCATTTCAATTCAGTTTAATTTATTTTAATTTAGTTTGTTTCCCAAATATTAGCTTAAGTCAGAACTTTTAAATTTATCGTTTTTTAAAGTAGGTTAAAAGTTTTTTTTTTTTTTTTGATTTGTGATTTGATTTTATTATATTAAATTAATTTTTAAGCTATGTAGAAAAATTTGTATTTTGATTTAGTTTATTTGTTGAAAAAGAGTAAGATTTAAAATAAATTATTTGTTATAGAATAAGATAATTTATATAATTTGGAATTATTTAAATTGATTTTATAAATCTTCCTTGAGCTATTTTCATTTCATATATATATAGTTAAAATATTATTATTAATATTATTAAGATATGTGAATTGTATTGAAATATAAAATTATAGAATTTGTTTTTTTATTCAAAATGGAATGTACTGATTATTCCATTAATATTACCATTGTTTGTTGGTTAAATTTTTTATTTTTACTATTTCATATTTTTTTTTTTTTTTTTTTTTTTTGGAATTAAAATATTTATTGTTTTTCGTTTTTTGCAATTTTTGAAATTATCAGATCACATCAGACGGACAACGTTTACACATCGCTCATACGTCACTTTCTGATGCTGGCAATTATTCATGCGTTGCACTAAATCGCGCGGGCGAATCATCACTCAATTTTTACGTGGAAATATTTTGTACGTATCTTTCTTTTAATCCATTATTGGAAAATGAAAGTTAAACATTTAGAAAGTACAAATTTAAATTATGCTAATTTAAATAAATATATATATATTACAGGATAATTAGCTGATCATAATAATATATTCTTTATTGTATTAATTTACAAAGAAAAATAAAAAATGAAAAGAACCAATAGATTAACACCAACTTTGCAATCTTATAACATTCTAGAAAATTTACAAATAGGAATTTGCTTAGCCTGAAAAATGAGCAAAATAAATTTTTTAGCATAATATGACTACTTCATTTCATGAGCAGATATATTATAGTATTAGTATTATATTAGTATTATAATAATTTCCTAATTAACATATACTAAATTTTATATTATCATAATTTGACAGCTTTGCTTCATTTAGACAAACAAGAAGAGATAACAAAAAAAAACTTTTACTGTAATATTTATACATTAGATTTTTAATTCAATTACAAATATATAATTTTAGAATTTTGTTTTATTGTAGCAGCACCCCATTTGGATTATGGTCGCAGTAAACAACAATTGCATGCCATTACTGGACAATCAATAACTCTTTGGTGTATAGTTTCCGGATATCCATTGCCGACAATTCAGTGGATCAAAGATGGTTACCTAATATCTTTTAATAATAAAAGTGACGTGAGATTAATCGATAATGGACAAGGTTTGCTAACTTAATTAATTTCAAAAACGAATTTTATAAATCTATGTAATAAATTCTACGTTACAAAACATGTTATAAACTCCAAAAATATGTTATAAAAATTCTAAAAAAAATTTAACTTACACAAATTGTAAAAATTTTTTTTTAAAAATATGTGTTTCTTATAAATAATTTTCTTAAATTATTATTCATTTGCTGCGTTTTTAACGATGTTTTTTTTTTAATTAATTTATAGGACTGGAAATTTTAAATGCTAAGCATGAGCATTCGGGTATTTGGTTATGTGAGGCATCAAATGCTGCTGGTAAAATAGATTATGAATTAACTTTGGATGTTTGGAGTAAGGTTTTTACCTTTTTTTCTTATCATTTAATTTTATCTTTCAAAAAATTATCATCTATATATCAGTGATACATAAGATTGATTAGCTATATTCTTCTTATCAATCAATTTAAATGTTTTTTGTTTTTCTTTTTTAACTCCAAATATTTTAAATTAAATTTTTCAGCATTTCCAATTGTATTCATACATCCGAAAGATAATATTCAACCGATCGATAGTGCTATCACAATACATTGTCAAGCAACCGGTAATCCAAAACCATCGTTATCGTGGAGCAAGGATGATCAACCATTAATCACTTCAGCAGATGGTTAACTTTTAGTTTTATTTACAAAAAAAAGAAGAAAAAAAAAAGAAAAAACAAATTAATATTTGTGTAATTAGATTAATAAAAGTTAGACATTAAAAATTTTTTTCCAAAATTTTTAGCGTATAATAGATAAAATATATTTTGAAGTGAAAAAAATATAAAATAAATCAACAATAATAACAGTAATAAATAGTGATAATGGTGATAATGACAATAGTAAAGATGATAATAATAGTTAATAATAATAATAAGTAATAACGATGATAATAACTAATTGTTCAAAATATGAAGTATTGAACAATAAAATATGCGTGAGACTGAAACATAAACATATGTTTTAATCAATTTTTGGAATAAAAAAAATTAATTAGTACGAAAATTAATAATAATCTGATAACAGTGGTGATAATAATAAATAAACATGTAATTGTGTACATTACATAGTAATCTAAAAATGTCCTTAATTTAAACTTAATTTCAACTCAACATTACTTCTATTTTAGGAGTACGAATTTCATTGAAAGGAACAAGATTGGACATTCCTCGTTTAAAACAATCACATATCGGCCAGTATAGATGTACAGCAGTAAATGATGTTGGTGCATCCTATGCTACTGCACACATCGATGTTTTAGGTATATTTTAGGTATTAGTAGATGGTTTGGGTATGTAAAAAAATCACTTTAAATTTATCTGTGAAACTTTTATTCTAAATTGATTAAAATTCTCAATAAATTATAACAATTATTTATAGTGCCACCGACAATTAATCGTGATAACATTGGGATGAATTTACGATTACCAATTACTCAAACACTAACATTAATTTGTGATGCAACCGGTGAACCATTACCTGAAATAAGTTGGTCCGTTTTTTTTGCCTCATATTTTTAATTTTTCTTTTTTTTACTATTTTTATTGTTACTACTGCATTTATCATTTTAATATATTTTTCATTCTTTTTTTTTTTTTTTTTTTTATTGTTCTGAGATACTAAATGTAAAATAGAGTATGTAAATGGTACTATGATAGGTATATAATGATATTTACAGGTATAAATAATATATGATAATAAGCAAATGATATTTATAGGTATGTGAATGATACTATAATACATGAAACAATGTCAAATGTAATTATCGGTGAAAATGGTCGCTATCTTCAGGTTTTTTCAACTTATTAATTAGAAGTGGGAAAATTTTTCTGTGAAATTCATTTTTTCTTCATATATGTTATCATTTTTTTACGCTGTAATTATCACAAAGAAAAAAAAAAACATCGTAAATCATAGAAAATTATTTTTGTTTTTTTTTTTTTTTAACAAAGAATAAAAAGATTTCTTTCTTTGTTTATTTCCTTAGTTATTTATTTTCTTTCGGGAAAAAAAAAAATTCCTTTCTAATTTTTTTCTCTTGAAAACAGGCAGAGAGAGAGTGGGTAAGAAAAATTTCTCTACTTTGGACTTATTTTATTAACATTTAAAAGGTAAACGATGTTACATTAAACGATCATGGAACATATAAATGCATTGCATCAAATATTGCTGGTAAAGATGAACTTTTATACACAGTTACTATTGTTCGTAAGTTTTTTTTTTTTTTTTTAAAGTAACATTCAAACTTTAAAATTTTAAATTCAAATTGATTATCTGCCTCTTTTTCTAAATTTAGAAGTATGATTGCAGTTCTCTTCTATTATTCAAATTTTTTATTCTACATATATATTTTTTTCTTTTTTAAAATTCAAAATTTTGTCTTATTTATATATTTGATATAATTTTGTGTTTAGAAGCTCCAAAAATATTGAACGGTGGTAATTACCAAATTATTGAGGGCCAAGAAGCTCAAATTTTATGCAATGTTAGTGGTGAACCATCACCGAAAGTTGCATGGCAACGAAATGGAATTCGAATTGAAACTGAAATGAGATATATTATTGAAGATAAGGTTAATTGCAAGTTTTTTTTTTTTTTTTTTTTTTATTAAATCATTTATGTTTTTGGTATAAAAAAATGACCAAAGTGTATTATTTTTTTTTAAATATCTTTTCGAATTTCCAAATTTTTTATTTAGAATTTTTGGAAAATTATTTAAAAAAATGTAAAAATGATTAATGAATAAAAATGATTGATTAAATTTTATTTTATTTAGATACTAAAGATAATAGATAGTCGAAGTTCAGATTCCGGTTTGTACGTTTGTATAGCAACAAATGAAGCTGGAATTGCCCAACAAGCATTTACACTTGAAGTATTCGGTAAACAATCATATTTTGTAAATATCCAACATTCTTTTTTCAAATTCTAAATATCCTATCGTTATTTTTTTCAATTTTTTGTGACTAATTTTAATTTTAAATTTGATTAATTTTATTTAAAAAAAGCTTTTTATAGTTATTCCACGTATCATTACAACATCACCAAACGAATCGTTCATGCCTGTTGGTAGTCCATTTAGCCTGAAATGTGGTGTACGTGGTTTTCCAGCACCAGATGTTACATGGTCATTAAATGGAGAAATACTGGACAAAGATAAGAAAGGTTATTCCATTGGTAAGTGTGATTGAATAATAATTATTAATAATTTTAACATTTTAATAATTAATTTCCTTTCTTTTTAATTTACTATTACTAGTCATTAAATGGATCAATTTTCAATTTGAAGTTAATTATAACATCAGCTTAACTAAAGTTCTATAAATACTGTTACTTTCAACTATATACTATAAGTATTCCTATGAGTATTATTATTGCTACTTTCAACTATAAGCTACAGGTATTACTTTCTTATAACCTATAAGTATCACTACTTTAAACTATAAGCTGTAATTATTATTACTTTCGACTACTATTACTTTCAGTTATATGTATTATCCTAACTATTTCTACTACTACTTTCAACTATAAGTATTATTACTTTCAACTATGAGCTATATTGCTATAACTATTACTACTTTCAAACATAAGCTATAAGTATTGCTATTACTACTTTCAGCTATAAGTATTACTAAACCTTATAACTGTATCTTAGATCGAATGCGGTAATGAACATACGTATTTAGCACTTTCGTGACATTCCCTTCTTCTTTTGCTGATTAATAATTCGCAATATATCTATCAGTGGAAACAGAATCAAACAATAATCTCAATATGTGTTCAGCGGAGGATGGTACTTTGTTTGTTGAGAAAGCACCGAAACAAGCACTGCTAACCTTTAAATGTATAGCAAAAAATAATGCTGGCTCAGACAGTAAAGAATATGTCATCAAAGTGATAAGTTAGTTTTGTTTTTTAAAAAAGAATAAAAATTATTTATAATAAACAATATTTATTAACTTAATAATAGTTTGTAATTAATTTAGAATATTGTTGAAATAAAGTTTCAATATTTTCTTCTTTTTGTTTTATTTAAACTAATTAATTGAATTTTTATATAATGCTATAATCATTTACAATTTAGGTCCACCAGTTGTGATAAGAGAAGGTATTAAGACAATCAATGCTACAGAAGGTGATCCAGCATTGTTAATTTGTGAAATTGAAGGAGAAATTCCAAAAATTTACTGGTATAAGGTATTTATATTGAATTATTACTAAATTTCACTGATATTCGTATTTAAAATAATTAAATTGAAATTAAAATTGTACTAATTAAAATGAATATTAAAATTTTTGATGGATCTGTCTTAATTTCTATTAAATATTTTGTGAAAATTTTCCCAAAAAAAAGATCTAATACTTAAAACGAATGTATTATTAAGAAATAAGAAGAGAAAAAAAGAAGAGACAATATTGATATCATAATGACAGAATGTTAAGTTTGATAAATTAATTAAGATTAATTAACTTGTACATAAATTAATATGATAGTCCTATAAAATGATGTTATGTTTTATTATAAATTTTAATAATGATTGGTTGAAGTATTTACTCACTTATTTCTTTTTTTCTCTTTTTTCTGAAAAGATACCAAAATTTTTGGGGTGATAAGCAATTGATATTAAACCTACCTAGTTACTTACTTACTACCATTTAACCATAACAATAAAACAGAATCTTTCCTGCTCTTCCATTTTTTTTGATAAGATATCAAAATTTTCAGGATGATAAACCATTGATATTAAAATCAAATATTGAATTAAGTCCAGATCAAACACAACTCAAAATACATCATGCTAAGCTAAATGATGAAGGTATGTACAGTTGTGTTGCTGTTAATCCAGCTGGTAATGCTACACAAAAACTACAACTTTATATTGGTGGTTAGTTTTTCTTAATTTTTCTCAAATTTTAAATATCATAAATTTTTCTATTATTCATTTTTATAATCACTTTAAAAAAGGGTATTAATATTTTGCAAAATACCTTGATTCGTTGGGAAATTGATAATTAATTTTGATCAATAAAATAGATTTAGTTTTATTACTCATAAATAAAATCATAACGAAAAAATGAAATGAAAAGCTAAAAATTCTTAATAAATGATTATTTTTTTTTTTTTTTTTGCAAAATAGCATAAAATAGAATGATATAATTTTAGTTCCACCACGAATAACTGAAAAACCACGAAGAATTATTGTAAAAAGTGGTCAACAAGCTGAATTATGGTGTGAAGCAGTTGGTATACCAAAACCACATATTACATGGTTAAAAGATGATAAAGCATTATCACAAAGTTTGTTATTATGATTATTATCAATGCATTTTTATCTTTACTTATTACTACTATTGCTATTAATTATTATTATTTTTATCACTTTCCTTATTATTGCTATTATCATTGTATCTTTATTTTATTGTTAATTATTATATATACTTATTATTAATTATATATATTATTATTTTATTGTTATTATTAATTATTATCAATTGTTGCTGTCATTATCAATTTTATCATCATTATCAACATTCAGCATGAAAATATCTTATTGGAATTAATATTATAGTAGCATTAGATGATTACACGGATGTGCTAAAATCAACCGCTTTCTTTCCGAATGTATCAAGTCGAAATGGTGGTGTTTATACATGCAAAGCAGAGAATTGGGCTGGTACCAGTTATAAAGATGTTGATTTAATCGTTTTAGGTTTGTAACATTTTGTTTTTTTGTTTTTTTTTTTAATTTACTCTTTTTGAATTTTTACTAATTGTTTCAAATAATAATCGGGTGTTTTCATTTATCTAGCATTTCAGTACCACCGGAAATTCATCCAGAACGATTAAATGTAACTGGAAATATTGATGAAACTATAATTTTAACATGTAATACAACTGGTGTACCAGAACCTGTTGTATCTTGGATGAAAATGCCAAATATTGATATTGTTGGGAATGAAAAGAGTAAAATTTTTAATCATATTTGAAAAAATATTCCAAATCTCCAGTTAATATTAAAAGTTAGATTTTTTTTCTAACATATTTAATGTGTGTAATGAAAAAAACTCAATCAATCAACTATTCATTCACTTTTTTTTTATCCACAAAAATTAAAATATCACTTATTTAATAAAATTTTAACATATTTACAACAAATTTATAGTATATTTATAAGAAAAATTTAAATAAAAAGATTGAGAATCAACTTACAAAAATTGAAGCGTCATTTATTTAATAAATTTTTAACATATTTCCAATAAGTTTTCACCATATTTGTAGAAAAATTTGAGGATAAAGAAAGATATTTGAGATTTAATTTACAAATTAAAGTATCATTTATTTAACGATTTTTTAGCATATTTACAAAATTTTTTGTATATTTATAGTTTAAAATATGGAATCCAAAAAATAGTTTTTTTTTTTTTTAAATTTCAGAATATCAAATCTATGGAACAGCTTTACACATCAGAAATGGTGCGCCGGAAGATGATGGCTTTTATCACTGCATTGCAAAAAGTAATGCTGGTCAAGCAATTGGATCAAGACGACTTATTGTTAATGGTTTGTTTAAAATTTTTTTCTTCGAAATTTAATTTTAATAATTTATTTTATTCCTATTTGTAAATTATTAATTTTATTTCTCTAATAAATTTTTGATTATGTTTTTCTAGTTCTGTTAAAAAATACTCAAATAGATAATGAAGCATAATTTTATAACAAATATGAAATAAATTTTGCAAAATGTTAAAAAAAACTATCCAGTAAAAACTTCTATTTTTTAATTGACAGAAATTAAAAAATTTTTCATTCCATTTTTCAGAATTAAGGAAAGATTTCAAAGTGATTTGGGTAGAATGTGATGAATTTGGACAACCAATTAAAACAACATATGTGCCAGCACGTGGTGATGTTCCCGATAATAATAATAATTTATTACCATGGAAGCAAGATCTACAGGTACATATGTCACTTGATTATTATTAATTTTTATTAAATTACATAAATTATTATGGCTTCTATAAATTATTAATCTTTTTAATTTATATAGATCATTATTAGAATTAATTTAAATAATTATGAATTTAAGCAATAAACACTGTGTAAATTTTACATTTAATTCTTACTTTTGCATTATACCAATATTTTAGATTAAAATTATTTTTTCTTCTTTTCAAACTTTCTGTAATTTAAAGGATCTTCCACAAAATGGTACAAATAGAATATTGATACGTTGCCTACCTGAATCTCGTGAATTACGTCGTGCTCCATTAGCTGTACCCCGTTTCATACGATCACCACGTACACAAAAAGTTTTACCAGGAACTGTTGCACATCTTCATTGCAGGTTATTTCTACTTAAATAATTTGAGACAAAATTGCTAAAATCAAAAATTAAAAGTTTAAACTAAAAAGAAAGTCTATTAATTGAATAAATTAATATTAACTTCCGTCATTTTATAACATCTAATTAGAATCACAAATATGTTTTGATAATATTTTTAATAAAGTTTAGTATCTGGTAATATTTTCTTAATCAAAAAAATATACTTTGATAATTGAATAATCTTTTTTAAAAAAAAAAGAAAAGAAAAATTATGAAAGAATTATGATTGTGAAATATTTTTAGTGCTATTGGTCAACCTAAGCCACATATTATTTGGATTCGTAATGGAACTTACCTAGCAGGTATGTTACAACCAACAGATGGTTATTCAATATTACCAGTAAAAATTGAAAGTAATGATGATTTGGGCGATTATATTTGCTTGGCAAAAAATATCGTTGGTTCTGTTACCAGTACTGCTACCTTATTTACAGATCAAATTACGGAAAAAGTAAGCAAAATCCATTGGTATAATTAGTTAATAAATTAATTATTCATGAAAATTTGCTATTCCAATATATGACTTTTCTTTTTTGTTTTCCAATAAATAATTTGAATTAATTTATAGTGTAATTTTTAGCATAAATAAAGATACTTAAATATTTTTATTCAATAATGCAAAGAATTATTCACGTATCTGAAATGATGCATTTCTTTTTATTTCAAATGTGACAATTTTTATGCAATTAATTTCATTAATTCGTCATCTTTGGAACAATTATTTCTAAATTTAGAATGAAATTTAATATTCAGAAACGTTCAATTGCAATATTAAATTGTATATTCGATAATACCGTTTCAAAAAAAAATATAGTTTGGAAATTTTTCAATACACTATTAAGCAATTCCGCCGAAACAGTAAACTTTTTGCATAATGGTTCACTTGTTGTTTATGATGTCACCGAAACTAATTTGGTAATTCATTTGAAATTTCATTTTTATTGTTTGATTTAAAAAATTCACTAATAAAATTTGAATGAGTTTAAGCAAAAGCAGTGATCTGTAAGAAATTTTATTTCTTTTCATATATAGTGTTTAATAAAAATTGTTAAATTTGCTGATTAAAACCTTATTAAATTTTTAATTTTAGTAAAATAAGTTGTTAGATGCCAGTCTTCTACACCAATTTTTTCAAATAACCATATAGACAAGATAGCTTTATAATTTTAATATCTAATTTTCATGTTATAAGAGGAATTTATTATTTATATGTTTTAAAAAGACAAATTAATAAATATTTCTTTTAGACAGATTTACTTGGTTATCAATGCTATGTAACAAATCAAAAACAAACAACTGAAATAAATTTTCTGGAAGTGCATGATGACGCACCACACGTCCAGGTGTCACCAAAACAAGTCTTTGTAAACTTAAATGATTCACTGATGCTAAGTTGTCAACTGATGTCTAATCCGTTAACAGCAATTGTTCAATGGACAAAAAATGATCTAAAATTGAAGGATAGTAGCAGAACACAAGTGCTTGTATCTTTTCTTCCTGTTTTTTTTTTTTATTGAATATTCTTTAGAAATATTTAAATTAAATCAATGGTAGTATATCAATAAGACAATTTCTTTTATGAAGAAAAAAACGTTATATTTTAATATGTCACACATCTTTAATGTTACCAAAGGTAACTGAATGCAAAGTTTCAATGAAATTAACGAATTTTTAATATGACCGAAAGTGACTAAATGCGAGGTGAAATTTCAGTGAAACTTACGAAAGATGTTTAAATTTTTGTGTCAACCTGACGTGAAATTTTTTTAGGCCAATAATTCTCTTTATATTACAAAATTATTACTTTCTGATCGTGCAATATTCAAATGTATTGCATCAAATCGATATGGAAAGTCATACGATGATGTCCAAGTGATTGTAAAAAGTTAGTTATTATTAACTAATACCTATAAATTCATATATATATATATATATTTTGGGGGGGAGGGGAGAGAGTAGGAGAGGGAGAAGATGGAATACCAACTAATTAACTTTCATTTACCTATGCTATTTCAGTGATACATTATTGTCTAGATAAATGCAAAGATTATTTTTTTTTATGCTATAAAGTATTTTTATTTTGAAAGTATAACATATTTGCTACAATATTCGTTTTAAATTAATTTACTAAAAATTAAAATTCCTCAAATTACATCGCTATATTCATCAATTTTTTTTTTTTTTTTTTTAAATTATAGTATTTGGGATTTAAAAGTGTCTTCTTTAGCAGGTTTAACTGGCGTGGTTAACAAAGTTAAAGGAATTGTGAATGGTCGAAGAATTAAACGTGAAACAGTACTTATTAATATAAAGCCTAAAATGGAAGGTAATATGGTTTCAGTGAAGGCAAACAGTATATTCAGCGAACAAGGTTGAATGTGATTTAATTAGCAAAAAATTATAAAAGAAAAAAAATCAATTTATAAACTGATACAAGGTATAAACCTAATACAAACTGATATAATTGTCAAAAAAAAATATATGATTTAATTAATTGTTATAATCTTAATTAATAAAATTATAAATCTTTCCTAAACAAATGTGAGAATTATGAAAATCAAATTTCTTCCACATAACATTTCTGTGTTTAAATCAATTAAGTAACTAAATGTCATGCAATTATAACTCATTTAAAAATCAATATTTGGAGAGAAAAGAAACAAAAAAAAGAATTCATTTTGAATAAAATAAATAAATAGTTTAAAAATATCCATCATCCTATAATATATGTCATAAAATATGTATAATATATAAAATGTGTATAATTAACATATGATGTACAATAAGATTTATATTATAAAAAAATAGAATGGAATTTAAAATAGAACAGTTTTGTATTTATTTATAAAAATATTATGGTTTTACATAATTTTAATTCTAATTTTTTTAGGTGCTGTAGCAAAAATAATACTTGGTTATATAGTAATAGCTTCACCACAACTAGCATTTAATCCAAATCAAGAAAATTCACTTGTAAATGTTGAATTTCATCGTGTAATTGATTATCGATTTGAAAGTGGTGAAATGATTCGTGTTTATCAGAAAGGATTTGGCATTAATAATGAATATGCGCAATTTGAAATGATTTTCAGTGGACGATTACCACATTTTAATAATGAGGTTGGTAAGTAAGTTTAAATAATGGAAATGGAAAAAGAAAGAGAAAATGTATTTGAATTTTTGACGTTTTTTTTGTTTCAATTTATTTTATAAATATTAGTAAATAAGTTTAATAATAACAATGGAGAAAATTTTTTAACAATCTTTTCTTATTTTATTTTCTTTTTTAACAATTATTAGTAAATAAATTCTACGAGTATTATTAAATAAGGGGTAAATAAAAAAACATTTCAGAAATGGAAAAAAAGTGAGGGAATGTATTTGAATTTTTAACAATCCTTGCATATTTCAATTCATTTTATAAATACTGAGGAACTATTTTGGGGCAACTATAAATTAAAATTCGTAAAATAAGTTAAAACAAGATTAAAATATTACAACAATTATTCTGCTTGCATTTACGGAATATTAATTACTATTTATTTATAAAAACAAAAAACTCACATCTAATGCTATGCTAAAATTTTGTGCTAATTCTAGTTTTAGCTTTATTTATTTCACTTTAAATTTAGAATTACTCTTGGATAGATCAAGCTAAAGAGGAAATGATTGAACAAGAGCCAGGCATAATACGTGGCAATGGATTTGCAATTTTACATATTTCGAATTATGCAAATATACCATTCTAGTACGTTAGAAATCATTAAATTAAAGCTATCAAATATCATTTTATTATATTTTTTTTACTTCTTCATCCAGCTAAAGAATGAAATTTTAGAATATTATAAAATTAAATTTAAATATAAAAGTTTAAACTTTCGAAAATTTGTCATTTCAAATAGAGTAGAAGAAAAAAGAATGGAAGAAAGATACAAAATGACAATAAAAAAGTGGAAAAAATTAGAAAAAATGAACTTTGCAATTCTTAAATTTTGTTGCTTTTTTTTTGCTTTAATTTTTAAATTTAACCTTTTTTTTATTATTATTAACTAAGCTGGAATGAGAGCATTGTTTATGATGCATCAAAAGGAATGGATATTGGCCTTGCTAGGTCGGTGATTTTTAAATTTATATTCTGGAAATCAATAGATGGTGGTGCTAAATTGAATGCTATTGTTAAGATTAAATCAGTTTATGGCATTTGTCCAATTGGTTATCAAATTAAGGATGGCACTTGTGTTGGTCAGTTAGTTTTGTGGTTTTCAATAATTATTATTATTTTTTTATTTAAGAATATGAGAGATGTATGAACAAAATTTTATATTAGTGTAATTTATGACATTTTTAATTATTTGTAACTCATAAATTTTTTACACTAATAAATATATATTTTTTAATATCAATATTAAAAAAAAATTATGTTATTTATACTAACAAACTGTAATATTAATTTAGATATTAATGAATGTGAATCTAGCCAAGAAATATGCCATAAGCAATCACATTGCATTAATGCTATTGGTGATTACATATGCGAGCGTAATTGTCAACCAGGTTTTAAAGTAGATTCACGAGGTGATTGCAAGGATATTGATGAGTGTGCACTTGGTATGCATAACTGTACAAGCGGTGTCTTATGTAAGAATATACCAGGTATGTGCTTTTTTTGTTCGAAATCTAATTTATTTAATGTTCAGCAATGTATGAATATGAAATAGCATTGGTAGCATAAGTAATTGGCTATTATCAAATATATAAATGAAAAAGTTGCAGGTGCATTCTTATGTGAAGCATCGCTATGTGCCGAAGGATATATTCGAGATTCTAGTGGTCATTGCAAAGGTAAATTAATTTATAATCAATAAACAAATTTTTGACTTTGCTATAAATATAGAAAAATGATAGAATTAAATGGAACATACAACTTTGTTTTTTTTTTTTTTTTTTTAAATTTAGTTTAATGCACATAATTCGTAATTTGTGTTAAATAAGGACATTTTCAAGATTTAAATTATAGTTTTTTTCTTTGAGGTTTTTAAACATTGGGATGATTAAGTCAAGAAATAGTAAATTGATGCATTTTTTTATCAAAATATTAAACTGCTATTAAATTATATAATTTCTTTGGATATCAAAAAACAATGTAGTTTTATCTATTTTAAGTGTTATTTCTATTTTTGAACTGGTATTTCTATTTTTTAAAGCGATCTCTTCTATTTCTAATTTTTTTTTAAAGTGACATTTGGAATTAATTGAAATTTAAAATTAATCAAAATTTTGCTCTATATAAAAAATCTTATTCAAAGAATTTTTGCATGCTTCAAAATAGTGGTATTTTATTTGAAGTTAAGTAACTGTGCCAATACTTCATATAGCAATAATAAATATAAAAAGTAAATTTTCAGATGTAGACGAATGTGATAAATTATTATGTGGTAATTTGAAATGTTTGAATCATTTAGGTTCATATAATTGTATTTGTCCAACAAGTTTTCCAAATGATATTGATGGTATTTGTGAAGGTATGCTAATAAATCATTTTGCTTAATATGCTAACTAAATTATTTTGCTTAGCATTTATCTTACCTTCTATTTTTATTTTTTTTTTTTTTCTAGTTTTTTTTTTCATTTCATTTATTGATTTTGTTGTTGTGTGGTAGAAACGAAAGAGAATTTGGCAAATGTAAAATCAATTAGATTTGATGAAAATTGGAGAACATGTGCACCAGGTTACTATCGTATTGGTGAAACATGTCAAGGTACTAACTTTAATTTAATTTTAAAAGTAAAGCTGCAGTCATATATTAGCTCGAATTGATAATAATGCAAATTCGAATTTTAGTTTATTTGATTAAATGTGCAAGATTTTTAGATTAAAAATAAATGATTATATTTTTGATCATAAAAGTATACCACTTTTTTGATATTTGCATTACTTTTCAAATCGTTTACGACTGAAATTTCAATTGTTTCGCAAATAATTAGTCAAATAAACCTTTCTTCTGTATGAAGAAATTTTTTCAAAAAGATTTTTGCTTACTTTGAATAACATTTTCATATTTTGGTAATTTTAAGATATTAATGAATGTATATTCAATTTGCCATGCAATTATGAATGTGAAAATATTGAAGGCAGTTATAAATGTTTATGTCCAGAAGGTTATACAATTGAGCAAAATAATTGTACCGGTAAATTTATATTTTAAATATTTAAATTTTCCTTTTTTTGCAGCGATATTGTTACTTAAATGTTAAATAATTGTCTCATTCGAATTGTTTATTAACAAAAAGTGAAAGTAGAAAATTAAAACTATAAACTTTTTAGTTAATTATCATAGCTATTTATTGTTAATATTGTTTGAAATCTTTTTTAGATTTGTTTAAAAAATCGAAAAGAAAAAAATTAATTTTATCCCTTCCTTACTTGCTTTTTTTTCTCTTTCGCTCTTCCATAATTCTTCTCTTCTATAATTATTTTCTTTACAATTAAAAATTTTGTTATATCTAAACGAGTTTATAAGAATGTATTCAATTTTTAATAAAATTAATTTTAAAGAATTAGATGAAAAGAGTTTGCTTTCAGAAAAATTATTCGAAAAAACAAATTTTTAAATTAAAATTAGTTTACTTTCAAAATTATATTTGTTATGCTTTACAGACATAAATGAATGCTTATCTAATCCATGCTTAACTGATGAATTATGTTTTAATCAATTAGGAAGTTATGAATGCCTTACAACGCCATGTCCAGTTGATTATCATCTGAAAGATCAGTGAGAAAATTTTCATTTCATATTTAATTTATAAATTTATAAAAATTTAATTACTTCGAATAAAAAAATAGAAAAAGAAAAGAAACGACATAATGTCTCATTTCTTTCTTTCTTTTTTTTTAAGTCAAGTCTTTTTGTTTAGAGTGAAAAAATGTTTTAACTGGAATGTACATTTTCAGGAAATGTATACCGAATTGTCAAAATTGTTCTAACTTACCTATAATAATTTACATGTTATCACTACCAAAAATCATGCCAATAGCTACATCATTACTACGTCTAACAGCTTATGATCATCGTTCAAGGGTGCTTCACCGAACGCGTTTCATTATGAAATCAGTTTCAAAATCCACCAAACATATTCCATTTATTTTTAAAGTAAGCTAAAAATTTTATTTCTAGTGTTATTATTAGATTTTTTACTTTGAATTTTAATTAGTCCATTTTTTTAATTGCCTAATTGTTCGTTTATCATCGAATTTTTCTACCAGTGATAGTATTTTGGCATATTTGTGAAAAAAAAAAAGAAAGAAAATAAAATTCAAGCTAAAAAGGATACTAGTATTAATTAGCTAGAAAAATTTGTTAACTTTATTGATGATATAAGTTAATGCGATCAACTTACTTTTTTTTTTTGCAATCTTCACATTGTGAAAGCAATTTTCTTTGAGATATTTATGCCAATTTAGCTCGATATAATTAAGCAATTAACCTAGGGTATCATTAATCAACACTAATCCATAACATTTTACTGCAATTTTTTTAAATAGAAAAGTTTTGATGCTTAACTTTAGGCATGATATTTGATATAACTTTTAAAAGTTTTGATATAAATCGGCATAATTTGAGCTGAAACTTTTGGAACTTCTGATATAATACTTTGGTATAATATTTTAAAAAAAAACTTCTTTTTTTTTAAATTTAGACGAAAAATGGTCGAGCAACGTTGCAAAATGTTGAAAGTTCACTTAAAGCAGGAACATATAAGCTTGCAATACGAAGTATCTCTAAGTTACCTTATAGAGCGGGCAAATTAATTAATAATTCAATTGTTTTTATTGCTGTATCGGAATATGATTTTTAATTAGCTATAGTTCACTTGTAAAAAAAGATTTTCTGAATTAATTATTAACTAAGCTATTAGTACATTCTTATTTTCAGCAAAAATTTATTTAAATTCCATTGTAACTGTCATTTATGTATTGTTTTGAGTGAAACATGCATTAATATGTTGAATCATCAGTTATTAGCGTTAATTGATTCATTGCTCAAATTTTCTAGTACTTTTAAGTTTATTTTTTTTTTCTATAAAAGAGCTTATTAGCTCTATTATTTGTCGATTAAAATTAGCATTTTTTTTTTTTAAGTGAAGAGCTTCATTCCCCACTTTATTATGTTGTGATGCATGTTTTAATATATCGGTGATTGTTTTTTTTTTCTTTTTTTTATGATAATATATAAAACGTTAATAATAAAAGGAAATCATTGCTAGAAATCAATTCCATAAATTAAATTAAAATATAATTGTGACAGTTTGATGTTATTTTTAATCAATAATTTAAATTGTTTGACTGATTCATATTATACGAGTAATTTAAATGAAAAAAAATTTTTTTTTTTGAAGAAAGTATGAAAAATAATTTGCTGAAATTATTAAATCGCTGTTTTAATATAATTAATTATTTATAATATTGTTTTAATATCAGTAAGCATTTAGAAAATCTTAATTTTCAACAATGAATTGTCCTTATTTGTTGATTGGTTAACTCAAATGAGTAGTTTGAACTAAATCGTTAAGTGAAATTATATGATGATAATATAAAGTGACAAAATCAAAAGGTAATTAAATGTAAAATTAAAAAAATTTGGTTTGTTGCAGATTATCATATTAAATAGAAATTGATCAGATGCATACAGTATATATTTAGTTAAACTAAACTGATAATTGCAGTTGTTAAAAACTCATACTTACGATAAATAATAATTATAATTTTCATATGTTAAGGTATTGGCTTATAACAAAGTTAATGATTACAAATAAGTAAAAAGCTATTACTGTAACTCTTTAGATAGTAAAACTTAATTTATAGTATTCTTCCATTTACTTATAAGAATGATTGTCAGATTGGAAGTTCACTTCGATATTTCAATAATGCAAGTAAATTTGGATTATAAAACAAAGAAAGTTCATTAAACAAAAGCTTATAATCTTTTAGTTGATGCAAATAAAAAATAGGAGATAACATTTAATAAATGAATTTTTTTAAATCAGTCGTTAATTCATGCAGTTGGAAGATAAGTATAAATGAATTTGTTACTTGAGATATAAAATTGAAATAAGCTTTACATTTATCTAAGAAATAATTTTTTATTAAGTCTCTAGTCTCGAAATTTCGATTTTATGGATTTAATACAAAATTAGTTCAGCATATTATAAAATTACTCTGGTTTTTTCGGCATTTGCTTTACCTTTTACATTTGGATATTTTCCAATTTCAATTTTTTTCTTTATAACTTTTTAAGACTGAAAAATATTTTTGGTCAATTTTTCAAAACAAAAATTTTTAATTATGCATTACTACAGCCTTTTTTGCATTTCAAATAATATCTTCCTTAAAAAAATTTTTTTTTTTAATTTTAGGCAAGCTAAAAAAAACGATTGAAAATTTTACGTGAAATTAATGGTATAAAATGAGCACTCAAAAATGCTGAAAATTGTTAAATTTTACTGGACAAATTTGTCCTGTGTTGAATAAATTTCAAACTAATTTCTATCCAATCATTATTTTCACTTTTAACTTTATCTTTTCTCATTTTAAACTTCCAGTTAACTTATTTTAATGATATCATGCACATACATTCTGCTATTATATTTTCTATCATGTAAGACATGTAAGACAAAATCAATGATTTAATTATTGATATAGAGAAATTTTTTTGTGAAACTTTAAATATATCAATGAAAAAATGTTTCCATGTATTTCACATTGCTTTTTTAATGGACAAATGACGCAAAAAAAAATTTTTTTTCAGATGCTAATAGATTTCTATGCAAATTTATACTTTTGAAAAATTGACTGAAATTCAGTGGTTTATTTTGCTAATTAAGCAAAATAGAGTTAGTTTGATTTTATGTTTTTTGCTACATTTTAATTGTCGCATCTGAAAAATGTGATTAATATTTTCTTTATTGAATTATTCGTTTTCGTCGACGCAGGATATTTTCTTGCTAAAAATTAAAATTAAATTAATACAAAAGTAGTACTTATCAGATATTAAAATTGTATTTTGAAGGAAGTAATACTTTTGTTAATTGCACTTGAAGTTTTCGTATTATTCATTTTTATCTTGAAATTTTTTTTAAGACAAAATTATATTTTTTATTTTTTGTTTTTTAAGATATATATATATATATATATATATATATATATATATATATTATATTTTTAAGATATAATAATCATTTGTAGTTTGAATGTAAAAATTAAAAAAAGCAACCTGTCCTACCTAAAACAAATTTTTTTTATTACTCATTATTTTTTTTCTGTTGCTAATCATAAATTATCTGTTTTATATTTCAAAATTATGCTAGAAATTTTAAATTATAATAAGAATTATCATAAAAATTTACATATGCTCCCTTTTTGCCAAAGCATTTCTCTTTTGCAAGTTGTAAATAAATTATTGGACGTCGATGTAATGGAACATAAAATCCTGGTGGTTTGTTTGATAGCGGCGGTAAATCTACTCCATCTGGAGGTGCCTTTAAAATTTTTTTTTTGATTTTTAATTGAATTTATAAAATTTTCAGATAGGCTCATAATATTATGAAAAAGTAGTTTTATCTAAAAAAATTGAAGGAAGAAACAAATAAATAAATAACGTTTAAAAGAATTCATAGCTAATTTAAGAAAAACAATTATCAAATACAATGGAAACTTTTTTTTTAGAATATCTAAATAAAATATATGTTGGAATTAATTTAAATTAAAATTAAATTTTAACAAAATTATTCTATATACCATAACAATGCCGTCAATTTGTCGTACAAGTGATCGCCAGACAAATGTTGCCATAATAATACCAAAAATTGATGGTATCACAACTGCTATTGTGTATATAAAAAAATGCAAACCACTGTAATATATGAAAAAACGAAAAGTAAAAATTTATATACAATTATCATTCGAAATTTTTTAGAACTATTTTATTTGAATATTAAAATATTCATGATATCTTTTGCATTGTTCAAAAAAAAAAAAACCAAAAACCAAAAATAGCAATTGGTATAATTACAATTTTAAAATTGTTAACTTTAAACAAATTGCATTAAATTATATCTAACTGTATCGCCTGGCTTACATGATACGATGGCGCAAAAATTTGCATATTTTTGCTGTATCATAATAAAAAGCGCGATTACGCTGCACATTTGCTGCAAATGTTACTGCTTGCACTATAAATTCTGCAAATTGATTATTTAACTTTGTTTGTATTCCATAAAAATGTGATTCACTATATCCACGGTAATCATTTGATGCCTGCAAAATGATTATATATAACTATTAATTAAGGTACATTTTATGATTTATCAACTTCTGTAATCAATAAAATAAATTCTAAATGATTATCATTAATTATTTCACTTTTAATACTACTGAACTTTTGAGAAGTAAATTACAGTTGTTCAATATTGATCAAAAATACGAATGCACATAACTGGAAATGCACTAATCATTTGTTAAGTAGTAATAGCAAAATTTACTTATTTAAATTTAAAGATAAAAAACGGATTTACCTTATCTAAAAAAAAGGAAAAAATTGTTTCAACAAAAATTGCCCCTCAACTTTAAAAAAAAGAACCAAATTTTAGACAACTTATTTTTACTAGCATTTGAGTTCGAATAATAGACTAATTTAAAAGTTTTTTAATTATTTCTAATACTATCTGAGTTTAAATTTATTTAAACTTAAATTAAACTTTTTTAATTAAACTTTCTTTCCACTTTCAAACTGCTAACAGACTATTTATCAATCATGCACGATACTGCATATTAGAAATGCAAAGGTAAGTAATCACCAAATAACCACTTTTAAATTTTGAATAGAATGCAGTTGTTTCACAATTATTTCTGTGTTAGTAATTTCAATTCCAAAACTAATTACCATTTGGAACTTACTCGTTTAAAACGGCGCAAATTAACTTTTTCGGTTTGCAGCATACCATGTTTAAGTTTATTGAAATCCGGTATAAATGTATCGTAACATGCCACTTTGTTTATCGTTAGTATTAGTAATAAATATGCAAATGCTGATTTCATTACCATTGTAAGTACTTCATAGAAATGTTTTTAAAATTTCTTTCTAACCAATTAAAAAGGAAAAAAAAAGAAAACATAATGACATTTCGCCAAAATTCTCTAATTATCCAAGATTTGGAATACAATGCACACAAGATTTGTGTTTTTTATTTTTTTATTTTTTTTTTTTTAAATTCTAACTTTGATACTTTTAATTCTAACTTCAACACCCTCATTTAATTTCATTTTTTCTTATATTTATAGCTCAAACTGTACCACGAAAATCAGAAGCGCCTCCTTCAAATTCAATAATGAAAGACAATGCAATAAAAAAAGAAATGTGACTGCATTTATTCTCATCGTAAAGCCAACAGTAAAAAAAAATTAGTCAAAGAAAAAATGTAGGAAGTTTTTTAAATAACAATCTACCATAGTTCAACAATTTTACAACAACAAATTGGTCATTATGTCGTTCACAAGGAATTTTTTTAAAAACCATTTGTTTGCATGGCAATCATTATAAATTTATAATTTTCGTCCGTTTAGAGCAAAATCCTTTACGCACAACTAGAAAAGCTAGAAATCGCGAAAATTTCTTCGAAAAATTTAATTCAGGGATAAAAAAGAAAGACTTAATAATCACCCACTGATATATTTTTATCGGACGCTAGTAGGAATTAAAGGAATACTGAATAAGGGTAATACACTTTCAGTCTTGAAAAAAATAACAAAGAAATTTTGATTTCCCAAACAAAAAAATAAAAATGACAAGAAACAAAGACGAACAAAATAACTATCACAATATTCTTCCCTTCTTTCGAGCTCTTTGCATTTTTCTTTTTTTAACAATATCTTTACGAGCTTGGATATTTGCTGATCGTTTTTCTTGCTTTCGAGCTTGCATTTGCAAGGTATGTTTGACACGATTTCCCCATTTCTTTCTTCTTGATTCCTTTATTTTCTCCTTTTTTTTTAAGCTTTTTTTCAAAAGCTCTGGATTATCCTGCAAAAAAAGAAAAAAAAATACAGTTTCACGTTTTGAAACAGCTTAACAAACTTTTTCAGAAAAAAAACAGAATTTCAATAATTTCAATAAAGTAAATTCCTTAGAATTTCACGAAAATAAATTTCTACTTGAACCCTACCTTAACTTTCTGTCCCTCAGCACGATTTAATGCTTTCTTCCATTGAATATTTTTTTCAATTCTCAAAGCCTTTTCAGGATTCTTTGATCGTACTTTTTCCAGTTTTTCTTCTCTTTTCTCAGCTTTAACAAGCAATCGTTTATAATCTTTACCGGTGAACTTGTCTCGTTTATCCTTTTTTGTTTTTCTCTGAAACTGTTGGTGCTACAGTGTGCATAAGAATGATCTGGAAAGTAGATCACGACTGTAAATTAAATTTATTAAATTATGCGCTACCTGCTTTTCATCCCTTACAATGAAATCAAATTTTGAGAAAATCAATTTATCATCTTTCTCTTCCATTTCTCCCACTTTCGACTCCGTTCCCAATTTCGGACGTTTGTTGGGCACTGTTTCATCTGATGGTAGCCTAAAATTTCCTGTAGAAGTGAGATGGTAGTAATTTTTTTAACAAATTTTCTAGAATATCATAAGAAAATCACGAGAGCTTAAAAATATTGATAAAATCCAAAGAAAAGATAATAAAACAGACGAGAGAAAAAAAAGGAAAGAGTCAGATTCCAACAAATTCTAAAAGTTTTATCAAATCACTGTCAGATACCTGAGAAAAAAAAAATCTATAAAATATACTTCGAATTTTTTATCTGCTGTTTAGCAACTGTCCTTCTTTCCTTCATCTTCAATTTACTCATACGCCTTTTCAATTTTCGTTTTTCTTCATACTGATAAGCTGTCATGTTACCACGCCTTTTTGCTAAAAATACATTAATCATATAGTAGAAAGTCATAATCTTCATATGATAATTTATGGAAAGAAAAAAATTTATTGGTAAGAACAATTCTCTTAAAGAGTACATTCCTATTGCAAATTACGAAAGTATTAAAATTTACCTTTAAATTGTTCCAATTTTTCCTGTAGTTTTTTAAGAGCTAACTTGCGACCTTCCAAAGCATCAGGTGGTGCTACAGTGGAAATAGTTCCCAAAAAGGAGTTATTTTCCGTATTACTCATATTGCTATCATGTATCCTTTTTCGCTCATTATTAGCACTTGTTGTTTCATTTACTAGACTAAAAATAGCTAAGTTAATATGGCATTTCAATTTCTCTCATAAAGAAATTTGAAACTTTATTCGACACACTTATGCTGTGAACAAAACCAGAAAAAATACTTCAATGTTCAAATAAGCAATGCACACCTTGACCAGATTCAATCCAAAATCCAAAGAATACAATGAAGTACAAATACTCTATTTCAATCTAAAAAAAAAAAAAAAAAAAAAAATACCTCCCATTTAATTCTCGAGCAAGAGGTTTAGTTGAACCGTTAGTATCCAAAGGTTGAGAATCGACTGAATTATTTATCACTGGTTTTATATCTTTATTCTTTTTCCGATCCTTCATTTTGGGAATTGTTACAGGCTTAAAAAAAAAAAAAAGAAAAAAAATTTCAAATCAAAGAACCAGAATTTCTAAATTTTTTAGACACCTATACTATAAGAAATGAGTGACTAATGTTTATCTCAATATAGAATGCAAAAACCTTACCTTAACAGGTTTTGTATTACCGTGATTTTTTGCCATCCAATCTAGAACATCGCTGATCGTCTGACAGTTCACACCTATTTCACGAGCTATTCGTTGCTTCGAAGCTTTACTGAGCTTCTGTTTCTGTTCTGAAAACATTTCCCAATTTTATTCTCTTTTACAGAGTTATATATCTTTAACTTACCGTCATCATTTGATAAACTGGTGAAACCCAACAAAGCTTACAGAAGCAAATAGAGCGAATGTATCTAGGAAAAAAAAAATAATAAAACTAACCTCCTGTTAATTGTTCATCAACAATTCGATGTTTTTGCTTACGAAGCTCCTCAGTCGTCTCATCATCGAAATGCCAATTTCCGATTGGTATCAAATTAATATTTCTTTTGATTATTTTATCTATTTGTATACATTTCTCCAATAATTTTTCCCTGTCCTCTTTCAAAAGCATTGCTGCTAAAAAAAATGAGATATGGTATGCTTAAACTATTCCCATAAAAAAGTTAACCATTTGTAAACTGAAAAATAATTCAGACCACGCTTCCCGAAATATTCAAAATATTACAGAGAACACGATGGAATTAAAATTAAGCAAAACATCGCAAACCGCATCTGTAACAAATATTTGTTGATAATAACTGGTCAAATAACATTAGAATTAGTTAAAAGTAATTTAATGAAAAAAAAAAAAAAAAAAAAAAAAAAAAAACATCAACAATATATAACTGGAACAACAGAACGAATTAATTGTTAACAGAGAGTTAAACATTGAATTTAGGAGATCAAGTCGTATGCTCAAATGATAAGTTCAATGGAAGCCTAGATATTTAAAAAAATACTTCTAAAAGTTTAAATGCAGGAACTATACTTGTATTTCTAAGAATATTACTATTGTTGTTCATAGTCTTTCAGCTTTAAAACTCGAGACATATAGTTCAGTTTATTTTTATCTACATTAGTACTATTAAAAATCTCATTATTGTACATTGAAATAACATCAAAGCATGGACATAAATTACAATTTAAACTAAAGAAATGTCATGATGGGGGAAGTAATTCAGTGCTTAATCTAGTTTGAACCATTTCAAGACGTGTTTCGAGAATTAGTCGTATATCCTCAGCCAAATCCTTAAGCGATGTATATCTTACTTTCTTCACGTTAAATATATCAACAATAAACGAACACATTTGTTCCTGAAAATTGCAAGGTAATCCAAGTATCATTATATCTAGTATGTGATAAGCTAAAAATAAAAAAAAAAAAAAAAACTACCATTTCTGTAATGAATTTCCCCTGATGTTTACAATGTTAAAAACGATTATCTCTAATTCAAAAGTAAGGAACAAGCAAAGATTTGGTTCTTGCTGAAGATTCGATAACACAATACAATTACATTCCAACTCCGTTTTTAAAAATAAAGTGAAGTGATCGAAAAAACTTTCATTATGACTATTCTTTTAGAAAATCATTACAACCACAATCATGCAAATTAAATGTTAAAACAAACTTTGAAGTAGTGACATAACTCGCGTAAGTGTTCATCAGTCCCCAAGAAACCTAAGGTGATATACGGAGAAGCTGCTTCCGAGATATTGTAGAAATGTGATATAAATCCATCAGCTACCTAAAACATAATTTTTATGCATGAAATGTGCCTTAATGTTTTGCAATAAAAAAAGGAAGTAAGCTGCATTAATACTCAAAACAGGTGAGCAAAAATAGTACCGCAAGTCTTGCACGTTTAGCTTTCAGCATAGACCAAATCACGGTTACTAATGTTGATTCCTTCATTGACTGGTTTAAAAACATATTTCTTGTAACAGCTAAAACAGCAGATGGTGGTCGCGAAAGGTCTTCAAATGCATCAATCAGAATGTAGTCTAGAACGATATCCCAGAAACCCAATTCCGGTACCTAAAGTAATATAACTGTTAGCTTAAGCTAAAGAATAAGGTTTATTAAGCCTACAATGCTATTTGCATTGAAGTATAGATATAAACATTATTAACTGATATAGACGTCATTAAAACAGTAGCAGACGTGAGTCTTCAAATATAATAAAAATGATAACTTACTCCTCTTTGTTTCAACTCATTATCAACAATTTCCAGATGCTGGGTTTCATTCAAATATTCCATCATAGCATCATAAGCTAAATAAAACGAAGTAGGATCTTTGCTGGCATGTCGCAGTAAATCTGCAATTAATTGACGTCCTGCTTGCGCTAACCATACACGATTATGCTCATCTAATAAAATCTCCTGCAATAAATATATAACCAAATTAGACTACTTATATATATTACATTCTATATAACACATGATACAAGTAGTCTATATATATATATAATTTATACAAAAACAAAATAAAGATTAATAACACCTACTCATCACATTAAAGGTAAAACAAACAACGGAAATGCATCATTTTTCTAAGAAATTTATGATAAATACTTACAGTGAACGCTTGACGTATGCACCAAACTTTAGCTTTAAAATCATCATCATCCTCACAGCAACAAAATTCTGTCCTAAAATTAACTTAAGATCGTCATCACCATGAGCAACTTCTAACACTTCAATGTTAACCGAATATGTATAATTTACAAGATAAATATGTTAAATGGCTATTTAACAATATCACATAAAAACTGAAAAAAAAAAAAAAAGAATTATACGAAAATCTTATATACCTTATTTTTCTGCAATTCACTTCGCCGGTTTCTACAGCTGCTATACCCTCCAGATAGAAATGCAATACGTTCTTATCCAAGTTCAATGGTTCTCGCATCAAAACATCGACATCATCTATACTCATAGGCTGAAAACAAGGAAATATCTAATGTAGTGCTGAAAATAGAGTAAAATACTCTAAAAATACTCTATCTTAATAATTTTTATAAAATTTTACAAATTCTTCATAAGTTGACCAAAATGATTCGTCCGAGAGAACTGATAAAGTGCCTGCACGCTGCGATCCTCCTGCTGACCAAACTGAATTTAATTTATTATAAAAGAAAATCATAAGAAAAAATTAATTGAGCATTCTGCAACCAACTTTTGTTCACACTATTAACATTTATGAATACAGAGTTTTATGACTGCTAAATATGTTAAATACTTGAATAAAAAACAAAAAAAAAAATCAAAATTTCATAAATAGGAATACAATGGAGGCGTTCGTAACTTACACTGTTCATCGCTAGGTGGAACTTCTTTTTCATAACCACCTTCCTGTACTACTCTTATAATGTCTGTTTCCAAAATTCGCAACCTGAAGAACAGTTCGTGATGAAGAGAAAATCTTAGATGCACCTCAGACTTCAAAAATCAGGATAAGACAACAATACTACCTTTTCATTTTATTTTACTGTAAACGTTACACTGATGTAAGCTATCTAAGCTATTGAGCATAGAAAAATATAAATTACTTTGATGTGAGCCCCTGCATATAGAAAATCGTTATTTTCATAGCCAATAAGATAACAGTTAAACAAAAAAAAAAAGCACACTTCTTACTTCAGAAAAAATTTTTGCTCAGTTCAAGGAGTACAATTTAGCTCAACAGATGGTATTTACAATAAGCTTTAATGATTGTTTTATGAAAAAACCTGTCTAATATAGAAGAGAGTAAATCAGCCCGTCTACAATCTTTTTCTGAACGATTTTTCACCATATCCAATGAAGAAACTGCTCGTTCTACCCGCTGTAATATTTCTTGCACCGATTGTAAACCTAAAATCCGGTCTTCCAAACTATAACGAAATGAATCACCTGTTTTTTTATCATATAAAGAAATGCAAGAGAACAGAAGTAAAAAAGAAAAAAAAAAGAATGAAGTATTATAAATGCACATACTGGAAATCAGGTCCAATTCAGCGGGTGGTATATTTCCTGGTCTAGATGAGTTTCGTTGTGACGATCCAATTGATAGTGCCCCTCTAGTCCTACCACTTCGCACTACAAATTATTTGGTTATTACAATTTCTTAGTTTAATAATCCAGGTTGATATCATTCTTAGGAATATCACTATTCAAACTTTTAGCTTAAAATAGGAAGCACAAAATAAATGAAATCCTCACATCGAGATATAACAAGACCATTTGGATGAATTTCTGTAGCATCGTTACATTCATCAGGTTCATTCTTATGAGTACTTCTCCAAAATCTGAAACCATATTGTTCAAAGTAATTTTTAATAATATATAACTAATCTAAACATCTACGATGCAAGTTTGAACAAGTCAAATGTAACGCTCAAGTTTCACTATTAAAAAGAATAAATTCTAATTTTCATCCATAGATATAACAAATAATAACATAATCCAAGACCGAACGATTACCTTTTTATATAGAAATAACCGATTACTGCAACACCAATGCCTATTCCGAAGCCTACAATTACTGTCGTCCTTCGGAATGCAATATAACCATTGGGTATTCGTAAGCGCATATTACGAATTTTCAAACAATTTATGAGCAAAAATACAAGAAATCACTTCGCTGATGACCCGTGTTTCAAGTTTAAACTTCGACTTCTGAAATTCGACAATGATTAGTTAGGAAAAAAATCGAAGTGCCTAAGCGTTGTCAATCTAAACCTGAAACAAAGGCACTATTATTGAAAAAAAAGTCACATATTACGTGTAATCCTTACTACCACCATCCTGCATATATTACGAAAAGCTTTTTTTTTTTTTGTTTTCGACATTATTATATAATTAAATTCGTGCTGAAAATTTCACTGTCATTAGAATTTCATTGCATGAACCATTTTATAGGCTAAAATAACTTCTCCTAGGTTCATTTTATAGAAAGATAGAGTGTAAGCTTCATGAAATATCTCATTCCAATAGCTTAAACTATCATTTGACGAAAAAAATATTAGTAAGATAAAGCGCTGAGGGGATTTCATGAATGATAATAATATAACTTCAACAATTTAACATGTAATACACTCTGATTAATCAAAAAAGCTAGTAATCTTATTTTTAGAGTAAAGTTAGGAATTTCGCATTTTTAAAGTAAAGCTAACAATTTCTCATTTCTGAAGTAAAGTTAGCAAAAACTTCTCGCTTTTATTACAATACATGTCTTGCATGATAATAAAAAAAAAACTTTTTTTCATAATTTCATTCCAAATAATATGAATTTGAATTCATCTGAATCTTCTAAATAACAAATGAACAATCACATTTCAACTATTACTCTTCTATCAATCTATTCCACAAAGAAGATGAAGAAATGTGAAAAAAAAAAATCACCTATGTTTGTTACAATCAATCATTTAACTCATCCAATTTTATTAAGATCTGTTAATTATTTTTAATTTTTCCTAATAACTTGTATATTACTCGTATACTTACTTACTCCTCCTACATCCCTCATGTTACATTATCACATTACCACGGAATAACTGTCCAACAGTCGAAAAAAAAAAAACCCTCAATTACCTCAATTAACAAACTTTTAGCAAATCCTTAAATACGAATCACTGAAAGTCTCTCAATGAAAATAGTAGTGTCCAAGTAACTAAGTAAGTAAGTGTATTAATTATTTCAATTATATGGGTCAAATAGATGAAATAAATGATAAGTTTTTCATAATTATTTACAGTTTTAATCAGATGAGATATGATAAGTAGAATATTTTAGTAATACATATGGTTTAATTTGTCATATATCACTTCAATGCTTTTCTTTGATATTTTTTTTTTTGCGTAATAAATTACTTTCTTCTTTTATTCATTACTTTTAATTCACTACTTTGTTTTCACTACTTCTAATTCTTTTTTCTTTTTGTGTAGCAAATTTATTAAATGCAAATTTCAATTCATTACTATGTCCTTTATCTATTACCTCTCTCTCTCTTTCCCTTTCTCTCACTTTCTTTTTTTTACACTTATGAAATTATTTTATTACAGTTATCATTAACATGGGAATAGAAAAAAGAGGAAAGTGTAATTTTATGTAGGATGAAATGAAAAAAATGTGAAAATAAAAAATTAAAATGAAACAAATAATAAAAGCTGTATTGTTTCAATTTAATTTGCCATGGTTTGTGAAACATGCATTGAACAAGTTCATTAAAAAGTTTAATTATTGTAGTGAATTAACATAGTAAAAAGAAATGGCGAAAAAAATGAGCGTTTTAAACATTTTGAAATTAAATTCGATCATTTGCGCTCACACATTCGGGTATATTTTTCGCTTTATCACAGATTTTGCTTGTTGGGTTAACAATCTGTCCTGAAATATTTTTCATTATTCTTGTCATCAGAATTCATTTAAATTTGAAAAAAAGAAAAACAATTGTTTGAAATTAAATTTGACTAAATCTGTTGGATTTACGTCTTGCTCAAAAACATATTCATTATGCTTATTGATATTCAATGTGCCATTTAAATTTTCTTTTTAAAAAAATGGCTTAAGTAAGTAAAAGGGTAATAAAATAAAGCAAATGAAGCAATTTACTGATTTATTTTAACACTCTAAATGATTTAAAGATACCTTACAGCAACATAAATCCAATGTAATTTCAAAATTTATACCTTCTGGGCAATTATAAACAAATGTAACATGTCGACTACATACGATATATTCATTTCCACAATCATTGAAATAAACACCATCCTTTAATTTTTTGCAAAAAGCTAAAATTAAAATTAATAACAGATATGAATAGATTATTTAAATTAATAAAATATCCTTTAATTTTTTGCAAAAAGCTAAAATTAAAATTAATAACAGATATGAATAGATTATTTAAGTTAATAAAATATCATTTAATTTTTTGCGAAAAGCTACAAATTAAATTTAATAATAGATGACTTGAATAAATTATTTGAATTAATAAAATATCATCTAATTTTTTGCAAAAAGCTACACAATAAAATTAGCAATAAATAACTTCAAACAAGAAAATAAAAATTGATTGTTCAATTTAATGAAAAATAAAACCTTTATCACGAATTATTGTTCCATCTATGCCTTTTATTTCTTTTTTTTCTGAAGAAGATTCTCGTTCTATCTCAGGACATGTTGTTTCTTTCCTAGAAATAATTAATTTTTAAAAATATATTAGCAAAACATTTTTGATATAAAAAGACATCTCTAAACTTTATTGCCTCTTTGTCGTATAATATTAGCTCTGTAAAAAAAAAAAACGAAAATTACTGGTAACAATGAATATCGTTTATAAAAGTTTTTTAATAACAACTTTTTAAAAAATTTCTAAAAACAAAAAAAAAATCTAATCCGAAGTTTTTTTTTTTTTTTTTTTTTAAACTTAAACTGTAAATAATGATAATGCATGATAAGTAAAAAAAAATTTATCCCCAAAAATTTTTCATTTAAAATTTCTTGTTAGTGTTAAAATGATATATGAATTGTAGCAACGAAAAATTAATTTTCGTTCATTCTCAAATAAAATCTAACAAATTAGTTTGAAAGTTTTTTTATCTTAAATTATATGTAATGATGATAAGTAAAATTTTAAGTAACTATAAGTATCATTACATATGATGAATAAAAAAAAACAATGATAAAAAATTTTCAAAATGAAAGAATTATTTTTAAAAAATTTTTACTTTATATTTTTCATTATTAATTACAATGTATTGATTAAATAATGACATTAATTCTACCAATGGTGTAATTAAAATAAATTAATAATTATATATATATATATATATATATTATACTAACTCTTCATTATCTATCATTTTTGAACAATCTTTAATGTTTTCTGCATAATCACAGGTTTGTGCTTCCCCATTAAATATTAAATTATATGGACATTCAAAAAAAAAAATCCGATGATTAGCGCAAGCAACGAATTCAGTTTTACAACCAATTGAATAAAAGCCATCCGCTTTCGAGCGACAATCGAAATCTGTAATGTATTAAGTATGAGAGGTAAAAATTATTGATAAAAATAGATTAAAAAAACGGTAAGAACTATAGGTAAAAATTTTGCACCAAAAAATTTTACTATTAAAATTTTAATATATAAGAAAATTTAATAATGTTTAAAATAGTTAGAGAAATATAAACAAATTAAAGATAAAGTATAAAACTTCATTTGAATCTGTTTAAGTAATAATTTTCAAAATTTAAACTATTTTTTTGCAAAATTTACACCTCTTGATAGAATGGGAAGAATTTTAGTTTGAGATATTGGTGTACTAATAGATGCAGGTAAACTTGCTTCCGGCATATGTTTGGTTTTACTCACTTCTTTTGTTTGAGTTTCATCGATCTGGAAAAAAAAATATTAGGCTGATTTTTTTTTGCATAACATTTTTTTTATTTTCTTTGATTTTTTTTTTAATTGTGATGAGTTTTAGAATTTAACAAAAAAAAAAGCCAAAAAGCAAAAATTTAAACAGTTTCAAAGGTATACCTCTATTTTCTTGGTACTTTTATCAATTTGATACATTGACCGTGTGGTAGTAATAATATTATAATCATAAATTTGTTTACTAGGTGTAATGCTAAAGAGAGTTTATTAATTTAAAAAAAATTACAAAAGGATGATAATATCAAAGTTATTTTTTAAAATTTTCCTTTAAAATAAGCTGTAAATTTAGCAAAATTAAAACGTTATTTATTTAGCACATGGACATATATCTTCTTGTTTTTTTTTTTTTTTTTTTTTCTTCTCAATATTAATCGAAATAACATTTTGATTTAAAACTTATCATTTATTAACACTGCTATGATAACTAAAATAACTTTTTTAATTATCTATATTTTAAAAAAAATAAAATTTTTAAATTATATCACCGTAATATTAAAAGTATATAAAATGACGAAAACAAACAACTTCTTTTTAAAACAAATTTTACTAACAAAATAGATTAAAATTTAAATTTATGCTAACTTTGAATCATCGTGATCTAAGTTACATGAGTGAACATATTTTTTATAATTGCAAATTCGTGTTTCACTATCAAAAAACAATCCTTCTGGACATTTTACATGATATCCATTATTTGATGCACAAAAATAGAAATAATTTTCACAACCAACTGAATATAATCCATCACCACTTGCATTACAGAATTCATCTCAAAATTATATATATATATATATATATATATATATATATTCATCTCAAAATTATATATATAGAATAAATTAAGAATTTTAAAATGAAAAAAATTTTAATTTTAAATTAGATTTTGAATTTAATATTGAAATTTTTTGATCTAGTATTTTTTTCTAGAAAAAAGCAAAAAATTTCAACAAATACATTTTGATAAATTTTGGTGAATTTGAAAACAAAAATTGATTGAAGTAAAAGTTGTGAAATAATTATTAGCTAAATAATAATTCCAATTTTATGATTAATGATTCAAAAAAAAAAAAAAAAGAAAAAAAAGGGAAAAGGAAAAATGTTACTTAATTCCGGTGCTGGAACTATTTTTGATATTTGAATAGGATCATTTGTAGTTGTTTGAGAAGGATTTTCCGAATTTATGCATTCCGGTACAAATTCTATAGCATCACATTGTTTCTGTTTTGCGTCATATACTTGACCCTGTGGACATCTAGAAGCAAAAAAAAAAAATTTATCAGATTGTTATTATTTGTTTTCTTCAATAAACAATCAATCATAAATTATCTTTCTATTTTTTAAAAAAATTTTTTCTTTTTGTTTTCGTCGTTTTATTGGTTAAAATGGAGATATCAATTTTGATTAAAATTACGAATCGATAATGACAATTAAAATAATGTTTGCTTGTAAAAAAATTATCAAATTTTTTTCTTTTTTTATAAAATTAGTAAAATTAAAATAAATAATTACTGAAGTTCAAGAAGCTTGCCAGCTGTACAATTATAATACAAATTTGAACATGCCGAATGTTCCATAATGTTTTCATTCCATTGAATGCAATTTAATTCAACAGCATTATTTTCAATCAATTGTTTGCTAGAAATTATTTCACTCTAATAAACATTATTTTTGCGCAGAAAATTTTTTTTCCAATTTTTTCAAACAAAAAATTTTTCATTTCAAACTCTATCAAATTTTATTTCTAAGATAATTAATTTAAAAAAATTAATGAACTTATTAATGCAATCCTCAATATTGTTTAGTGTATCACATTTTTGAGTAGCTTTATTAAAAAATAATTCATCGTGACAAATTCGTCCAATACTTTGACCATTTGAGCAATGCCAAAAATATTTTGAACATTGTCCATTGATCATTGGATAATTTCCATTTCTCATTTGGGTACAATTCAATTCTCAACAAATATTTGAAATATTATTGCATTAGCAAATAAATATTAATAAATTTGAACATTGTTAAATGTTTAATTATTTTTATAAGTTATTTCACTCTGATAAATAAAATATTTTGTATAAAATTGTTAAATTGTTAATCTATTTTCTTTTGAAAAAGAAATTATTTGATTTTAAAGTTTTTTGAAATTACTCATTGCTTTTGTTTGTTGTTTTTTTTTTTTTTTTTTTTTTTGTTTTTATTAAAAGAAAATAAAGGAATAACTTGCTAATGAAATTTAATGCTGTAAAATGTCAATGTTCTGTTTATGTAAGTATTACTTAACTTGAGTAATTCTGATAAAACTGTCATCGTTTCACTTACCTCTTTTAGATTTCCATATGCTTGTTTGATTTCTAAAAATTATTTAATTTTAACAAAATTTAATACTTCGTTTTGACTTCATATGGAATTATATATTTCAAAAAGAAAAAAAAGAGCATTTCGTAGTAATATTTTACATTTTATTAATGATTAATTAGAGTGAATTTATTAGTAAATTAAATTATAATTAATGACCATGTTAAAAAAATTTTATGATATCCGAAACATCAAAAGCAAAATTTTCATTGGATACAATAATCTGCAAATATTATCTCTGCTAGTTATATCACACATTTTATTATAATAATATTGTTATTATTATCTCAATTACAATATTAAAATGATAATGAAATCCTAAAATGTTTTTCGAATTGAAAAAATTTTACAAAGTTTGTCGAGCAGGTCGCTTTTTGTCATTACTACTGTTATCTTTGCTCATCTTTTCTCTACCAAGTGATAATTTCCTTGCACTATCAATGTATCGTTCATTTATATCAGGATATTGCCCATCTCTAATTGACATCAAATTTCGTTCAATATATTTCCCTATAAAAAAAAAAAAAGAAAATAATGGTTTTTAAAAATAGACAGATTGAAAAAGAAAAAATTTATAACATCAAAAATATAATTAATTTTTCCCTTCTAATTTCAATAAATAAAATATATTTTAATTATAATTATGACTGAAACACATTTCAAATTTTAAATTATAATAATAGCATGTAAAATTTTAATTCAAATAATTTATCAATAGAGCCTCTTTCACCCAGGTGACTTCCTCGATGTTCATAGTAATAATATATTAAATTTTAATTCATTTAATTGAAATGATTTAACAATAAAACCTCTTTCACCCAGGTGACCTTCTCGACGTTCATTATATCCCTGTAATGCAGTTAATACATTACATTCGTCAATACTGTCCACTTCGTCACATCCTTTTAGCTTATCATTGTAGTATAAGCCAGCTGGACAGAGCATTTCAGCAGAGTGACCACGTGAACAATGGTAGTAAGTGGTTGAGCATTTACCAGTGCCATAAACGCCATCGTTTCGCTTGGAGCAATCAAATGGATCACTGGAAATGAGTTGGCTAAAAATAGAATGGAATTTTAAACAATGAAAAATGAAAATATATATGAAAGTTTTTATGTTTTTTTTTTTTTTTGTTTTAAAATTTTTTTTTAAATATTTTGCAAAATTTGCTAACAAAAAATTATTTTAATATCTGAAATTTTATTATTTAACTAGAAATGGAGTAGAATTTAAAGTAATAAAAAATTAACCGAGCATCTAAAATTCAGTTATTTAACTGAAAACAAAGTGAAATTTGAAATAATAAAAAAATTAACATTTAAAATCTAATTATTTAGCAGAAATGAAGTGGAATTTAAGGCAATAAAAAACCGAAAATCTATATGAAGATTTTTGTTTTTTTTTTTTTGTTTTGATTTTAATACAAATATTTCGTAAAATTGCTAATTAAAAACTAATTTAAAATTCAATTATTTAACTGTGGAGTGAATGAGATAAACATAAAAGAAACAAAAAAAAAAAAAAAATGCAGAGGAAAAATAAAACATACACTGCTTTTACAATTGCTCGATCATTATCCATACTGAAAAAAACAAAAAAAAAAATAATAAACAAGTGCCAAATTCAAAATTTACTGTGACAGTATTATATGAAGTATTGTTGATAAATAAAGTAAAATTCTGAAAAAAAAATTTCTGAAATTCTAATTTTTTGGAAAAAATTAATTTGTTTACTTATTAATGCATGCAATAACTTGTTCTGGTTCTTCACATTTAGCCGTTTCAACATTGAATTTACGATTTTTGCTACATCTATAAACATAAAGCTTGCCATCATGGCATCTCAGAAATTTTGATGAACAACCACGTCCGTATAATCCGTTAGCATTACGTCTGGTACAATCTAGACCAGTTGATCCTAGAAGCAATTCCAATTACTTAATAAAATTGCACAAATTTTTCAAAATTTTGTTTTATGCATCCTTGAGTTAGAAATTCAAATAATACTTTATCATTAAAATCACATCACTTAATCTTTTTATTATCAACAGATGATTAAATATTATAAGCAGAAAAATAAATTAACCAATTAATAAAGTTAAAAAAATATCTAACAAAACATTGCATATTATCAATATAAAAATGGATTTTCTACATCGATCAATTATAATTGAAATTATTACAGTTTTTTTTTTCTTTAAATAAAAAAAAATCGTTTAAGCTTTCTTTCCTTGACTTCTAATATTTCGACAAATTAAAATTATCAAGTCAAAATAATTTAATTTGTGTAACTTACTTTTAGAAGTATTCTCGATCAAATTTATTTGGAGCAAAATAATTACAGAAATAAGCGAAATCATCCTTAAAAAAATAGATTATCAGTATAAATAAAAATAGATTATCAGTTGTCAGCAAAAAGGAAAAAAAAGCGAAAAATCCCAGGAACTTTTAATACAATGAAAGACACATGAAAAAATGATGAATGGGAAAGCATTAAAGAATGATGTGGTACTTTTCTCAAGAAATCTTATCATTAAATTTCAATCTCCGAGAAAAAAATCTCAAAACGTTAATTCAAATGATCTAACATTTCAAAAGATTATTTCACATTTCATGTATATATACATACATATATATATATATATATATATATATATATATATATTATTATTATTATTATTATTATTAAAAAACTTTTCCCACGAAAAGCATAAAACTTATTACTGTAATATTATTTTTTTGTTTTTGTTTCATACAAACAAAAATCGAAACGAAAATTTCTTTAAAATTTTTTATTCATTATCGTTTTGTTTAAGTTGAGAAATGCTAATATAATAAATTAAAAAAAAAAAAAAAAACCTTAAATCATCTCAAATGTAAATTTTCTAAAAAATATTAAGAATAATGAAAACAGCAAAAGTATATATTAGTTAGCATAGTGCTAATTGATATTTTTTTCAAATTCAAAATTTTAATAGATATCAACAATGTTATGGAGTTTGCATGATTTTTTTTTATTAATCTATTATATGTATTTTATTTCATTTAAACAATTTCAATGTTTATGGGTTTAATAATTGATTACAGACTAATCAGACATGAATTACTCGATTATTTGATTTTTTATTTGATTATATTTATTATCTGACTTTTTTGTTATATGAATTTGAGTAAAAATTTTTTGATAATATGTTTTATTAGCATAAATTGTTAAAATCTTGTATCAGTTAGCATTAATTTAGATTAAACTAAATTAAAACATTGATTTAAGCAATTGAATTTTTTAATATATTTATATTCAACATGAAAATGCCATATCTTTCAGATATTTGTTGACACAACAACAATTATTATATCTTAATACTGAAATGCTAAACAATCATTTTAATTACTAAAGGATTTTTATGTATTAGGAAATAAAGTTGATGCAATATTTAATAATTTTTATAATGGCTAAAATAACATTATTTTCAAATTTTTTTTTTTTAATTCCAAATCCTTCATTTTTTATATTTGATCCTTCTGGAATATTTTTTTTAATTCTAATTTTAATTCTTGCATTGCATTTTTTATATTTGATCAATCTGATAGCTTTTCTTTCCTGATTCACAAAGAAAATTCCATTGTTTTAGGAATACTATCATGAGCCTTTTATTTTATTTTATTTTCATTTTTTTCCCTAAAACAGATGCATCTTAGATTTCTTCATATGCTATAAAAGTTGTCAATTTTTTTTCCGGCAATAACAAAATTCAGGAGAAGTTAATAACAACAATATTCCAGAAAATGGCAATTATCAGAAAAACAGGAAAAAAGAAACAAAAGGCCCAAGCATAAATAATCTTGAAACGGTAGAATTTCTGATAGAAATAACACTAAATGATCAAATTATCTTACTGATTATCTATGATTTGTAATAAAGAGTAAAATTTAAAAAAAAAATTTTTTTTGAATGCAAAAATTGAATGCTTTTCTTTAAATAAAAAATTTCTAGAACTTTGTTCTATTATAAGGATTTAACCAATTAATAAATGTTAAACCATAATTAATTAGCAAAATGTCTTGTAGAAATATGCCATTATAAGAAAAGCTCAATTGTTAGATTGGTAGCGGGACGTCAATTGCATTATGATGCACGGTGACAGTCACACAACGGGATAGATTCCCGAATGTGGTTTCTTTTTTTTTTTTTTTTTAATCTTGTTGAACTGATTTGGTCGACGTCTTTTCATCTTTTCGCGCACGTTTGCGTTGGCACGTGTGTTAGTGTAATTTAAGTTTATTAATTCTGTTCTTTTCGTTACCGCTTGAAAGTTCAAGTGTACCCTCCAAATGCATTGTATGAGACTGTAATGTAAAAAATTTGCGTATGGTAATTCCACTTGATAGATGACGTGCGCGATTTAATGTAAGTTATGAATATTTGCATCTCTTTTATTTTTCAGTTTCTTTTATTGAAGTTCACTTCCTTTCTCTACTCGTCTATTTTATTGTTTTTTTTTTTTTTTTTTTTTTCCTGAAGCTGAGAGGGTATTGTTGTGTTTTAAGTGGCAGAATTTGTATGGATTTAGCTTACTTATGCTAATATTTTGGCTAATTCAGAAAAAGCAATGTTGAATTCAAGCAAATATATTGATATTTGTAAGCCTATTTTTATGGATTTTTTATACGAATTTTCGTAAGTGTGTTGTGCTGATTACTTTATTTATTTAGTGATAAATTACTTTCTTGAGTTTCTGTCATTGGTCCACTCTACTGGATGAATTTCTGAATGCTAGAAAAAAGTCGAGAGTGATTGCTTTGAAATGGAAAGTCCATTTCTGAATTAGTTATCTTTCATGTTAAACAAATGGATCATTTGTTAATGGTTCTAAAGGATATATTTCCATTCTTTTTTTTTTTGTGGTTTTTTAAACAATTTTTTTGTTTTTATAAAGCTTAACCTATATTTTTGCTTCTGTCACCATACCTTGCTAAGTAGCTGGTCGAATATGAACGATATAAAAAAAAATTTTTGAATATAGATATGGGGAAGAATTTAAAATGAGTAAGCTATGCATATAATTATTTTTATCATAGTTTCCTAAGAAGCTGATCGAATATATGCATCATGTCTAGGAAAGATGTTTGTCCTAGTATTACAAAGTAACTTTACCTCAAGCATTTTTATTCAGTGGAACAAAATGTCACTTAAGAAACATATTGTTTGCCTTCTCCATCATTGCACTTTTTCGACAACTTTTTTTACAGAATTTAACGATCTGTAATTTAGAATCTCTAGAGGTTCCCGATTACGTTGATTTTTGTCTCTCTTTTTTTAGTATTCTTATATTAATCAAAACTGCCATTTTATAATCATATAACCATCAAAGGTTTATGATCATAATATTAGTTAGAACCAATAGAATTCTTCAGTTTATCGCGTAGTTCGATTCGGTCTTTTCTTCATTATCTGTAATTTTGCTAATGTACAAGTGATAAAGCGATGCGATTCTTTTAGTTTCTGATTGTCTAGGTGATTTTTTTTAGGTAAGAATCATTTTAGAATTTTAAAACTAATGGAGGAAGAAAATTCACTGTCTCTGAGTGGCCGAGAAAGTTCAGTGATAGAAGTTGAAGAATTGCAGCAATCTTCATCATCCGAATGGTGCATTGATTCCGAAATACGTCTTTTCAAAAAACTCTTATCTCATAAACCAGCAGGTAAGCATTTTATAATGGATTTTTTATTCTTAAAACTCACGATTTTATCTTCTGTTTGCATTGATATTACGCATCTTATAGCAATTTTTTAATCTAAGATTTTCCATCGTTGTCAACTAGTTTTTCTTTCTTTCTTTTTTTTTTTTCTTTTCCACTTCTTAATTCTTTGTAGATCCATGCAAATAGGACATTGAAAATTTATGAGTAGTTTATGAGTAGCTATGAATTTTTCAGGTATTTCAAAACATTTTCATATGGGTTGTCTTGTTGATTACATGAATAACGTTTATGAGGACGAAGATACCGATTTTGAGGATGTTTTAACATCAGAAGATTTACATGAACTTACTGCCAAAAGAAATACTACAGGAAGGCCGCGTGTTTTTAAACCAAGATATAAAATAAGACCTAGCGCTGAATTGGTCAGTCTACTATCATGTTAAAATTTTTTACTTTGCTTTATAACGGCAAACTTTATGATGACTCATCCTCATTGTTGACTAAATATAACTTAAGTGATGCAGTTATCGTTCACAAAAGTAACTCTTGCTGAGTGTGGCAAGATTATTTCACTAATAGGAAACAAGCAGATTTAATTTGGTTAAACGCTACAATACTTTAATCAAATTTAAGAAACTAAACCAGCAATGGATGAGTTCAACATGATGTGCAAAATGGTGCAAAAATGATTTATTTCAATACTGCTTTTTCAAAACACATTTAGAAGTTTTATTCCAGATTTGGGAAAAATTAGAAAACATGTATGATATGAAAGAGATTGAGAAAAATGAGGCAATACCAGATGGTTTGTTGGAACAATCGGAATTCTGTTTGCCAGAAGATGATTTCGGTGATTTGTTACGCAAGAAAGATGAGCTGAACAGAAGTTTTGTTGCTCCTCAAACTAGTGGTAGTCAATCGACTTTACGGAGAAAGCAGCGGGATTCGGGTATATTTTTATTAGGATACTGAATTTCTTGCAACTTTTTTCCTGTTTCATTATAAAATTGATAATTATTCGATTTTCATCGATAGCTGAGTGTAGAAGGCTTCATCTTACTAACTTTCTAAGAAATTTGCAAAAGTCATGTTAACATATTTTATGACAGAGGACTTTCAAATTTTTAGAAAATGTAATTTTGAAGTGTTGCTTCATTTTTGATATGATGTAATGTTTTAGCTCTTCTAGTCGCTGCATGATAAACTGTGTTGCATTTGTTGCCAAGAAGCAAGTTGAACTTAGAAATCAGGTTATTTGATGTGTTGTCATGTTATCCATGGAATTTCGGGGTTAAAAATCCAGTTTCAGAAATTTGTCTAATGACTTTATCAATATTACGTTCTTGCTACGTTCAAAATATATAGTTTTGTTTTTGATAAACTGTGATGTCCTCATTATAAAGTGTTTTTCTGTAATTATGGTAGTAATTAGCTTTCCTTCATAAATTTCATTTATAAAGTAATATCTTTACCTTTTTTTGTGCTTCTTCGCTCACTAGTTATCTTTCTGCAAGTAGGAAGAATAATGAGGATAGAAAAATTTCTTCCTAAATGCACCAGAGACTTTTTATATTTCTTGTTCTTGTTTTGTTCCCTCTTTGTATTTATGTTTTTGTAGGAATTTTAATAGCACATTTTTTAAAAGTTTCGTGAGAAAAAAAGAAACTTAAGACGTGTTTTTTTTTTTTTTTTTTTTAATTCTTTGTTGTAACTGTTTGCATGTGTTTTTATCCTGAGATATTTTTTGCGCTCGTAAACTTCTGCACTTTCGATGATCTCATTTCGTTATTTGCTGGGTAAAAATTTTTGTAAACGTTTTCCTCCCATTTTGTATGCTGTGCAAATATTAGCAGTATATTAAATGGGGTATATATGCAATTAGGATATACTCAAAAAATTTCTAACTGATGAATTCGTCATTCAGTAGATTGGTCATTCAGTATGATAACCTTACTCATTAACAACTCAGTAACAAAATTAGGGGATTTAAGTGATTAAACGTTTTTGGGAAGTGATCGTTTATTGGTACCAATTCGTTGGTGATAATTTCTGCTATTGGCTACTGGAATTCAATATTTCATACTTTTTTGCATCTTTTGCTTCAATCGATCATCGGTAACCATATTGCCCATTCATATTATGCCGTGCAAATTACTGTATATCTATTTAGTAACCATTCATTAAATGATGAAAAATCAATAACAGTTACGAATTTTAATTTTGATTTGTTAATTTTTAAATAATATACCTGGCAGCTCAAATTTTGCAGCAATTAATAAAATTGTCGAACGACCAGAAATAAATAGAAATGAATAAAAAAAATAAATAGAAATGGGAAGTTCTTTTTTTAAAGTAATGTGCTGTTTACTGTCATCGTAATTTCATTACTTTAGCAATAACTTTATTGTTTGTTCTTAAAATTTTATGCCCACTTAATAATATTAAAGAAATGAACAAATTGAATATTAAATTATACCGACAGTTCACTTAAATGTTCACTAAGTTGTCATTTCTATTGTTGCTATTATACCATCATTTGTTGGAATGTAATTAGTGTTTTGATGTTGCGATAAACCAAAAAAATTAAGCTTTGCAGTATTCAAAAAACTGAATGAAAACAATGATTTTAGCTTTATTAGTTAAAGTTTAGCTTTGTTACTCTAACTATATTAGTTAGAGTATTAGCAAAGTTAATGATTACAAATAAAAAACTATTACTATAACTCTTTAGTAAAAGTTAATTTATAGTATTGTTTCATTTACTCACGAGGGTGATTGTCAGATTGAAAGATCACTTCGGAACTTCAATGTTACAAGTAAATTTGGATTATAAAGCAACGAAAGTTCATTAAACAAGTAGATTATAACCTTTTAGTTAATACAATTGAAAAATAAGTACTCAGTAAATGAATTTCATATTTGGGCGATAAAATCTAATGAATAAATTTTTATATTAACTGATACAATTGTACTGCTTGAAAATTTCTGCTCTACAGATCAAATATAAATTTTATTAGCATATTAAATTTCAATTTTTTTTGCAAGCCAAATTTATTGTTGAAAAATTGAAATGAAATAAAAAATATTATTTGTTGTTGAATTTTCATTTGCAGTTCATAATCGTTTACTGGTTGGTCAGTTACCGATTTGTATTTCTCTGCTGAAATTTCTTATGAGAAATTTGTATACCTTAATTTCATTGAATATACTTCATATTAATGTCGAGTGTTTCATTTTAAAATTGCTATTTTCAAAAAGATACGCTTTATTTTAGAACTGATATTAAAATTGATATTTTCAATGTTAAATGCTTTATTTTAAAATTGATATCATATTGACATTAAAATAGTTACTTTTTATTAATTGCTTTATTTTAAATCAGGATGTCACTGATGTAACTAAATGAACCAAAACAAATGGAAAATGCATTTTTTTTTTTCCATTTTTTAGGTAATTTTTTTTTTTTTTTTTTTGCAGATACGAGGTGATAGGAATTATTATTATCGAGCTCAGAATACTTTTTACAGAATCGATCAGTTTAGCGATTAATTCATTCGTCAAAAGAGTAATGTGAGTGAAACATTTTATGATTGACCTAATACTGATTCCTTTCACTTTATTTCAACTTTTTTTTTTGTTGTTGTACAAAATATAAGATTTAAAAATTTTAACACCTTCAAATTTGTATTTCAAATTAGAAAAGAACTTTCAAATTTAAACTTTGAAAAATATAAATTGCATAAAAAAGTAGACTTTGTTTTTTTAATCAAATATAATATTTAAATTTATTGAAATCTTTTAATATAATCCAATAAATTTAGAATTTATTTATTGTTAGTATTTTATTCACATTTCATAGCTTGTGATCATATCATTAATTAGTTAAACTGTAAATAGGTCAGTTTAGTCATGTTTAATCATTAGGTAAATTGTTTAAAGATAAACACAAAATGTAATGTACGTCTAATAGAACCAGTACAACCATGTCAGGGATGTCGTTACCTGACAACTGGATATTCATTTTTAAATATGCAAATTAAAGATAAATCAGAAATCAGTATTGCTAATTTAATTTGCAAAGGTGAACGATCAACAGTAAACTTGTTCTAATAATTTTGAACATTTATTACTTTATTCATTAAAGTCAATACTTATTATCTGCATTTATGTATGCACGTGATTGCAACTTAATTATTAATTACATTCAAACTGTTTCAATTTCAGATTTATAAAGCAACTCGTTATTTCACCAAATTTATTTTACTAAATAAATTTTATTAAAACAGTGACGAAACAACCAATCAGTTTAAAAGAAATGGATGATTGTACTGCAGCAATATTTCATGATTTATTCCGGGTAACATTTTTATTTAGTTTAAATTTCTTAAAATCTAAATTTCTTATGAAATAATTTACTGATAACATAAATTAATGTGTAAAAATTACGTGAAAAAAATGGCAAGACTACTTGTAATTACGGAATAAATAATCTTTATAATTAATATACATGGATCAAATTTTAATCAAATAACAAATTGATTTTTTCCTTTTATTTTTTGAATGTTGAAAATATACGGAAAATTCGTGCACAAATTTTTAAAACAATTGTAAAAAGTAATTGTATATTATACAAAAATTAATTTATTTCAATAACAGTTCCATTTCAAAATCATCTTTCTTTATTTATAGAAAAATCAAATAGTTGTCACTCGCATTGTTAGTTCTTAAAATTATCTTACTTCCTACAACATTAATAAAATTTAACAAATTTTGAAATTTTTTTAAATCACTTAAATTATTCTACTTTATACAATATTAATGAAATTCAACAGCTTTTAAAAATTAATTTGACGAATTTTTTTTAATCATTAAAGTCATTCTACAAATTTTAAGAATTAATTTAACAAATTTTTATTTTAATGTTTAGGAATTACATATTGTATGTACATTTCGACATCAAATTAGACCTAAAACAGCAATAAGCATTGAAGCACATATGGTTTTTGGCCGACCCTATTATATTGTTTATGGATTATGCGAAAAAGGCTCATTAGTGCAATATCTTGAAATGAATACCATCGATCTGAATAATGGAATAAAAGTTCCACTTTTTATTATTTTTCTTTTTTTCTTAGTTTTATTTTTTCCTGGAATACTTATTACAGAAGCAATTTTTAAAAATTAAAAAAGAAAATTTCGTTTTTTTTTTTTTTTAAAGTTACTCACACTAAGAATATTTATGCAATCAATCAATTCAATTAAAAAATATTTGAAAAATTTAATTTGAAAATTTTCAAAAACTTATTTCATCATTTTTTCTTTGTATTTTTTTGTAACTTCTTTTTTTACATAAAGCAGATATTACGACATATAGCACAGACATTAGATCATTGTCAAAAGATGCCTGTCATTTATGGAAATTTGAAAGCTGAAAATATACTTGTTGATATAAAAGGTGACAAAATAGCTAAACCGATTTATTACATGAATGGCTTTCATCATGTAATTATGGTCAAGTAAATTCTTTCATTTGTTTTTTTCTTGTCTTTTTGGCCAAATAAAATTCTTTCCCTTGTTTGTTTTTTCTTTTCCTTTCTTTTTTTTTAATATAAAAGGGAAATAAACTTTTAAAAGTTATTTTAAGTTTTTAACAAATTTTTGATAACAAATTACTACCTGAAATGTATAATACAATATGAAGGTAAAAATATTCTTGAATATTTTTAATCATCAACAAAAATGATTGCTTTCAGAAAAATAGTTTCATTACTATGAGTGATTTTTTTTTTTTTTTTTTTTTTTTTTTAACATATATATTGAGCTTATTTGCAATAATTAAAGTTGATTTAAATTCAATAAAAAATAAATTAAAGCAATTTAGAACAAAAGAAGTAGATCCAAATAAATTACCAAATAAACGTTGGCTTGCACCAGAAGTTTTGACAACAAAATTATTAACGCTGAAATCAAATGTATTTGCATTTGCATTTTTAATGTATGAATTTTCAATGATGAAAATATCACATGAAGCAATTGAAGATAAAAATATTCTTGAATATATTGATAAAAATCCATTGTTCGACCAAGTTAGTTTCAATTTTTTCTTTTAAATTTAAGGATTTTAATCTTTATTGCCACACTTTCATCTATTTTATTTCACAAAAAAATAATAACAATAATTAAATAAATAAATAAGGAAAACAAAGGACAAAAAAAAGAAGAAACTGAAATTACTGCAGAAATTATTATTAAAAAAAAAAAAACCCAAAATCTCAGAAACACAAACAATCCTTAAATATCTAAAATATCTTACAGAATCCTAAAATAAAAATACTTATAAAAGATAAAACAAAAAACAAAACAAAATTAAAAAATTCTAGAAGAAAAAAGATAACTGCACTAAGAATAAAATAAATACAAAAAAAAAAAAAAAAAAAAAAACGATAGAAAAAAAAAAAAGAAAAATAATAATAGAATTAAAAAAAAATACAAACTGAAGATTGTCCTCTAATTATAAAGTGAGAATTTAAAAATTAAACTAAAACTAAGAAAAAAATGACAAAAAATCAAAATATACAAAATAACAAATAAAACAAAATAGTCATGATACTTCCATTATTATTATTTCTTTTTCCTTTTTCTTAACATTTGTTCTCTTTTTTAGTATAACATCAACAGTTCCACATTGTTGAGAAAATTGGTAAATGGATGTTGGACAACAAATCCAGAAAAAAGATCTAAGACATCTTTGCTACTATCAAAACAAAAAAATAATCATTAATAATTTATAATGATAATAAAGAATTGACTTTAAGTGGAAGAAATTATTTAATGTTTCATTTTCATAATATTATATCTATAATTAATTAACTCAATATATAAAAAATTATGTATAATCTATGATCGGTTGCATTTCTTTCTGACAATCTTGCTCCATTAAAATGATAGGTGAATGTAGAGAATGGGAAAGAGATATAATTTGTTTCATTTCCGTTCTGAATTTCAAGTTAAATCATTCAATTATATGTAAATTTCGAAACTTCCGTTTTGAATTGCAAGTAAAGTAATATGATTCATTTCACTTTCATCTTGAATTATCAGTGAAATCAGTTAACATATGCAAAGGAAACAGGAAGGAGCATAATCCCGAACACTCTATTCCATTTCCGTTTTGAAAAAAAAAAACACAATCTATTCCATTTCCGTTTTGAATTAAAACTTTTTCTGAAGTGACATAATTCATCTCATTTCTGTCTCGAACCGCAAGTAAAATCATTCAGTCCATACGCAAGCAACGTGGAATGAGGCATGAGAATGTAATGCCAGATAAAGCATTCCAAATGTGTCTGTTATTTAGGTGTGGGATGCGAATTGCATAATGAGTGGCATTTGCAGGAATTCGAAGTCGATGGTTTCTTGTGATTAACGTGTAAATTTGACGTGAATTAATTAGTATGTATTATTGTGATAAATATAATATTGGTCATTCAGCAGTAACAACGATTTTGTTCTTTTTTTTCCTTAGGTACAATAATCTTTTTAGACATAATTTTGTCGAAACGCATTGATTATGCATTATTTTGCAAGTTATTGTGTAAGGTTACTTACGCGCTTTGTGCATATATAAAGGAATACTTTTTACGAATATTTTTTCACTTGATATTGGTTACAATACGTCACGTTTATATAGTATCATGTATAGTAAGCATATTGTGTGCTATGCGTGAAAAATACTTTGTGTACCTCATTTTCTTCATTCATTTTGTTTGTTTGTTTGTTTTCAGATGAATAATTCAAAATTTGATGGAAACATACCCGTAAATACCGTGGAAAGTTTTCGTTCTAAACAAGAAATTGATAATACGCTAAATACAACACAGTATTGCTTTCTGCATGACGACTTCTTTCTGATTAAAGGTTTTCAATAATTAAATTTGTTATATGGTTTTTAGCGATAAGTGTTAATAATTGAAGAGCACAATAATTGCATTTCCTTTTCTTTAGGAAAAATTTGTAAATTGAATAAGATATATATTGGAGAATTAGCATTTTAGCTTAATTAGTAGTTTAAAGAATTAGCTAGCAGTTTATTTCTCTTTATAAGATTAACAAAACTGTTAGTTTCATAGTAGTATTTTTTTTTTCAAAACGTCTTAATTATGCACAAAATCTCCTTATTAAGTAATTGAAAGAAAAAACAAATGAACTGATTGGGATTTTCAGGTATAATAAAACATTTGCTTTGATGATTAATACTTGTTAAATTTCATTTGGCACATTTTAATGGGTTTCATTTACAGTTACCCAAGCATTGTTTGAAGATTTCCAAGCGAAATGCGTACATTCAGAAACTATTAACGAGTCTTTCGATTTAGTTGCTTTATTTTATGAGGTATATAAATTTATTTTTATTTTGTTTTAAATGAATGTGGAAAGTTGATTTAATTGATTTTGATGTTCTTGGTTTTTCTAAAGCTAGCACATATTTAGTATGGTTTCAGATATGCAGTGATGGAATAGCTGCTTTTCAAAAAGTATCAATGAGACCGGAAAAAACGACAGCTTTAACATCCGTTTTACAGCAACTTTTAAATGAACAGCATGCTTATCTTTTGTTGTTAAATCTTGCCAAGATGATTCGAATGTTAAATGATTTCAAGGTCGAATCAGAAATTTATTTCTAACGTATACTATAAATTTTAAATCTTGCTACGATGAGTTTATTTATGCAGCCATGAATAAAAGATCTGAAATGATCAATAGGCAATTATCCAGTTGTGTTTCAAAGCAGATTTCTTTAATTTGATAGCATTTTTATTAAATCCTGCAATTCGAAGTTTGTTTAATTTTTCTGCAAATTATTTTACAATCTAATTGGGCCTTTACAATTTCTGTTCAGAATTTGGAGAAGCAATCTATTCTTGTTGATCTATTAATCACTGATGTGGAATTTAGGAGGCTACTGGTAATTTTTTGAAGGGTTATTTCAAGGAAAAAATCTTTGTTTTCAAAAGTAATCACATTTCGAGAAAGACAATTACCTAAGTTATTTGTAATTTCTGTGATATTAATTATTGGCAAATTTTCTTAGGTACTTTTGGAATGGTGTGAAGAAAATGCTTATAATGAACCTGAAGCAAATGCTGAATTATTGGACGAATATGCATATCTCGAAAGGAACTGTACACTACGGTAAGTTTTTATTTATTTATTGTAATTTTATTATGCAATGAATTGTTAGCCTTTACTGCAGGCAGTATGATAGATTGTTTACCCAATACTGATTTAGGAGACATATGCATAAGTAAAGAAAAAAATTCAAAGTAGTATGACAAACCTTGGTGGATTATTTGGATGGAACAACGTGTAATTAAAATCAGCAAAACTCTTGCAACATAGCTTTTTTTTTTTTTTTTTTTTTTTTTTTTTTCATTTTATTCTCGTTTGACTCTAATGTATCCCGTTTGTATGGTTTTAATTATAAAAATATTCTAAAATTCTAAAATACATTTTTTTCTACATATGCATCCATGTACATTATTATCTCTGTATCGTTGTAATTAAAAATCACCAATTACAGAGCGGAAACATTGCATGCTCGAATTCGTGGTGAAAACTTTTGTGACTTGGTAATCATTTTATTTATTTTTGTACTCTAGAAGAGTATTGTTTTCTGATGAACGGTGTAATTAGGCGTTTGATATTATTTCGCTTTTGAACTATGGTTTACTTTTCAGAATATGTAAGGCTGTTTTTATTTTCCTGTGATACAGATAGTAATCATTGCTATCTTCATGGAAGTGACACCCATTATATTCCATTTTGTAAGATTTGCTTATTTTTAAGTAAAAGTGAATTCAAAAAATCAATTGATAATCAACTGTTATGATTGTCTTAAATTATAGGATTTAGACGGCGCGCTTCATGGACGTTTACACAATAAAGATGAAGAATTAGAAAGCAGAGTATTCAGCATGATTTATACACTGGTGCGATGTGGTCGAATTGATGAAGTAATGAAATGTTTAAATCTCGATCTTTCCACAAATTGATTTATGATTCAGTTCGTTCAGTCGTTTTTTCCTCATTGGTTTCATCATTGCAGGCATTATCATTGTTAGAAAAAGCTGGTCTCTATTCTTTAGTTCCTCTGCTACAACTGAGGAAAATATCGCGCAGTGCTGCTTTAACACCATTTTCTGTAGATGAAAGTTCTTATTATCTGGCTCGATCTCGTTCGTTGCTTAAGCGGACTGTTGATAAAATCGTTTCTAAAGTCTGTTTCAACAATTTTTTAAATATTAGACTGAAAAAATTTTGTAAATTGGGACTCAGCAGTTCGACACTTTTTTTCTGTCATTTTTTTAGGGCACATCACTGTCACAGGTAGAAGCCTGTCTCTGGTCAGTGATAGTTGGACGTCTCGAACCAGCCCTCTCTTTGTCATCTCGTACCGAAGATCGCCTTTGGTGTTATCTTAATGCTGCTGTTGAATCACGTTTAGATGCCGCAATCACCAATGTTCATAATGGAGATTTTGATGCTGGTATTGGTCGTGAAGTTGAAAAAGACGATCTTCGAATTAATTCTATTTTCGATGAAATTGCTACGGTTTGTCTTTGTCAAACAAGGTTCTAAAAATGTCTTCCAAGATACTTAATATTATTTAAATTCAAAGTGACTATCCTTTTTATTATTGGAAACAATAAACTTTAATTTAAAAATCATTTTTCAACTTATATTATTGCAAATTGAATTTAAATTATTGCTTATTAGTACGTTTTACTTATTAGTATGTTTTACTTTAAATTTGAAATCTTAAACTCTTCTCATTTTTTAGGCTGAACGATCTCCGTATTACACTATATATCGACACATGGTGAATGATGATTCTTTATCACTGATTGCATGTATGGATATGTGGCTGGAACAGTATGAGGATGATTTAGAAAAATTTCCACATATTATACGTTTTATGGCTCATCTTGTTTTACTTCTTCGATTCACTGGTCAACCGGTACAGGTGAGATTAGTTAGAATCCTTTGAGATATATTTTTTAGTAATATATATTTTATTGTACTATTACCGTGACGAGAGATGTTTCACAACTTTTTAAACGTATTCAAGAAACTTTGAAACGCTTAAAAACTGGTCAGAAATATGTATGGCCCATAAAAGATTTTGCCACAAAATATAAAAAAAAAAAAAAAAAAAAAAAAAAAAAAAAAAACAGAGGGAAAAAGTAAATAATAATTGACCATTTCGTTAAATCAGAACTCTTTGGCTGATGTCATAAATCTTTTGATTTGTTTTCTTTTGAGGCGGTATCTGTGAAGTAATCATACTATCATTTTGCTTCATCTTTTTTCTCTTTTCTTAGTTCTTTTAGAAGTTAAATTTCCATAAACTTAGTCCAATTTTATGAATTCTAAATATATTTTTATTATTAGTCGTATATATTTGAGTTGAATCTAATTGTAATAACTGCAGAACAATTGCATATGCTGAAAAACATTAAAAATTTTGTCTCGATTTTAGGAAGAAAGCGCTAACTCAATCATGCGTAGCTACGTTCGTTTATTGATTTCATTGAAGTTATACTCGATTGTTCCATATTATGCTAACAAATTACCGTTAGAAATGGCTGAAGAGATGGTTGTTGAATTTATGTGTCGTAAGCTTTTATTAACATTCTTTATTCACATTTATCATAGGTATTACTAACATTCTAACAGTGCTATTTATTTCTGTTCGATACAGAGTTATGTTAATAAAAGAATTATGTTGTACTTTATTGGTGTAATTAACTTATTCGGTATATTATTTACTACTTTGGTCATTATCATTATTCATTAAGAATAAGTGTTTTTCAGAATTAGAAGAGGAAAATGTGCGAAAAGATGTCCTTGCTGCTGCCAGTGCTGCAAAAATGGATAGTGTTCGTTTATGCAAAAAGATCTTTAATTGTATAATTACTCGTTATCCAGTAATTGAAGAGGTGATCAGTTTTAATTTTTTTCTTTTCTAGTTTTTCTTTTTTTGCATTTTATTGCTTGATTATTAGCTATTTACATAAATTTTCAACGAAAACCATTCTTTTTCATGTTATAGTTCATGATGAAAAGTGGTTTCGCTCAAGCTTATTTCTTTTTATCTCTGAATTTTCATAGGAATCTAAGACAGATGATATATTAATTAATGCGTGGAATTGGTTAATATATCCAGGTAATGAGACATATTATGATGCTATGTTGGGCATGAACAAAATAATGCGCGAATTTTTTTGTAAGTTTTGTTATATTTATTTCATATTTTTTTTTCGGGATGTAAGTAAATCTTTTTACGACTAGCAACAAATTAAGCATTACCGGAGAATCATTTTTGAGAAAGTAATGTTGTTATAAATAACGAACCAAACTTTCTGAAAATTCGAAAAGAAAAGGATTTTTCAGATGTTGACAAATTGGACAAAGCAAAGAAACTTTTGCAACGATCAAAAAAATGGGTTGACAAAATAGTGGACTCATTTCGTCCTGTTATTGAGACTAGTGATACAGTTGAGCCGAAACTTTTAAGAGCAATCACTGAATACAAAGCGTATAAATGCTACTTGGTCAGTTTCAATTGTCATTCATTATGAGATTCTTGTGATTTGAAAAGGAATCACCTTGAAAACAAAACCCTTTTGATCAGCATGTAGTTTTTCTGCCTTTCTCTCTCTCTCTCTCTGCATGTATATTAGATAGATAAGATTGGATAGATTGAATTAAATAGATAAAATAAGATTAAATTAGACAGATAGTATAGATAAGTCTAAATTAGTAGATTAATCTAGCCTTAGATGGATTAAATGGTTTTTTTTTTTTTTTTTTTTTTTTTTTTAACTTTCTGATACCTAAATACAATTATGCTATTCTAGAATGCTTTGATGAAATTCAATGAATGGTTCAAGCAATCGCAGCGTTCAGTACCCTCAATTATGGAGAATTCGACAGATGACGTTGGAACATTAATGGATATGCAACAGAAGATAACATTTGAAGTGATACTTCAACGAGCAAATGAAAAAATGCAAAGATATGAAAATGCCTCTAAACACAGCACTACTGTTAGCTTTTTGATCTCACTTTATATAATGCTGTGAGTAATTTGTGGAACTGCTTTTTGCTTTTTCATAAGCGTATATGTCAGTAATTACAAAACAGACCATTTAGAATTTTTTTTTTTTTAGGAAGCTGTAGGAGCACTCGATCTTGTGCTACGTTTTCCAAATGGTTGGATGACATTTAAGAAAGTGAAGAGTGAAAGATTAAATGAGGTAATATAATAGATATTCAGTCTTATCTATAAAAAATATTTACAGCAAGTTTTATAACATGTTGAAAAGTAATATGTGTGCTGTTGGGAATATTCCAACGTAATGTATTAATTTATTATGATTCAGGAAGAAGTCAAAAAACTTACGGAAATAAAGTCTCGTTATATAACTGCAGTTATCATTATGCTAGTTACTATATTTGAAAAAAGTGATATAAATCGATCGGCACAGCTGGTCGAATTGCTGGCTGATGAGGAGTATAAATTAGCAGATGTAAATCTTTTTTTTTTTTTACAAATTTTATTATTGCATTGATAATGCGTGCTTTTGTGAAATATGCTTCGACAGTTTTATTTCTAATTCGTTTTGCAGTAATTATAAGCTCCAATGAATTTTTAAAAACCTTCATTTCTGAAAAAAATTATACTTTCTATGTTCACTTATTTCTTTAAGTATAATATCTCCTTTTCAGATCATATCAAAGGAGCAATTAAGAATACTCATAAAACAGCTTTCAGTTAATGCTTACAAGAGCTTATGAAATCAAAATTTGATATGCATTGTTGTGTGTATACTCTTCAACGTGTACCACCTGCCTTGTTTATTTTCACGTTTGATGTTTTTCTTGAAAAATAAAAAGAAATGTTAACTTTGAAATCGTAGTTCACTCGAATATCTTCATGCTTTCTGTACATATATGAAAATTTCTTTTTTATTCAGAATTTAGTCTTATAAAAAATGTGTAGTAACAACTCTAAGATATGATGTGAACAGTACAAGATAAACAAATTTCAGAGATATGCATATTTAATGGCAGTTGTAGCAGTATTGCTGCCGATTTAATAAAAATCCAGATTTGATTAAATGACTTAGGAAGTTCTCCTTTCATTGATTTGAATTTGTTTACTGGTCTGTTGAACAGTTGCTGATTGTTCAGAGATTGGAGATGACTAAAATATTATGTTTCTGTAGCGAAAGAATATATTTATACTAACATTGGCAGAATATTAGAAAAAAATAAAACAATTACGGCGATATTATAACAGGAAACAAATTGCTTCGAAATTTTAATGCAAAACATGAAAAGCAAAAGAAAAAAAACAAGTGGTTGTATTTAATTATGTAATTTTAAATGTCAAGAATTACCTGATGTTGACAGGATTTGTCAGGCCAGGGTGTTGGTAATTTAGATTGTCGCATTGTAATGCCAGGAGGTGTTGGTTTTTTATCTTTAACAGAATCAGAAAGTTCTAATACACGTTTCGCTAATTTATCATATTCTTCTGATCTGGAATTAATCAAATATTCAAAGTTTAAGGGAATGTTCAAATTTTCTCCTAAATCAATGGTTTTTCGTATAAAATAGGTTATAAAAGAATGTAGGATTTTGGCTGCCATTAAAATGACACAATCTGAATTGAATGGATGAAACGGTTGATGAAATCAGAAATTTTATTTACTTTTCTTGTCTCATAGCAGTTTGTTTTTGAAGCTCATCAGATGTCTCTCTATACCTCTTTTCAATAGTTTCATAACGTTCTCTATATTTCTGTAATTCATTTTCCTGATTTTTCACCTGCAATTATTCAATTCAAATTTGAATAAATGAAAATAAATTTTTCTTTTAACATGGAATTAAATTAGAAAAAATTATTTGAAGTGAATTCCATTCATATTCACCTTTATGGAAAAAATGTTACAAATTATCAAACCGTACTTTTTTCAATAGATCACGATTATGCTCTTGTAAATAATCTATCTCATTTTTCTGCGACGATATTTCTTTCACTTCATTCATCTTAAATAATTTAGTTTCGTCTTTAATTTACGAAATTCTCAATTAAAACTTTCGGGATAGCAAAATTTTACCTTTTGATGTAAACCGAGATTTATTTCTTTTAAACTTTCAACATCGGTTGTAAGATTTGTGACATTATCTGTTAATGAACTTCCCTTAAAAAGAATTTTTCTTAATTAAAATTTGATTATCATGTAGGATAGTTAGATAGTCTTGGATTTTTATCAAGCAAATTTTTAAATGATAAATCAATGGTAGATTTCAATTTTTATAACCAAATGATAGTTTTTAAAAAGTCATAAAACTTATAAAAGAAATGAAAAATAAATTACCTTTTTAAGTAACTCATCACAACGTTCAGTAAGAATGAATTTCTCATGTCTTAGTGATTTATTTTCATTGGATAATGATTCAGATAATACTTTTAAAGCATCTAATTCTTTTTGCATTCGTCCACGAGATTCTCGTGCACTCTCTTCAGCTTTTCGATATTGCTCCAACTAGAATAAATGAAAGTAATATAATTCTCTCATAATATAACATAATTGTTTCAAATAATTTTACAATTCTCACATTAAATTTATAAAAAAACTAGACATTGATGACTTCAAATTTTTACAATCCTTATATTAAATCTATAAATATTTGAGCATTTGAATACCAATTACTAATATTTTCATAGAAATTAATTGGAATTATAGAGAATTCATATCTAATATTAAAAGTATACCTCTGCGATAGTCCTTCGATTGCGTTCTTGTTCCGTTTGTAATCTTCCTTCCATTTTCAATAATTCCGCTTTCAATGATTTTTCTGTTTCTTTTAGCTGCAATCATTTTTACTCTTAATTTAGTAAAATACGAATTTTTTTTACAAAAAAGGAAAAACGATGTTTCTGCATGAAATATTTGTAAAATTTTCGTATTCAGATGTTTTGTTTTTTTTTTTTTTTTTTTTTTTTCCTTAAATTATAAGATTTTAGAAAATAAACTAACTGAAGCATTTTCTGCTAATTTCATCTGTTTCTCTTGCGTATGATCAATTTGCTGATTAAGTGCTTTTATCCTCATTTCTAATCGTGTTATCTCTGCTGATAAATGTGAATTCTCTTTTATCAATACACTGTTTTCTTCCAAAGCCTATAATTTTTAAAAATTACCACTAGCTAAAAATGTTACTTGCAAACAATTTGCAAAATTTTATCATGTATCTGATAATGAACAACGAACATACAGCAAATTTAATGATTAACCTTTTCGGCAACAGCTTTATCTTTTTTAGCTGTTAATTGTTCTTCACGTAGTGATCGTTTCATTGAAGTGATATTATCCTGAAAAAAAGAAGAAAAGGAAAAAATTTTCTTTCCATCTTATCATTTATTATGCAATCTTCAAAATTATGAATAAACTTAATAATTTTTCAGTAATTTAATCCTCATCAAATTATTTCCTTATCAATATGCCATTTTGGTTTATCTATCAATACTAAATAAAAGTGAATCTTTTTTGTATTTCATTCACTCAAAATGTATTATATTAAAATAACACTATAAAATGCAAATTTAAAACAAATATCAAATTCTCAATTTACAAAGTAATGCACTAATAACCAATGATAAAATACAAATTTAATTCAAAATAAATGCTAAACTCTCAATTTTACTACAGCCAATAAAATTAAAAATAAATGCTAAACATTCAATATACTATAAGTTAAATAAAGTTGAAGTAAGCCAGTTTGTCATTATTGTTAAATATTAAAAAGTTAACAAATAATACACACAATTAATGATGCTTCTTTATTTTCCATTTCTTTTAATGTATTTTCTAAATGTCGAATTGTCTTCAATAATCGATCAATCTCATTTTTCTTCTCTTCTTCGACATCAAACAATACTCTCTCATCTCGATTTCTTTCATCAATTGTCATCTAAAAAAAAGAGAAGCATTAAGAATAATTAATATTGAAAATATTTCTAACTAAATTTACAAATTTTCATAAATATAATAAATAAATCTATTCCCATGTATTAATCATCAATTACAATTCATTAATTCATTAGCTTTTAACACAAATGACAATTTTTATCCAAATTCAATTAATTTTAAGAAAATCGGCATTTTTTTAAATGAATATTTCAAAATTTTTCAGTTTTTTTAATTTAATTCAAAAAAACACCCCACGGATATATTCCTGAAAGAATGAAATAAAAGCTAAAACTTTTTTGACTATGCACATGATAAATAGAAATTTACCAAGCACTAAATAATAATTTAACTGATAATTTTTCTGAAAAAGAAAAAAAAATTACAGAAAATATTTTTTAAACATTTACCTGCAATTGATTGGTTGCATGTCGTAACTTGTCAGTTAATTCATCTTTTTCAATCTCCATTTTCGCCACAAGTGATTCCTGCTATTATATAGATCTTTTTACAAAGTAATAACAATATTTGTCGAAATGATAAAATGGTACTGATGAAAAGATATGAAACATTAATAAAAACCTTATCAGCTAATGCAGGCGTTAGATAATCAAGTCTTCTTTGTAGCTCCACAACTTCTTCCATTAGTGCACATTTATCTCTTGCAAAATTTTCTTAAATACATATGCTAATTTTATAAATGGCTTTTAATTTCAACTTAAAATCATTAAAATATGTTTGATAAAAAATTTTTTAATCAAACAAATAAAATTTAAATGAAAGAGTCACTAAGCTTTTCTTAAAAAGAATCATTTATTAAAGCAGATGTTAAATTTTTAAAATAAATAATTGCAATGAATATATAAATTTATTGTTCAAGAAGTAAATATAAGAATTCTTGAAATACAAAAATTGAATTTTCATTACAGCTTATCATTGTGTATTATCAGGACTGAATTAAATGCAATGTTTTTTTTTTTTTTTTTTTTTTTTTTTTTTTCTCTTCTTTTTCTTATTCGTTTTAAATTATAAAGTTTACCGACAATCAATTTTTTTAATTGTAAAGTCTACCGATAATCGACTTGCAGATTTTGATAGATGAATGTAAAAAGCAATTATTATTTGCCCACCTTCATTTCTTTGCAATTTCGCTTTTAATTCTTCGATGTAATCTGATAATTGAGTATTTTCATAAGCAATCCTTTCAGTTTCAGTTGTTTTTTGCTTCAAGCATTCTTCAAGTTTTCGTTCTCTCTAAAAAAACTGTCATCGAGTTCAATTGTCAACTATTAACGATATCTGTAAATGATAATAAAATCAAATACTGAAAATAACATTTACAATTGATTAATATATTAGTTGTTAGTAAATAAGGATCAAATAAAAAATTAATTTTTGTTTCATTTTTTTTTTTTTTTTTTCAAATTACAAATATTAGTGCACAATAAATGAAATAACCTGATATAATTCTTCTAATTTATGCAGTAATTCAGCTTGATCGGTTGTATAGGAAGATGATTTCATATCATAACTATTTGAAGGAATGGATGTTTCCGTAACTTCAGGTTCCGCATACGAAACTCTTTTCCGTATTCTCCATGATTTCTCCTTATCATTCTCATCATCTGGATTATCAATTCCAGATGAATCATGCTCTCGTGATATAGCTAAATTTGTAGTCACACTCAAAGATGGTGAAGTATCACTGTGATATGAATCATCATTTTCATTGTTTTTTCGAGATCCTTTTTCGGTACTATGCTTCCTGCAAAAATATTAAATATATAAAAAATTATTTTGGAATTACCGGAATTCCTAATGCTTTTTTTCCAAGTAACAAACATTCTTCTGTCGTCGAATTCATTTTACAATAATAATAACAATAACAATAATAATGGCAATAATAATAATATTAACAATAATAAATAATATCAGTAATAATAAAACTTTCAAGCAGTTACAGATGAAATAATTAGGATTGCATTAAAATAATTAATCATTACAAATTTTATGAATTAAGTTAAAATTGTATATTTATAACCATAATAATTCGTTCAGTTCAAATTTACAAATTAAAATTCAAAACTTACAAATAATTATTTTCAAGTTCCAAAAGATAAATTTGTTGTTGCAATTGTCTTGCATATTGCTCTTGTAGATGAATTGCTGATTGTTCAAGATCATTTTGTCGACATGGACATGTTCTTGTCCTGCATTTTTCAACAATACATTACAATTTTAATATTAATAAAAAAATTCATTCTATGGTGCTAACAAAAAATTTTATTACAAATAAATAGTTTTAAAACTAACTCTTTTGAAGTGGTAGTTTTAATTGATGGTACTGATGAAGTGACAATATTACGCATATTTCCAATGCTACCACTTTTTCGAAGTGTTGTCTTTGTGGTTGTTGTTGAGGTTGACATTGTTCGATGTGCTGCTGACCTTTGTGACATCATTGTTGCAGATGACTGAACATTTTGCTGCAGCCTATGGCATGATGTTTTATTGAAACCCATATAACCTGTACCTAAAATTTTAACAGATTTCATTCTTTCTTTTTTTGAAATTAAATCTTATTATAATCAAAAATTTCGCAGTAATATAACTGGGAATGTAATAATAGGTAAAAAACTGTTTACTTTATCAAAAACCAATGTCTAAAACTTTAAATTTATTAAAATATTATCAAATTAGATATAAATATTCAAATAAAATGAGAAAAACAAACTCAATATATATTAACTTACATTTAAAGGGATTAATGATTATCTATTGCATTTAAAATAATATTTTTTAATACATATTTCACTCAAAAAAAAAAAGCTGAATATATATAAATATACATTTAAAAGGACATTACTTTTAAATAATTGAACAAATATTAAATAGTCATAATATAACATTAAGTTTAACAAAAAGTACAATGTAAGTATATACATATATATATTTAAAGGATACTACTTTTAAATATGAATGAATAAATATTGGTAAATGTGAATAAACATTTAGATTTATAAATGAAGCGGAAACAGAAACAAAAAAACAAAAAAAAAATGATAAATCGCAAAAAAAAAGCAATAAATAAAAATGAGTCAGTCTTTTTTTTTTATTTTTATTTTTACAAATCAAAAATTTTCACCTTTTATAGCAAGATTTCCAGCTGAACCAAATTGTTTCCGTTGTCGCTGATTCATTATTTATGAATAAATTGTGCATTTTCTACTCTCAATGCTGTTCCAAGCGCATTACTTGAACTGAAAGAAAAAAAAGAAAGGACAAATTCCCAAAAAATTTTTTTATGTGAAATTGCTATAACTATTTGTGAAATTCAAATTTTATTTTAGATCAAAGAATATTTTTTAGCTTATTTATAAAAGATAAAAAAAATAAAGCTAATATAATTGATTAATCTTTTACTTTTTAAATAAAAAAGAATAGCAATAATAGTAACAGAAGAAATAAGATATACTAAAGCGTTGATATTTGCTAAATATTATAATTGAAAAATGATATCCGGAAAAAAAAATTCAATTGAATTATAGAAAAGAAATTTACGGGTTAGGCATAGAGCACAAATGCAATTATTTAAAAGTGAAATATAAGTCTAAGGAATCAGAAAAAAAGATCGTAAACTAAGCTTAAAAAATTGATATATTTTTTTCCTACATACATATATATGTATATATATATATATAATTGCTGATATATTTTTGATATTTTTTTGAAATATTTAAATATTTTAAAACCGTTCAACTTTTTTTTTCATTCATTTGATATAACGCTTCTTTTTTTTTTTTTTAAAGAAACATTTTCAAAAATATTTCTAAATTAAAAAAATAAATTAGCTTTCTTTTTTTATTATTCTCATTCTTTTTTGATTTTTGTTTAATGCTAAATGAGTAATTGGCATGGTTCGAGTAATATTCTAAATAGAATTTTAAATAAATCAAGTTAAAAAAAATGAATAAGACAGAAAAAAGAATGAGACAATTGTTAGAGGAAAAAAGACAAAAATCAAGAAGTGCTAAAAAGAATTGAAACTATCATTTCTATCAATTAAAATGTAAAACTTTTTAACAAAATAGCATATGTGCTTTTTTATTACGTTGGAAAAAAAGAAAACTTTCATAAAATAACTTAAACTATTGTACTAATAATTTTTCTACAATTGAATTTAGTCAATAAAAATGCTGTTAAAATGTTGAATTTATCAAATATTATTAAAGCATGCTAATAAATGTAAATCTTTCTATACTTCAACCAAAAATGGTCACCCAGGCAACGAACGCAATATGCAATAAGCAATGCATTGTAATCTGAGACTTACTCGAGAAATATGTTAAAATTTCTATTATCAAACTATTTTCAAATATACGACTATAAAAATATAATGCTAAAATTAATTTTAGTAATTTAAAAAAAAAAAAGAAATTAGCTGATTGCAGCTAATACACGCATATTAGCAAATATTTAATTAAATTTTATTAAAAGTTAGCATTTTGCAAGATAAAATGTATTTTGACTATTTCATAGTATATAATGCAAATGTAAATAGTATATAGTAGATATTATTTGCAAAAAAAAATTTTTTTTCTTCAAATCTTAATTAATGATCAATATACGGATGTTGAATTTTTCTTTTCTTTTTTTAAGAAATGAAGAATTAACGCAAGATTTCGAAAAGTTGAAGTAGTTAGAATGTTAAATGATAACACGGCAAGCAAAACATTATTTAGAGCTGTCTCCTGCACTGAAATTTAATAATTAGTTTAAAATTAAAAGTGTCAGCATAGTGCAAGTTTACTTTTTACCGGAAATCACCCTCGTCAGTGTATATGGCAAAATGTTATATGTTACATAATCGAAATAATGAAACAAATTCTCTTCTATTTGGAAACATAGCTTATCATAATTATCAATATTAGTGTTTTTTACATGCATTATTTGACAGAGCTAAAGGAATGATAGCAATATGTCATTTCTATAATTTATCATGTTTCAAGGCAAACGACGAGTTTTTTCTCTTTTTTCATCTACCTTTTCCCTTTCTTTTTTTTTCCACATGTTCTTTTATTCACACAGAAATTTATTACATATATTCCAAAGCTCCCCAATAATTATTACGAGGTAATAAGCATAACAGTATTATAAATTTATTGACTAATGGAATGGTTTATGATGCAATAATAATGCAAAGGGTAAAACACTTTTCCTTCAATTATATATATATATTGTACGTATTTCACATGCATTATATACAAAACCAAGGACTTATGAAATACAAAAAAAAAAAAAAAAAAAAGTGTTACAGGGAAACTCAAAATTCAAAATTTCATATTTCCGAGATTGAGAATCAGTTAGTAATATATTTATGATAATTTACAATAATCTAAACTGGGTTTCGACATTACAAAGACAAGGATAACTAGCAATAACATAGATACAATTGTTATATGGAAGATTTATCATCTTTTGCCGCTAATATCTGAATGAAATGATGAAAAGGTGGAATCCTTATATTCCTATTATATATCGACAAATCGGCAATTAGAAAATAATTTTCAATTGCTTGTATTAAGTAGAATAATAACAGATCCATAGTAGAAAAGACAAAAAATAACAAACTAGGAAGACAATGTAATGGGTTCTTCCAGATAATAATGGAAAAAGTATTTTTTTTTTTACAACTTATATTTCAAAAAATATTTAAAATGACAGTTCCAATGACTCACCAACCTCACCAAATTTAATATATATATATATATATATATATATATATATATATATATAAATCATTCAAACTGCAATATTTAATTTTGAATGATTATGCAACCCATCAAATAATTTTCACATGTCTAATGTACATTTAAAGGATCTCTGAAAATGAAAATAACTGTTTCAGTGTATTTTAACCTTTTAATAATTTCCTATTACAAAGACTGCTCAGTTTGATCTTATATTTCAAAAAATATTTAAAATGACAATTCCAATGACTCACCAACCTCAATAAACGTTAAAAAAAAAAAGCAAAATGAGCATCTGATTTTGTGTAAGGATACTAATAATATATTTATCTGATAAGGATTAATTGGCAGGATTTTTAAAATGTTGATCTCCCCTGTTCTGGCATAGAAACACCAAATTTCGATTGATGCGCTGCATTCTTTGCAGGAATTAGTACTTCATGATGAACGTATGACTCACAAGGATAACACCAGACCGAAAGATCGGTTAAACTTAGTGCCATAGAATGACCAGTACGCATTTGATGATATACGGCATGACCAGCAATGTAACGGCTACAGTTGACCTAGAATAAGAAATCTCTTTCAAAATTTAATATATATATATATATATATTAAAATCATTCAAACTGCAATATTTAATTTTAATACTCACAGTCGTAGTGCTTCAGTACAAAGTAAGCCATACCATGGAAACGAAACTGTATTCAGTAGTCAAATGATTGCCACATTTGAACACAAATAATTATTGTCATGTGTTTTGCAAATAATAAATAAACGAACCATAATCTGATTTAACAATTTGGAAATCTTTTTTTCTTTTAATGCTAAGCTAAACGTAACTGCAGTTCTTCTGGATATGTTATACTTTTCTTTATAAAGAAAGTACGAACCAAATAGCAAGTTAGGCAAACCCACTGTTCCTCATTGGAGTGGCATTCTGAACAACATGCTAGTGCATTAATGCCTTCAGCAGGAAGTTCTCTAATCTGAAATAATAAGTGAAAACGGAAAAATAAGAGCAATTTTTGAAAAAAAATTGCAGCTATAGGTAACATACTATCATAAAAGCTAAATTTATTTTTTCTTGGATGCAAGACTTTTGAAACAGTATGATAATGCTACAATAAATTTGATAGATTATGAAGGAAAGCAGAATTTTGGTCTTTATCGAGACTTACAATGATTATGCAACCCATCAAATAATTTTCACATGTCTAATGTACATTTAAAGGATCTCTGAAAATGAAAATAACTGTTTCAGTGTATTTTAACCTTTTAATAATTTCCTATTACAAAGACTGCTCAGTTTGATCCAAATTGAAATTTCAATTCAACTAAAATATTAGCACGAAATCATTTCCATAAGTCATTTCACTGTTCTCATCCGTATATTTTCTGCATAGTATTATCATTCAAACAAATAACAACTAAAAAAAAAATTTGACACAAACTTAACTCAAAGACAAAAAATAAAAACTACACTGCTTAACTTTCTAAAATAAACATTATATTTGAGCCAATAATAATAATTCTATTTGTTCAAACTTCTACAAATATTAAACCTAACAATTTTAAAAAAATTCCGAACTAAAATTTAATTGTTGACAATATAAAACCACCATTTAGAAAAATTATAAAAAGCAATCAAAAAAAAAAAAAAATCAAAAAAAAAATTTACCTCTACTAAATGTGGACATTCAGGTAATGGAACAACTGTATGCATAATAATTTGACTATCTACTTGGGTTGATGATGAAGATGATGAAATAGTTCGTCTTATTCCACCGCTACACGTCATTCCTCCTTTTTGTTTTCCCTTCTTTCTCTCCCCTCCTCTCTCTTTCTTCCAGTAAAATTAACAGCAGCAAGATAGTCCAATTTTAATCTAAATTTAGATTTACCACAAAATTTCAAAAATTACAAAAAAAAAAGAAAAAAGGAAACATATCATATTACAGCATTACACCATATTTTCTAATCTTATTATCAATCGCTTCTTTCCACTATTCTCAATTCCTCATTTATATCACCAACCCCACCTGCCCCTCTCTTCACTTCAATTCTTCCCACCACCTACCATGAGCACCACTATCACTTAAGAAAACAATCTCAATTTACACTGACATTTATATGCTACGTCTTGTATGGTTTATATTTCTCTGCTTAGTGTCACGATGAAAATCCATCTCATTTTCTAATTTCAACTTTATGGTGCTAATATACCAGTAATTTAACAATTAAGCATTTTATGGGAATGAGAGATACATACGTTAGCATAGCAATTTTGCTGAAGTTTCAAAATTAAACTACGAGAATTTTGGTAGATATATTGATATTGCTAAAAATTAGATTGAACTTTAAAAATTAAATTAAACTTCCAAATACATGTATATAGCATAGTGGTTTATAAACAAAAATAATGTTTTGTAAAAGTTTTTCCCATCAGTGGTAAAAATTAAATTTTTGCATTACATGTTGAAGAAAGGAAATTAGATGATTTATGATTATGGCAGAGGTTTTTTGAAATATAATTTGGTAGCCTAATTTCTTTTTCAAATATATTTCGATAGCTATTTGCGCATAGCCAAGTTTGGTTTTTCACTTTTTCATATTTTTTTTTCTTTTTTAATTTCATCCTTCGTTTCATTATAAGACATCGTAAACGTATTAAGAATACTTATTATCAATTATTAATGAATGTTATAATTTTAGATATGTTTCAAGCAAGGAGAGGACAGTATCAAATGCAAAATCAAGACTTGTTCAGACATGCACCAATTACAAAAGCTTGGTAATAACTTCGTTTTTAATTTTGTTGGGTTTTTTTTGATTTCTTTGAAATTGAAATTAACCTTTCGTTGTAAGAGCTATTGATTTGGTTTGATTTGTTTCGTTAAGTTACTTAACCTATGTCAGATTACAAGGAATAAATTGAAGAAAATAAGATAGGCGAGATTAAAATAGGTTCGGTTTGAGGTACTATAGAGAATTTATGGTACTAAATTTGCTTTGTTGTCCTTTAATGGTATTTAATAGTTTAACGTTATGTTTTTAATGGTACTTAATAGTTTAAAAATATTCTACTGTTTGTATTGACTGAAGAAAAATAATCGATTTGCTAAGAATGTTATAAGTTTGAATATTTATTTAACGAAAAAATGAGTTGTTTTTGGAAATTTAAATAAATTCAGGTTATTGATGACGTTGTTCAATTCTGTCGTCTGCATGTACTTAAGTATTAATGATTTTGATTCTTGGATTGCACCATCATTGGGAAATATCATTTCTATTAAAGGAGTGAGTTCTTGAAGAAATATGCATGGTTTGATTTATGCTCATGAAGGATTTGTTATGCATTGTCCACTGTAACTAATTGTAATTCATTAGTAAAAGTTGATTTTTATAGGTGATAGCTGACTTGCTGATAACAAGTAATTCAAGGCTCTTTTTAGGTTTTGCAAATAATTCCATCAAAATTTATTTTTCAAAATCCTTCATCACTTGTTAGTGGATTAATCTTGTTATATTATGGCCGATTAGTGGAACGTCGCTTTGGTTCCTGCAAATTCATGGTAACTTATCAGACTATGATATTGCATATCTATTTATCAGAAATTAGGAAGGTATTTCATTTGCATTAGTTATGCAACGCTATTTCAGTGATGGTTTGTGATTATAAAAGTTTGCTATGGAATAAAGCTAGTTTTTAGTTAGACCATTTTGATAAAGTTTATTTAATTCTCATTATCGAATGCTTTCACCACTGTTAAAGCTTAATGAAATAAAGATTAATTACTATGTTGAAATCTTGGTATAATTGGTTGTGACATTAATTATAATAGTTATATTTACTTATAGAACTTCATTTTATTCAATTTTCTTCATGCAACTTCAATGGAAATAATTATTTATTTTATTCTCTCATGGTTTTATGATTATATCCCATCAACTATGTATTTTGTTATTGGACCGTATGATTTGCTCACTGCACTGTATCTAACATATGTGAAGGAGATACCATTAGTTCCATATGCCAGTATACTTGGCTTATCATTATCAGCGCATAGCTTTCCATTCATTATGTTTATTCAGGTTCTTTTCTTTTCTGTTGTTAATTTTAATTAAAATGAAAATACAGTAAGTAACAATTTTTAATTGCTTTTGCTGAAAATTTCATAATAAGGAAACAAATTTTGGTAATTTTTTCATGTCAGTTTATTCTACTGAAACATGATTCTATATCATATTATATAATATGATATGAATAAATAGAAGATGCTAACAATTAATTGTCGCTTTTATTAGTATACTGAAAGATATAATTTCGAGAAAGATAATTTCTAAAATACTCATTTTAAAGTCTTCAGGAAACCTACGTGTATTTATGGCTGTTCATTAACCAGCAACAATTGATTTAAGCTAAAACTGCGTGACATTATTTGTAATACAATTTTTACTCCAAATTTTCTTGCTGTTTTTATTATATAACTTTAATGGTCAAATAATAAAATTACAGAAACCTTTAAAGGTTTATCATAACGAATAAATTCACCTAATTCTTTCAGCTGTTTACATTATCGAAGCCGGTGGTGATTGCATGTACAGCTGGTGCTTTAAGCGTTTTTTTGTGTCCAGAATTTTCTACAAAATTTAATTTCTTGCCCAGTTCCCTTGTTCGGCTATTTCGTTCCACCTCAAACCCGATTGGTTGGCTGTTTCAGAAATTTGCAGAATGTGGTGAATTTGGAAGAGAGGTTATTTTGTAAAATTTAAAAAAAAAAAATCGGTAAATGAAAATGTTTAATGCAAGTTTGCAAATTATATTGTGCATGAAACTCTTTTAAGTTTATAAATAAATTTTTGCAGGGAAGTGTTTTACCGGTAGCAGCAACGATTGAGAGACAAAGGATAGATATTCTAGATAATTACGAAAGGAGATTAATGTTTGGACAAATGCAACGTGTTTACAGCAGTGAACGAGTTAGAAACATTTTATAATTTTTATAAGTCCTGTGTGAAATAGATGATTTTTAAAATTGTTGCTTTATGCACAATAAATTTAAAGATTCGATACTCTTCTTCACCTTTTCTATGATTACACCTGGACTAACCATTAAAGTTGTTTGGTGTTAATGAAATTGACTAGCATGTAGATCAATTAGTTACTTTAAAAAATTTTGTTGATACAATAATCGATGTAGTATTACTTCAAACAGAACCTCTGTTGACCATATTTATGATTGAATTATCTAACTGTGTAATTGATTCATAGAACTATGATTTATTTTTCACTTTCTTTTGGAGTTAACTATTTCAAAATGCTTTATTTGAGCAGTAAATTTGGGATGGAAAATTTCAGTTTTAGTTTTTGTTACTAAAATTGTAACACATCAGGCACTTGTTTCAGACTCGTCCTAGTGACAATCAACTTCATTTTTTGAGTCGATTACTGGGCAGGGCATCCAGTGGTACTTTTTCAACTCTTTTTTCTAATATTTTTTGAATATTCTATTAATACTGAGAAATGGCATATGTAAGAACTTTTGGTTCATTTTTCTTGATCTCACAATTTCTATAACTTATTGATAGTATGTCAACAAATGCATGTTGAATGTATGTTTAGGTCCTTTAAGAAAGAAATAAATAGCTATTTATTCCTGGAACATTTAGATGGTGCACCATCTAACGAAGACCAAGTGCGTCAACTTGTGGATATGGGTCTTGGTTCTCGAGAAGATGTCAGAGAGGCTTTACAGCGATGCGGTAATGACGCTTCTGAAGCGGCTAATCTATTATTGCATAATAGGCGCTGAACGTTAATATTAATTGGTTTCCATACTTAATTCAAATTGTTGTTTAATTTTGTGTAATATTTTTCAATTTCTTTATAAACTCGACTTAAGCTCGCACTAAGAATATTCATTTCGTTTCCTTTCTTTTCCAAATAAATTTATTTTCATAAAATTAAGTTATAGAAAGAAATTATAAGTGTTTTAAAATATGACATATAATTATTCCATTTCTTAATGTGATGGTCTTTTAAAGGATGAATTTCTTGCAGATTTACTACATATATATTTTTCTTATTTTCTCTTATTTTTTATCGTGCACATCGACCATTGTAAATATTGATAGCGTTGAAAAAAAAAAAATAAAAAAATGTACCAGTGACGGTGCTACCCCATGTATAATTGATTTATATTTCAAAAATAAGGTATGCTTAGATTTGCATCACTTTTGCAAATATAAATGAAAGGCCAAGAAGGCAGTTGTGCACAATTATATTTTTATTTCTCTTTTATTATTTATTGTCTGTGTGCATTCTGATGAAAATTATACATTTTGAAGATTGCATAGAATGCTGTAGTAGTATTTTTTGTCCTGTATATATTCGTCTGTTACTCTTAACTATGCCCTCAATTTCTTGGTAATTTTTAAATAACTCTAAGAAAATCTAAGATTTGGAACAATGTTTTAAATCAAACTTATGTTTTTCTTCTTGTTTAGTAAAATAAATGAGGTACTATATTTATATTTTATATTCTTATTTGCATGAAAATTGTATTATCTTAGTATTCTTGGTGATCTCAACTCGTATTTTTCAGAGGAATTGAGCTTCACTGTTGGCTTCATTGAGTTTGCTATAATTCTATGAAGCTTAAGCATTTGCTGTGATTAGATATTTGATAGATATTCTCTAGGTCATACTTTTCTTCTTTTAAATTCTCAATTCTAATGTGTAAATCGATTATGTTATTCTCGTTTATTATTTTTGCTCTAATTTTTCAAATTAGTTTTCTAATGTTTAATAAAAAAAAAAATCAGCAAAAGTGTGATTTTTCAGTTTGGTAGTAATCCTTGTAATATTTTACGCTATGATTATTATCCGCTATTGTAGAATTCTGATTCTGCTAACTGGTATTATTGCTAGTAATTAAAGCTTAAGGAAAGATAGTATACGCTTTACAATAAAATGAAATTTAATTGTTTTGATGCTTTTGCTAGATTCTTGATATGAGCGTGTTGTAATGGTTATGTTTGTTAAGGCCACTTGTTAGGTCAATGTCAAGGGTTTTTTAATGAAAAGTACCCAATAAAAATTTGCTTTGAAAGTTTTATTTCTTAAAATTATTTTTTATTTCAGTAGGATGAATTCTAATGGTAAACGAAAATTTAGTGATCACGTTGATACTGATTGTGCAAAACGAGGAGTATGGCTTGTGAAGGTAAGCTTCAATAGTCTTCACTGGAAATGTCTATCGTTGATATTTATTCTGTTGTTGATGTCTAAATTGTTAAGTACTTATAGTTAAGTATGACTATTGATGACAGTCTAACGGGAGTTTGATTAGAAAGAAATAATTGATAGTTTAATCTGGTCGTACGATCATTTCTGCATGAAATGGAGTAGGGTTATTCGAAGTGTATTTGTTTAGTCCTTCAATCGCTACCTTTATTTCTGGACATTTATGGTTTCCGTTTTTTTTTTTCTCTTTTTTTTTTTTTTTTTTAACCAGTTTCTTATTTTTATCGTTTCTCGATGATACTGTGCTCTTTTTTTTTTTTTTTTCATATTATGTCCATTTACATCTTTGTTTTTTTTTTTTGCGATTTGTGGAAGACATGTTAAAGCTTGAAATACTGTGGTGCTTCAAGTTTTAATGAACTTTGTCATTAAATTACTAAATTACTTTTAGTTACAAATTTGATATAAGATTTTAATTAGTATTATATTATTTATTTATTTAAAAATTACATATGGATTTTTAGGTACCAAGATATTTGTCCGAGATGTGGGGGAAGAATGTCGGCTACGATGTTGGACGATTGGTTATCACAGCAGCAAATGGAAAAACTGACTTGATATTTAAAAGCAATACAAATTTGCTTGAAAAGAATTCATCAGGTTTTGTTATTTATTTAGTTATTGACTTTTTTTTCATCGTTTTATGATGCTGCTTTTGGTATTTTAATTTCTTAAAATGTAATACTAAATCAGAATGTCTGTAATATAATCAAGTATAATTTTTTCTTTATTTTCATAATCATTGAGTTTAATTTGTTTATGTTAATTAAGATTCATTTAGGTTACGACAATGAGGCATCATCATCGGATTCATTTTTGAGCTCACTTTCTGGGAATAATTTATCAACATCACGTAATAATCGAATTGGTCCCACAAAAAGTAAACAAGCAAGTTTCTTAATACCAAATGAACATAGTTTTGTCATCGGCGATATTAGGAATCAGTCACTAGCTGTACTCTGCGAAGGTTTGTATTCGTAATAATTTTAGCTTTTTTTTTTTGGTTCAATTATGATTTTTTTGAGCGATTTCATGTTTACACATATTGACTGTTAAATTATTCAGATAAAAGTGGCTTAAATGAAGACGCTGACATTTGCTCAGGCCGCTTAAGCATTGAAGGGAGAGTTGTGAAAAGAGCTGACTGCAGACCTCCTCAAACAGATGACTATATGCGAATGAAAATGTGAAATTTTGAAAATCATTTGTTAGGGAAATATGTTTATAAAAATAATTTGTCCATGTTTTGTCACTACTACTATCAACTAATATCGAAATATGATATATGGATATTATCTAACAAATTTTATCATCTAAAATGTTAAGTTTCACTTCACATTTGATTTCTGAATGTTATTTTTTTTTTTTCTGGAATATCGTCTTTTCATATATTAAAGGTCTTTTAAAAGAGGAACTGCTGTAAAAATGATGGAACAATAACTCATAAAAATATGCTTAGTCCATGGAGCCATTTTCGCTTAATACGGGAATTTACAGAAAACAAATAGAGAAAAGCAGCCAGCCAAAACGACATGTGAAACAAATGGAAAAAGCTGAAGTGAAATTCAAGCCTATTGCTGTTCATGCAGAAATGGTTTGCCTTTTAAAATTCTTTCAAATTACTATAATTTTCTTGGCTGTAAAACCTTTTTTTTCCATATAATTCAAAGCTTGGTTTAATATTCCGACATAAAATTGAAATATTTTACTGTGAAGTAATTCTAAATTTGTTTTGTTTCAGTTAGCCAGAGAAAAGCAGAAGAAAGAAGGAGCAAAAACTGTTCGTGCCGATAAGGATGTTGTTCGACAAGCAATATTTCATGCTTTTGAAAAACATCAATACTATCGATTGGTTGACTTGCAGAAACTTACCAATCAACCTCCGGTCATTTCATTCATAATTTCAAAAAATATTTTTTAAAGTTATTAAAAAAAATATCCATTTATTTCATCATACATATACAATATTCTCATTCTTTCGTCTGACTTATATTCCTTAGTCCGAGTTTCGAATTCAGGAAGAGAAGGGATAGAAATTCAGGAACATTTCTCTACGCTTTTTATCTCGCACTCTTAATTTTTATAATTGTTATATTTTTTAGTTTTATTTTTCTTGCAGTAACCTTATCCGTTCTGATACTTTACTTACTAAAAGTAAATTAGCGTAAAACGTGAAAGTTTCGTATTATTTTTATCCCAAACATCGGTTGCAAAATAATTTATTCTAATTTGTATTTTAAGGGATTTGTTAAAGAAATACTAACGGAAATTGCTGTGTACAATACAATGCCACCACACAAATCAATGTGGGAGTTGAAACCAGAATATCGAAATTATCGTAAAAATAAAAAAGAAGCTGAATAACAACAAATTTTTTCTCTTCTTTTATACGGGCTGCATGATAAATGATGAAATTAAAGTGTATCATTAACAAATTATATCTTTTATTGGCTTCTCATTCAGTCATCAGTGAAGGTAGTAATTTCAAGTCCAGTAGAAAAGTCGTCAGTATGCTCTTATGATCGTTATCACTTCTAGCTAACAAATCTATTCTTGTGACTGCTAATCTTTTCTGTTTTAATCAGACAAATATGTTTCAATTAGAATGATTATACGAAAAGTATCATTTAATAGTCCTTCTAGGATCATATTTATGCTAGTAGTTGTTGAAATTTTTCTAGTGTTAATCTCTTATATATAAATTTTATAAATTTCTTGTGATAGGATATTTGTGACCAAAAATGTTATCATTATGTTTACCTCATTCCAGTGCTTGTACTATGTCAAATCTTGCATTCAAATCAGAAATGATGATATATAAAAATTTTTTATCCTTATGATTAAATTAATGAAAAAATTGGTCTTCAAAGAAGGAAATAATTCCTTATTTAGTTTTTGGTAGAATTTTTCAATTTAAGGTATTTTTGCTTCAAAATTCCCTAAACATTTTTTAACGTGAAAATGTATAAATAGAAGCTCATCTCATGTAACATAATGGATGTCTAATAATCGATTGGGTTTTGTTACGCAGCAAAGTTTTCAAAGATTAAACAAATCATAGCACTTCTTTTTTATTTATTTATTTAGTTCCTTTTTGGATGTTTATACCTTCCAAAATCTCATTTGCTTTTTTTTTTAAATTAATAGTTAAAAGTAACAGAAAACAAAGACAAATAAATGAAATTTTAGAAATAATGTATGGTATACTTAACAACTCTTCATCAGTTCTTTTAACTAAGATCTTGGTATAAGAAGAGTTCATATATCACATTAAAAATATTATCATACGTAACACAATCTACTCTATTCATTAAATTGATAATTACTTTTAAAAATTATATACTTACTGCATTCATTAAATTGATAATTTTAAAAATTATAAATAGAATACTTACTGCTACGAACTACTCTACACTAGTACCCGGATATTTATTAAACTTATAGCTAGTCTTATAAATCAGTTATAAACAGAGTGCTCCCTATACTAATATCTAGTATTTATTATACTAGCAACTAAACAACCTTGTTAATCATAATCATTTATATCATTCAAATATGAGAAAAAAAAAAAGGAAAACATCAAAATGCAAAAAAAAAGGTATCAAACAAACATCCGTCTATTCCTCCGTTTTCTTTGCCATTTTTGTAAACTTTTGTAACACAATAAAACTGGACCAACTATACAAATACAACAGCAACAGCATACAACAAATAAGATAAATGCAAATGTCATCAATACTATCCTGAAATTTTCTTTTTTATATTAAAAATATTCTAAATATACATATAAAATCTTTAATTTAAAATATTCTAATTGAAAAAAAAAAAAATTGATAGGTATACGATAAATCTTTTTATCCATTCATATATGGCACGAAATTAATATTTAAAAAGGAAATTAACATTCTAATTTTAATACTTTTTTCAAGGTTATCATCTACTATTTCATTTTTTATTCATTAATAAAAAATATTAGAAAATTTTTTTTTCCTTTCTACCTTAACATTTTCAAACTATATAACTATTTTTTAAAATAAAACTTTTTTGAAAAAATTTCCAGACAAAAGAAAATACGTACAAACTTAAATGAGGAAAACATGCAACTTTTGGTGACAATGAATCATTACAATGATCAGTTGAATGGCATGTGAAAAAGCATTCCTTCATGCAAGTTTCCTCATCATCATAACACATTACTAATATTCCGGAAACCGATGATGATCGTTTTATTGTATTATCACTCGATATCCATTCTGTTGCAGCAAATGAAAAACAGTCTTTAAAAAAAAAAAAAAATAATGATGATATTAATTAGCATTAGCAATAATATAAACATAGAAAATATCTTATCTACACAAAGTGTCGAAATTTGATGTTGAAGAAAAAAATCCAAACAAATTATTCGAAAATAACTATTAAGAATTCAAGAAGGAAAATGATAAAATTAAATGATAATTTATATTATCTCATAAACTGAAAGAAAAAAAGAATCTTTTTCCCTAAACTTAGAAAAAGTTAATTAGCAATTAATCTTAACAAATTTGCTGTAATTTTAAGAACCATTTTTGAAAAAAAAGTAAAATGAAACTTACACAATACTGGAACGATGTAAAATAAGACTGAATACATAATATTTCACATTGGTCGAATCAACTTGTTTAACTAACAATACACGTCTTTATTACTTTACTTCAATGAAATCAATGAAAATCAATTTTTGTATTAAGGATGTTTTTGAAGTCTAATTCCACACAAAAAAAATGAAAATTTTAAATCTATGTAATTGTCATCTTATTCAGTTTACTAAGAAATGAACATGTCGAATTATTTAATTAACAATCTACGCATGCTTAATTAACTCGCAAGTATGAACTATCAAATAATAAAATTTTAATTGATTTACTTTTATCAGGAAAAATCTTACAGCGTAGTTTTTCGACAAAAATTTACAGAATTATTGTTTGAATTCTATGAAAAGAATTTCTAAATAATTCAAAGATTATTAATTATAAGAAATGTAGATGTCAACTAATATGTTAATGAGAAATAAGATGGAATTAAAATATATATATATATATATATTTAAAATACAGAATAAACTTCTATCATAGTAGTTTATATAGAAAAAAAAAAAAGAAAACGAAAAACTTTATTGCACTTCTTGCATTAGTATTTACAAAAAAAGAAGAAAAAAATTTAATTGGTAAAATAAAATTAAATAGATCATTTCTATGAATAGAAAATAAGATTCAAAAACAATGACAAATTATTTAATGAAGGATACGACCTTCGCAACTTTTCATCGACTTTTGAGATCGATAATTCGAATTGGAATTGCATTACAATTTCTGCTCTCTAAAATTAATCGATATAAAAAAGAAATATTTCTGATTATCTTTTTATTCCATTTCTATTTGACAAATGAATAATAAATACCAAATAAAGCAAATAAAAAAAAAAAAACAAATTACCTTTATTAATGAGAAAACACCACTATAATGATAATTAAATGTTTTTATTTACAATGTTCAATTTTAGTAGCAAAAAAAAAAAAAAAATTTTTTTTAATTGAAACATTTTAAACACTTTAGCATAATTTTATTCTCCCTTAAAAATAATGATACGATATTGCTACTTTACATTACATGCAGCGATATCAGTCAGCTTAAACATCGTCTTTTTTTCAAATTTTAAATACTAAATACAAAATATGTTAATGGTTTAAATTTAAAATATATTTTCTTTTTCTTTTTATATTACTACTATTAACTACTACCACCACTACTATTATTAATCCCAACATTCATTTATAAAAACATTTTGATACTTTTGTTTTTCAAATGATAACAACACTAACCGGATAACATCTGGCAGAAATGAATCAAATCGAAGAATTGCTATCAATAATTTCAAATCAGTCGATCAATCAAATACTGTGTGGCTACCATCATTCAAACATAAGATTTGTCAAAAAAAAAAAATTAGAAAATTACCATTAAAAACAAGATCGATTTATTCTAACAGAAATAACATTCTTCCTAGTAATTTCACTTTTTTTTTCAACTTACACATTTTTTAGTTTTTTTTTTTCTTAATAATTTACCAATTCTTGGAGAAAAAAAAAAAGAAACTTAGCGATGTGGAATATATTCAAAATTGTATCATCTAAAATTTAATGAACGTTATTAACTTTAATAATCCATTAGCTATTTTCTTCTCTAAACAAATCTAATTATAAAGCTAAATAAGCAAATACTTTTAATCTCAATTTACTACCTCATTCTATAATTAAATTCACCAATCCTTTATCAATGAAAATGTCTATTATTATTTCAAGAAATATATTATAAAGTATAAAATTAACTACTATATGCACAGTTTAAATATGTTAATGTCTTTAACATCATTCTTTTTTTTCTCAATTAAGTTGAAGAAGGAAATGAAAAAGTTAATACTTCAAAGAATTTTATAATTCTCGCCAAATTCATGCATTTTAATTCAAATCAAAACTGCTTGAATGGTTTAAAAGACAAATAAAGTAAATACATCATAGACCTCAATCTTCCTTTTCTTTTCTTGGTATGACTAAAATTTATGACTAATAAATTTGAAATCTTTCAAATTCGCATCATTACTCATTATCTAGTAGTTTGCATAGAATAAAACAGTTTACCAGTGATCCATAAAAATGCTCCGGATCCGGATTATAATTAATTCCTACCGCTAAAAACGGAAAAACGGATTTTCCTCCCTTCATATTTGATTTTCATGCTTCCTTTTTTTCTTAAAAATAATTTCATCTACACTTTCCAAAATAATTCCATGATTTTTTAGTAACACATGATTTTTGCAACACTGTAGAAAAAGTGAACAACTGCTGAAATGAATAATTTAAAAAAAATTAAAATTTGTAAAAAATACGATGTACTATTGCGTGTAAACACGAAGAGTAAACATAAATTAAAATACAAATTTTAACATAATTTGTTTAAAATAATTTATGTATTCAAATCACTGACATAATAGTAGCAAATATAAAATAATCAATGCTTACTGCATGATTAATTAATTAATTAAATGATTAATTAAAATCCGATCCTTCTGGCATGTTTAAATTAATTTCAATTCAAATTAATTTCTCCCAAAATAATCACATGGAAGAAATAATTTGTTATATCAAACATCAATTCTGAATAATATCAAAATATCTTAACTTTCTATAATTATGCTTAATATTAACATGCCTAATACATTTGGGAAACGGACAAAAATGATGCATAATAAGGTTAAAATTCCAAATTCCTATTTAAAAAAAAATTAGTACGGTTGAAAATACAAAAAGAATTCTCACTTGAAATTAGTTTCTTACACTTTTATTCCTTTTTTTATGTTGTAAAATTAACAGTAAATTTCAAATATCTTTAAAGAATTAAAACTTAAATGAGCAAATATTTTATATTAAAAAATACATCAGCATAGCATTACGCATATTTTACATTCTACATTCTTGACTTATCAAAATAAAAATGAATCCATACGATAAAACAAATTAATGCAAAAAATCAGTGCATAAAATTCCAAAATAACCGTCAAAATGCAGTAAAAACCTCATTTTAAATGTTTTTTTTTTCTCCAAACCAATCACCATTATTCATTCATTTTAATTTAAAACAAATTAAACTATCTAAAAACACAAATACTAGTAATTAAACTTGCAAAACATGAAGTTATACAAATAATTAAATAATCACCGATATAAGCAGCATAATCACTTACATTTCCGAAAAAGATGTAACAGATACGTTAGCAAGTTCTTTAATGAATTTTTCACGATGAATAATATTTGTTGTAGCAATAATAATACGTAAATTATTGTATTGTGCAAGTAAAGTTAATGCAGCAATTTCCGAATATGTTACACCACCAATAAAATATACTAAAATTACTTTTCGGATACGATTATCAGTTTGACGATTTGCATTTGGCGAGCAATTTTGATCACAGAAAACTGTATCACCAAAAGTTATCTTCATTTCTTCCATATTCCATCCATTATTTATTGTATCATTAACTATTTTACATAAGATAGGTGTGTAAACACCTGAAAAAACATATCGCATTTGATCAGGATTTCGAAGATTTATTGTTGTTTCGGTATTGCCTGGAAGAAGTGCCATACGTCGTGTTAAAAATTGAAATGTAGGCTTAGAAAATGATGATACAGGCTGAGATTTGATAGGTATAACATTATGTACAGTTGTTAGTTGTGGAATAGAACGCTCAATTAGAAGACCTTGAATACCAAGAAAATGTAATATTGCAAGGTTTTCATGGCCAAAAGCATAGAGATATTGATTTCGAAATTGATTGAAATATTTGGTTGGTATACCATTTTGTGTAAGAGACCATAAGCATGCTAATAAGAGGATTTGCCATTGATTGTGTTGAGTACATATACAATCTTCCAAATATGCTAATACTTCATTAGGATCAAAATTTCCTGAAATTAATGCATGCTCCAGTGTAAGTCGACTTGAAATTCCTTTACATTTCTCCAAAACCACTTCACAAGCGCAAATATGCAATTCTAGTAATTTATGCTGTTGTTTCAGTGTTCGTAATTCATTGGATACAAATTCTTTCATATCTTTTACTTGTTCAAGATTTGAACCTTTGTCGTAACTTGCTTGAAGAGATTTTGCTTTAGCACTTAAAAATGGAAAAACTGCTGTCATATGCATATTACGTACAGCTGAAAAAATTGGATCATTATTATCCAATGTGGTAATTTTAGAACGATTTATATTATCATTTTTTATACGCTTATTTACTTCATCGCCAAATATCACTTTACCACAACTTATTCCAAATGTATCGTGTACCATTGATTCGTATGTCAAACCAGTAAGAAAAACAGTTGGCAAATCTAAACTTCGATCGAATAGAAATAGATAATCAATTGATTGATCCGATGATAAACGTGGCTCACCAAATTCATTGTGTAATTTTTTCATTAATTTATTTACATATATACTATTTTCTCCAATACCATAAACAATTGGTATTAATCCATAGAGTGTTTGTAATTGCCATAATGATTTAGCAACTGCACGAAGATGAATAAAATTATGATCTACTAATGTTGCCATTGTAAATTCATGATGTTCCAAGCTGAATAAATGCTTATCAATATTGATTAGTGGTAATTCAAGTTCTAGAATATCAATCATACCATATATACCACAACGCTCAAATTCTTCTTCACAAATATACAAACGTTGTGGAACAAATATTACCGAATAATTTCGTTCCGGTTCAGCTAAAATATGTTCAGCAATACATTTTGCTGCAGCAAGCGTTGGACGTATAATATATACACGATGTATAGCATTTTCACTCCATTTTAAATTTGAATGATGCAAAAATTGTTGCACATGAGCGCAGTTATGTTCTTGTAAAACAGACATTGATGCTATTTTATCCAATGGTCGCATTAAACTTAACTCCACTGCTAAATCTTTTACTTCAGGTATCGATTCAAGTAAATGAATTAATTCTCGACGAGCCATTTGTGCTAGTAAACCAAAATCATCAAAATCAGCCATATTTCCTTTTTCTTTTTCCATTAGTTCACCTAAAAATTAACATATATGTATAATTCAATAATTCATCAATGTTAAACTGTAAATTTCAGACAGCAGAAAAATATTTGAACAAAAAAGTATTTTTGTTCATTAACTGCATGAGACGAAATAGCTAAACAAGAAAGTAGCATTGTTGACGTAGTAAAATAACTTTATAGAAATAATCAATATCACATGTCGTATGATCGTACGGTATTTTATATTTACGTGATTTAAAAAAAAAAGAAAAAAAGCGTAACAATTATATGCAGTTAATGTTATATTCAATAAAATGACAGAAGAAATTTGAAAAATGCAAGAGAAATCATTTATGCTAACAAAATAACGGGTAAGATAAGCATTTTCGTTTTGTTTCGAGAAATTTCCAAAACTACGAAATGAATCAAATCATTCTAAGTAATTTAAAAAATTCATTCGAAATAACAATTCATTTATCAATTAGGCTATAGAAAGATTCAATGAATTTATTCAAACACAAACGATTCTGAACAATTATTTATAGTACAAATGAAGACTTTTCTTGCATAATGTTTAAGATGATTAATTACACATTTATATCTTTCAGTATTTCCTTGTCCAAGAACTTCACTTGAGTTAAGTAGCAGATAAACGGGACGTCGTATCGATCGTATTTGAACATTAAATTATAATTTTATTGAAATATCTTATTCAAAAGAAACAAACTTTACCTTTTTTAGTTGTCATCATCACACAGTTTTCTTCCCCGATTCAAATAATAAATCTTTAATCTTAGTATTGATGGGATCTTTCTATTCGGTATGGACCCTTTTCGAAATCATGCTAAGCAATCAGTAAATTGAAGCACTAGTTCCTTAATCCGGCCATTAATATTGGAATTAATAACACCATTTGAAATAAAGAAATACAAAAAACTATGACCAAAAAACATGAGATACCTAAAAACTCGAGAAATAAATGGAACAATTTTCAAAATAATACCTAAATAAAATGGGTGTAAACAAACAAGTTGACAGCAACAAATAAGTGAATAAATACGCAAAACCTAGTTAAAAATGAAATCAATTTCAACCAGATAACGAATCCAAATTTGCTTCACATCGTAAACAATGTATTCGTTATAAACAAGGGAAAATATCGTGTCTTTTGGTTGCAATGTGATCGGCTTACCACATGGCACTTCACAATCGTCTCTGCAAATAGATCATGAAATTTAGAATTTAGTGGTAAAATCATTTATTATAAATACGGTCCAAACATAAGACAAATCACATAAAATAGTCTGAACTTTTGGGGAAGATGTGAATACAATACTATACAAATTATGCACATATTGCACTGCCAAATAAACTACTGAAACCATATTTTAAAACTTAAAAAATACCGAATTGGGTTGTAGCGAAAAACAGTAAAAATAATGGTAAGAAATCAAAAAACTCACAAAGTGACATATGTAGTCGGATCGGGGACAATTAAACCTAATCCTTTAGTACTATTCTTTCCTTCAGGAAGTTTACTGGCTTGAAAGTCAGCTTGTAATAATTCGTTCATTTCTCCCAATGCAACTTGTGCCAATACCAAAAAACCAGGCTTATTTTCTTGTGGATAGCAGTAATTGGCTGATTTTGTTGACATATCAGCAAAGTAAATACCCTTACCAAACATGTAGCCTGTCTGAAACAAAAGTTAAAAACGTACTTTAAGTTATAATAGAAGGAAAAAATAATGGAACTCTAGAAAATAATTTCAAAAGTTTACCTTAGGAGCTTCCAGCGGGGCAATTCGAAGACCTTGAGATAAAATACTATACCAGTTTGTAAGTCGAGATCCATGCCATAATAACTTCCTAAAAATTATTTCCGCCTTTGAAAAAACTAACATTTTATCTGAGCTATAAATATTATTCAACGAAAATAAAAACAAGCTTTTCAACAAAGCTATAGAAAATAGCAAAATAATCTCATTTCTGTTTCACTGGGAACGTTTGAAAGCACTGAAATTTTAAAAAATAAAAGATAAAAAAACAGCAATGGACAGAAAATTATTACTAAATAATAGAATGTTTTGCTGCTTTTTCCGTTATAATGTCATATTAACAAACGATTTTAAAACGTAATAATGTGCTTTAATACCTATTAAGAATTCCAAAACTGCAAGAATAACAAAACATAAATAACAAAACGAAGAAAAAAAAATGAAACTTATGACTAGTTCAACACTAAACTAAAATATATATATATTTAAACCTGTTACCAATATCGAACATAAATTCTTCTCGTTCTCCGCTTCGATTTACTGCATATAAATTACGAATGCGTATTTGATACATAATATGTGTTGGAGCATGTGTCCATTGAAGATAATTATCCACAAGCTGGATTATTATAAAAAGAAAAAAAAAAATGACATACAGATTGTAATATCATATTTGTTAGATAAATAACAAGACCGCGATATTGTCCTCGTGGGTTGTTTTCTTCTTCAATTGAAAAGCCATTTCACATATTCGGTGATTCGATGTTCATTAAGTGAGAAAGTGATATAGATTCATTCACCTTCCATGTTGAATATGATTTAAACTTAATGTCTTGAATCTTTTTTTAAAGCCACTTGAATAAAAATACCTGATAAATAGGATCATTTACACTAAGGAGTGATATTTCGCATTTCATATTTATGTAATGACGATCAATTGGATGAATATTCACATCTCCCTCTTTCTTGAAGGTTCGTACAGCTACTCCAATTCCATTTAATGCCTCCAACAATTTAATTTCAGTTTTTAACTGTTCCATTGTTTTAATCATTGGTGGCTGACGCATCCTGCAAATGTGATGAAGAATTCAATAATTCATAGTACACTGAACATTCAATGTTGAATTTTAATACCATCATAGTCTAAAGAAAATGAAATAATCAAAAAAGATGGTAATGTCCTGGAATGCTTATGCGTGTTGTAAGTGAAAATTACTGACAGACTTGTTGCACTGAATTTTAGAAGTATCATTTCTGATGGAATAATTACCCAAAAAAATGAGGAATTTTTGTGTAATAATTATTGACAGTTTCAATAAAATTGGACGAAAAATCCTTTTTCTTAATATACTCTTCAATTTTTGTTAGCGCTGCGTAGCCAGCCTTAATTTGTTCATCCGTTACTTTTCCTAAAAATATAATTTCTGCAGTTCATACATTACTTACAGTTGTTTTACTTACCAAGCGATCAATAGCTACAAGACTAGTATATGTAGCAAAAAATAGTTAATAGTCAAATTCATTAATGGAGTATGATGACAGTATGATGTTGTTTGTTATATAATGAAAAATAATGAAAATTGAGATGCTCTGCTATGGCATTCAAAAAAATAAAAAATTTAATTCTTAAAAGTCAAATAATCAGGTGTTATACCTAGTGGTGCTTTAGTAGCATCATATTCCAATTCTGTCATCGTTTCCTCCATTGTTCGTATATCACAAATAATATTTAATAAATGCAGCAAATAGGGATCCAATTTTGACTTAACTTTTTTCTCTTTATCTTCATTTTCATTCATTTCCTCCTCTATTACTTTCGAATAATCACTCTTAAAAGTACAGTACATTATTTAAAACCAGAAAGAACTTTTGCAAATTGTTAAAAACTTTATTTTAAAACATTGAACATAGTTTTATTTAAAGAAACAAACAGGCAAGTAGTCGTATTTGCCAGATATTTTATCAAAATTAGCTCTTTCGGCCCATTCATTTGTCGTTTTGTTCTTGAACTTGTCACAAAATAATTTCTTTGCTAATGTTAAGTTCGTACCACATGGATTCAAACTAGTTTGTCCCTGAACATACAGTCTGAGAGAAAAATTCATCCAGATTTTCGAAATCACTTAATAAGCAATTATATAATTCCAAGTGTAAAATCAAAGCTTTCTTAAAAACTTTGAGTGATACGAGTGATATGAAACTCACTCGATATGAAACTTCAAGATACTATGATATCAATTTATGAAGAAATGGATATCGCCTGCACTGATATATCACTAAATAAGCATGAATTGAAAATCAAACATATATGACGGAAGTAATCCATAAAAACAAACTTTGTAGCCAACACGCCCCCAACGGAACCAAACCCAATAGCGCTTTTCTATATCAGATTCTAACAACTGTATGATAAAAAATTTATTTTTATTGCATTGTGCACTGGTCTGAAACAAAAAACTGTAAAACTGTATTAGCTCCGTCTAAGTAAGTGAAGAATTAATGATTCCTTTAAGAAAGTGAAAAATTTAGTTCACATTTTCATCATTTATTCCTTAAAACTAGACCCAACACAATATATTATTGTAGAAGCAATTCAATTATGCAACCTGATTCAATAAGGCATCATAAACATTGTTGAATTCAGTATAAACATGTGTGGTGCCAACTAACTCATGACATTCAGGATCTACAGCCGCAATCCCTTTTAGTATAACTTTTTTTAAATCGCTTTTGTTATCTGAAATAATTTTATTAACCAAACAAACTAAAGAAATGAAATAAAAGAATATGCATTTAAGCACTGTTTTAACCGCAATGAATTTCCATTTCACCTACAATGCGATCGCGCTCAAAGTACAGCTAATCAGGCATATTTTTTCTCGATATGCCTACATCTTTCATCACATCATTAATAATGCTTAATGATTTGATATGCTCCTCAGAAACATCCTACCAGTACTCGAATCATTTGATTTTTGATTTTCAGAATTAGCATTTCCTTTTCTACGACTTTTTCTTTGTTTCTTACTCTTATCATCATCTCCATTGGTATCATTTCTGTCATCCTCCTTCCCTGTTGGCTGTAATTTCGATGATCCATCAAACTGAAGATAGAGGCATTTGAGGACGCATTTTATTACATATAAAATAATTTTTTACTTCGAAAAAATTTTTTTGATTTCATAACTTAGTTAGAGTACAACTGACCACATTTAATGATTGTCGTACTCCTAAAAACTCTTCCTTTTAAAAAATTTCTTGATGATACTAAAAAGCTTTCTGGAAAGTATGTAATAGTGCATTGAAAAGTGCAACAAATGCATCACTTTTAAGCAAAAAATAATCGATCATAGGGTAGTACCTTAGAGAGGTATTTCGATTTTACTCAAATTTTTTTTTTTTTTTTGCACTATCGTTTGGCAGTACATAGGTGCCATTTTCAGGTTTGTTCAGTACAACTACACAGTCTATGGTACTAGCTGTAAGACAAATACTAAAATCCTTCATAGCTAACCTTTTGTTTACTTTCAAGCGAAGGTATATCGGTTCGTGCTGCAATACGCTTTGCTGCTCGAAGGCGTTCAACTCTTGGGACTGGTTTTGATGACATTGATGGCTCCGCATTCGAAATGTGCGAACGAATCTGACAGTGCATTTGACATTACTAATGAAACTTCCTAACTAAGAAAAAACTCTATAGATCTATAAAAGAATTTTTTTCACAAAGATTTAACAAAAAAAAAAAAAGATGATTTCTACTCACTTTATATTCCGTCGATCCGTCGTCACTTCTGATTAGATTTGTGTTAAAATCAGCAACAAAATTCATTCCTGACAGCAGTATTTTAACATCTCCAGATTCATTAACGAAGGCATTTTCTAATGTAACGGCAGATACTGGATCCACACTTCGCCAACGTCTTTTCGGATCAAGATATTCCCAAACACGATAAAGATCTACGACAAAATATGCTTTTCGAATAAATATATTCTCAAAAATATGCTAAAACTTGAGCTATGAGAGAAAAATTTCACTGATTTGGTGGTCATTTACCTTCGTCATTTCGAATGGCGCATCTTATAGACCGAACAAAACCGGTATCCAAATTTTTTTGTTTCATTGAATTGAAATCAACTTGTAATTTAGACTCATCCATTTCAAACTCCGTAATACCATGTGTTATGTTATCACTATAATACAAACTACTAATTTCGATAAATTTAAATGATAGCTAATTTCAAACAAATCTTAGTGAAAAGTGATATGGAACAGTAGTTTCTGAGTTATAATTAAGTGCGAACGAAATATTTCTGCTGCTGATGAGGCATCTTTCAGAGATTCTTAGAGAATTTAAAAGCAATGAAAGAAACGAAAAGAGGTAACTTATGGAATAAGGAACAATTTTAGTCGTACTGCATTCGATATTTTCAAAAAACTATACATTTCCACAGATGGAATGTACTGCGGATGATACTTGCTCTTGACATTCTATGGCAATGTCAACATTAAATATTCTACAAATCCAATATATCTGTATGCTAAAAGTAATATGGAGGATTACTTTAATTTTTTGTTGACTACATTATCATATTTGATCCATCTTCCTCGGCTCAATTCGTATTCCCAAACCAATTTCTGAAACAGTCCCGCACTGTCTGCATTCCAATCATTCTGATCATTGGCCTCCACATCTCCAACAGTGTTATTTTCGCTTTTTCCCAAATCATCCATTTTTTCTTTGAAAATAAAATTAAAATTCAATGAAATTGAGCATCATTTAAAATGGAAATCAGACACAGACAACTATAATCCAGAAAAAAAAAAATGTTACGACCATATTACTAATTTAATTTAATGATAAAAGTAGTACGATAAAATTGTGATGCAATATAAGCATACTATTATTCAAAAAAATCCATCAAAATTAATCAAAAAATTCAAAAAAAATTCAAAAAAAAAAGAACATCATACTAAATTCAAATTCAAATAACAAACTATACTCTACATCATCAAAAACTTGAAAACATAAATTAGAAAATTTCTACTGCAAGTGAGCAGAAAAAGAAAGAAAACAAATCAGCATTTTATAATAAAATAAAATGATACGATCATTAAAACTGAAAATATCTGAAATCGTTTCCTTATTCCTATCAATTTTAATTGCATAATTTAAATTTTAATTATTTAGAGGAAATCAATTTTTTACTTTTCCTAAATGATGAAAAGAAAGAATTAGACTATAGATCAGTTGTAACACTCTCAATCTCAATACAACATCCTATTGGAATTTTAGCAAACAAATCACTTCATAACACCGTCCATCTGGAAATTACCAAAGAGCTACTGCCACTGCTACTACTATACTACTAGATGGTACGGCAAATGCTTTGTTGCAAAACTGGTGGCAGATAGTGGTAACGGATGATGACACGTGTGGCACTTAATTAATCCATGCATATTGTGATAGTTTTTCAGCTGTTAACATTTCAATAGAAGTCTTCTTTTTTTGCAATTTTTTTGATTATCTTAAATATGAATTTGTTTAGTGATTTTATCTAGCTTTAATTAATTATTTAAATTAACTCAGCAAATTAGTAATTCAATCACCTTTATGTTTTGCATAGTAATTAAATAGAATTTGGAAGACTGACATGATTTTGTTGTATATTTGTTTTTGATGGAAAATGTCATCAAATACTTACGACACTTTAGAGTACATTTCATATTGACTGAAAAAAAAAAGTTATATTCTCTCCTCTCTTCTCCTCTCCTTAAAATAATCTTCCTTGCATAAGCATTTTCTTCCTTTTTTTGTTTATTTTTCAATTTTTGTCGACATTCTTTTCAAGAATACAAAGTGAAACATTACTTTATTTTAGAAATTAAAAAAAATAAACGATAATAGCAAAAATGAGTAATAATAAATATGATGAAATGAATGATTCTTTTCCCGCACCTACGACAATTGGTAATTTTGGTTGTATAGTTTCATCCAGACTCTTTTGATCGAAAAAGTCTTGGAAGTCATCTGAAACTTCCATTTTCGAAATTCTTATTTAACATTAGAAAAGAGAAAAGAAAATTTCAACTTAATGAATTTCAGTTTTTTTCTTCTTTTAATGCCGTTAGCAATAAAGGATATATTAAGCAAGATAATCAGTCGATTTTTTTTTTTTTCTATTTAAATACTAATTGTTTCTTGATTATGATTTCATTTCGGTGTGGAAAAAAAGTTCTTGATTACTTAATTTATGAAGTGAAAATGATGCAGTTTAATCGATTAACGAAATAAATTACCTGATAATTGTTTAGAGATGTAACGAAAATATAAGAAAAGTGATTAGTTGAAGATAAACGGTTAATTTAATTTGCATTTTAATTTGCTCAAATTAATAATAATTATCACTTGCATTTAATTTGTTAGCTAATAATGTATAAGTTTCAAAAAAAACTTTATTTTTTTGCTATACCTGAATATGCATTTGCAGAAACTTTATCACTGATCTGAGTTGTAACACTTTCACAAAGTTTTTTACTTTCATGGTCACGTTCAACAAATTCAATATTTGGTGACATATAATACTGTGCTTGTCGTTCATCTTGTATTGATCGTGTTAAATTAATATTTTTAGAGTAAAAGTTTGTCAAATGTAATCCCTAAAAATTATCAGTAATATGATTTATCAAATTTAATTATCTATGTGAAAAGAAAGTGGAAAAAAGACAAAAAAAAAGAAGAGTCATGTTAGTATTGCATAAATTCTTCAAAAAAAAAATAAAAAATAACTGTAAAAAATCATAACTACTTCTTCTAAAGTCATTTGATATCACTGTATTATTTAAATATATCTTCAATATATTTTAAAAATATATTAAATCATTCTTATTTCTATCCTTTCAAAAAATTCGAAGGATTAATTATGAAATAAATAATTTACGTATTGATTGAAATAAGATCAGAGGAATAATAATCTACATTCAGCAATATTTTGTTAGCTTTTTAAATGTTTGAAATTTTTAGATGCTCAACCTAAACTATAGTTTAATTTTTTATTATGTTTACTGTCAACAAAACGATAAAAAAAATTTAATCCACAGTTTCAGATGTTAAAATTAAATTTATTTCTCATCAAAATAAAGAAAGTAAAAATAAACAAACAGGTTCTATGGCGATTGGAGTATCAAAAATCAGATATGTTACTCCTTCTCGACAATCTCCCTCAAAGAATGAGCCAACATATGACATTGCGCCAGTAAATGATTTTGGTATGAAATGTTTTAAATCCAACAAAAGTTGAATCCTTTTGGACGATAATTCTGAATAAATGATTAGGAATAATAATAATAATAATAATAATAATAATAATAATGAAAGTATGAGTTATAGCTAAACTTGTAAAAATTTTTATACATTAAATATTCCATTTATTTCTTTCCACTTTCTTACATTTCTATTTTTGTTTATCAGTAATGCATTTATCGTTTTGTTTTTTAGTAACCTTGAAAATGTTTGCCATCCAAGAAATCATTTAATTCATAATCATTAATTTCTCAAGGTATTATTTTCAATTTTCTTTTTTTGAAAAAACAATTTTAGTCCATTTCATTTATTTTTGATTTAAGTTTACTTTATTCATATAGATTCTATTAATATATTTTTGCCATCTCTCTTTTCCTTTCTGCCTCTCTCTTTTTCTTTTTCTATCATAGAAGTAAATAGAAATGGAAAAAAATAAAGGAGTATTTTTAATAATGAACAACTTTTATCAATTGGATATTTTGGTATTGGAATACCATCAAACATATAATTAAAATTAATTATTTCTTTGCCACTCATATCGATATCCATTTTCAATTTTGTTTGATTAGCAAGAATCAAAATGGTTGAAACGAAAAAATATTTCTTTTCCTTAGGATTTTTATGGCATTGTTCAAATTCCATTAATATCTAATTAATAAATAAAGTTAGAATTGATGATGCTAAACATCTGGTATAGTTAATGAGTAAATCCTTATGAATCATTAAATATTTTTAGAAGATAGCATGAATTAATATTTAAATTCATTTATTCCAAAATAAATCGCACTTCTTAATGATAGAATAATTTAAATTAAGTAAATAGCTAGTCAAGACATTTATATTTAAAGCTAAATTCTAGTTAGAAGAAATGTAATCTTAATAAACTGATGATTTAAAACAACAAAAGAGAATAATTCTTTTATTTTATCAGATTATATAACATTTAAAATTTTTTACAATTTTTAATAAAAAATGAATTTAGATTTCATTTAATGCAAACCTCTCCAACAGGTTTTTCCATTGCGCCAAAATTGATTAAACGATGTAAGCCACCTTTTATGCCATATTTAAATATGAATCGGATTTTATACAAAGCAAATGTTTTTTCATTATACTCTAACCATGGTCCACGATCAAAACTTGTTATCGATACTGAAATTTTAAAATTTAAATTTGTTTAGGTAGCAAATCTTTTATTTTTATTTCTTATTAATTTCTAGAATATTTTTCATTTGTTTTACAATGATACTTACTAAAATGCTTGGCAAAACTATCAATAAAACATTTTGATAATAAACTAAAAATGATATGCGAATATTTGATTTTATTTATGATAATTTATCAACTTGAAATTTTTACTGAAAAGATAACAAAGCACTTGGTATTATGTATTTTTACTATTTATTCGTTGTTATTCAATTACATTTGGTTAGCTCTTTTTTCTAATGAAATTTTATTGATTTTTTTCTCTGCTGCTGAGTAATGCAAAATTAACATCCAACAGCGATAATTTAGGAAAAAAAATTAATAGAAATGTTACAATTGGATGGTTTTAAATCATCGATAAATTAAACAGATAGCAAGCAGCAGATTTATATTATTATTATTATCAATTAAGAAATTTGTATAAAATTCATATCATTAAGTAAATAATTTGAATTAAAACAGGAACTGACACAAACTATGGGATTTTCACAATAATCAACGCTTAAATTTGTAATTAAACTTGATTTCAAAGTCAAAAATAAATGGAAAACTGTTACTAATCATAACTTTTATTAATTTTATTAAATAACTTAAATTAAGTAAATGAATCAAATTAAAAGAAAAAGAAATTTATGTCGAACAGTGCAAAAGGAATTGTTAATTTTTATTTGATAACTTATAAAAAAGACTAACATTCTGTAGGACCAAAATTGAGTGTATAAAAACGAATTATTTTATGATGGTTGAAACCAATAAAAGTAAAAATTCTTTTAGAATCATTTTTTCGTTCCATTGTATTTGCATCAATGATAATTGGTGATTGCTGCATGCCCGTTTGGCATAAATTTTCATTGCTATCACAATTTTTGATATCTTCAAATAATAAATCAATCAATCAATCAATCGTATGCTAATATGACTAGAGCATAAAAAAAATGAGAAAATATGAAGTATTTGAATTGATTCATTTAATAATTCTGTGATATGAAAATAAATTGATGAATAATGCGGGAAAAAAATTAAAAGTGTTGAAAAGACAAAAAATAAACACATCAAGAATAATGAAAAGCAAGAAAAAAAAACAAAATACAAAAACACATTGAAAAATAAAGAATAAAAAAAAAAGAAATTTCACAAACTGAACGAGTTTTTCAACTACAAAATTAGAAATTTTAAACATTAAACTGAAATAGCTAAATTGTCGGAAAATGTAAAAAAAAAAAAAAAAAAAAAAAAAAACATTTAACAAATTAATGCAAATAAACAAAATATTAATATTTTAAATCATTATTATAACTAATCATGGACGCAAAAGAACAATAATAAATAATGAAAATTGTCAAAACTGTAAGAATTAAACAACAAAATAATTGTCGAAAAAAAAAAAGAAAGAAAGTTTAAACACTTACCTTTCAAACATTTTAATATAAAAATTGCATTTACTCAACTATTAACTATTTTACTCTCAATTCTTCTATTTGATCTTTTTAAGGTCATCAAAGGTTATTTCATTTCAGTTTGAAATATTTGACATTGTTAAATGCAATTACATTCCAAGCATAATTGCACTAAATTTTTCTTTTAATCTTTGTTGTTATTTTGAATTTGTATGAGATGTAATTGTTATCCATACTTAAGTTATTCCGAATTACCAAAAAAAAATTTCTTTTTCTTTTTTTATTGAAATAAGTTTTAGCTCTTCTCATCAAGATATCTCGGTGGAATGAGTGAAATATTAAAGTATTCTCATTAAGATATCTCGGAAAAATGCAACTACAAATTATATTAGTACCAGATTTTTTGTTATATTACTTCGTTTGAGAGTTACAGAATACATCTAATTGCCCTGTTATTGTACTTAAGTAATTTAATCAGGTTAAGAATTTAGCTCAATTTTTAAAACTTGAAAATTATTGATTAAGTAATTCAAACAAATTAAGAATTCAATTAAGATTACAGCAAAATTTTTTAAAGTTAAAAATTACAATTTAGTGATATGATTATGTGTATGATGGCAAGCTTTGATAAACGATTCCAAATAAACTTCCTAAAAGCAATGCAAATTTCATTGTCAAATATTTTTGATAAATAAAATTTTTGAAAAAAAAAAAAGGGATGGATGCAATTTTTTTTTTTTAAAAGAGTTATTTAAATTCATAAAGATTCATTTGTTCATAACGAAATAAACATAAATAGATTTATTAATATAAGACATAAATAACTGATTAATAATAAAAAAGAGTTTTAAACAAACAAGTGAAGAAGTACGTTAAGAAATAAGTGGAAAAAACAAAGCACAAGCGTAAAAGAATAAGTAAAGTAAATGAAATATTATAAGCAACAGTAATTATTTATTATTTAAAATTAATAATAATCATCAAATTCCTGATAAACAAACTACATTGCCATGCCATTAATAGAAACCATAAATTAAAAAATTTCAACTCATCAACCTGATTAGCCTATTCATGCTAAAGCAATAGGAAATAAACCGTTTAAATAATTATATTCTTTTATATATGAATGAATTATTTGTTTTTGAATTTGCAAATCAAAGAGGAAATTAAAAATTAAAAATACTTCCATAACTTGATTATAAGTCATGTAATAAATTTACAATCGCATAATGTGTAATGTATATCAGATTTGGATATTTTAAGTCATTTTAAATGCACAGATTTCAGAAATGATTTAATTGATTGTTATCTTTATTATAAATTAACAATCGTATAATGTTTAAGTAACTCTATTCTTTTACATATGAATAAATGATTTGTTTTCGAATTTGCAAATCAAATAGGAAATTAAAAAATGAGAATGTATGTTATATCCCTGTTTCTTTTTTATAAATCTTTTCCGGAATCGGTTAAAGAGAAGAATGAATGGGTTAAAGTTAAAAAAATTTTTTTTCTGATCTATTTTGTTACTTATCTTTTCATTTTTCTTTTCTATTTTGTTTTTCAGCAAATTTGACTGCAAGATTTTTTTTTATAATTAAATGTTTTATATCATATATTCAAAATTTTGAAATAACAAAATTTAAAGCATTTTTTTCTTAGCAGAAGTTAAAAACATTAAATGTGCTTTTGATATAAAATCGTCTGTGCTTTAATCTGCTGAAACAGAAGCAGTTTCATAAGAGAAGTGATAAAATAACCTCATCATATATCTTATCTTTTGTTGATTACAGCAGCAATTCCAGGAATTTCATGCATTTGCATTTTATATTCATTTTAGAATTCATTTAAAAATTTTCCAATTCTAGTTTTATGTCTCTTATTAAAAGTTATTCAATGAAGAAATGATTTCATAATAAATTATAATTAATTAAAGAGCTCTTCCAATTCTGTCATTTTTTTAATTTGTTTTTGTTTTCACTTTCATATTTTGCTCAAAAAAATTATCAAAAATTAAAAATGCTAACTTTTTTTTGAAAAAAAAAAAACAATGTTTGAAACGTATTAAAATTATATTTTTTGAAAATATAACTTTGAAAGAATAATAAAATAAAAAGACAAATATTGATCCTGTAATTAATTACGGCTTGTTTTTGACTAATTGCTTTTTTTATAACCTTAATTTGACAATTTTTCTCGTAAACTTCCTCACTCTTCATTTAAGTGCTGAAGATTAAACATTTAAACCATTTAATTTAACATGCATTTAAAAAAATTTTGGTTTAATTTTTTCCAGCTACTAAAATTTTTATCAAAAAACAAATTAAATTTTTCGAAAAAATTTTCCTTTAATTACTTTTTTTTTCGATTCCTTTCAAGTATTGTTTTACTTTGAACAAATTGATCCTGTAATTAATTAATTTCATTCAAATTAATCACAAATGTTTTCATTTTTTTCAGACAGATACTTTGTTTGATTGTTTGCTTTACTTCGCTAAAAACAAAAAGAAAAAATAACCAAAATAATAATAATAATAAAAATCTCAAAATTTAAATAATTTTAAACATTTTGAATTATTTCAATTACATTTCAGATCATTTTAATTACTTTTTGAATCATTTTCATTCATTAGTAATTTATGCTAACATAAATTACTAATAGTATTGCTGTGTAAATGTGAAATGCTAACAAAATAGATGAAATGAAAAGTATCAGCTGTTTATCATAGCTGTACAATTGAGTGACTAGGTGTGGACCTTAAGCGGAAGAGCAATTGCTTGAAAGCTAGTAAAACATAAATTTCTTCATTTCAACATTAAATCATTTCATTCCTCAACAAGCTACCTTATCCCTTATCATATCACACATCCTACCATTCATTCATTACTTTAATTTTCCCTTTCGCTTTCTTTTTTTCTCACTTTACTAAGCATTTATCTATTTGTCTAATCGATTACTATTTTTTACATTTATATGAAATTTTTAAAATTCTACAAACATCAATAAAATTATTGAGTTTCAAGTGGAAACTGAATATTTCCATTACAAACTGAATTATCTGAATATTCTAAAACAATTTAATGGACTGTATTATGATGTTTAGAAATATAAAAGGAATTTAAATTTTTTTTTTCCTAAGCAGTAATTTTTTTAATGATTTATTTCTTTCTTATTACAATAATACAATGTTATAATTTTTAGTTTTAGTGATTGTTTTTATTGTTATTGTCGTCTTGCTTTTTTTGTTGTTGTTTACGCTGTTGTTTATTTGGTTTCCTCTCTTCAGCGGAATATTATCAGCATACGTATTTCTGGAGATAGATATGCCTTAGTTCAATTGGATTTTTTTTTTGCTCTCCCAAAAAACTGCTCTTTAACCTATTTATCACTGTTCTTTGTTCAAACAAGTTTTTGCTTACCATTTATTATTGTTGAGGATTTCAAAATAATCAATGAAACACAACAAAGTAAGCTGATAATAATAGTTGTTTAAGTTTATAGCATGTTTGTTCATTGTATTTACTCTTACTCTAATCACTTTTACATTCCTTAAAATAAAATATTATTATAAAATCGCTAAAAGTAAACTGAAACATACAATTTTTGTGATAAATGAAATGTCATAATCGTTTGAAATATGTAATAAAACGCACAAAATCCTTTTTTTGAACTGACTAAATTGCATCATTTAATTTTATTTTATAATAATTTTAATCAGTGTATAATACACAATGTTTCATGCAAAAAATTCGTTTAAGAAGCGTCCAAAAATAAAAATTTTAAATCATTTCAACTTAATTTGAAACTCATTACAGTAAATAATATGTCATTCCAGTGATAACACAACAAACCCACTTTAACTTCGCCAATTTTCTTCCATTTATAATACAAATTTATTTCTTATTTTTTTTTCTGACATTTTTTATAATAATTATTGGAATATCCATTGAATTAACTTTTTTTTTTTGTCAATAAGAGCATTAATTCAAATGCTAATTACAATGACATTATCATTTCACAATGCCTAATGCAAATTTGTTATACTGAAAAAAAAAAATTAATCTGGCTTAATGATTTTGGCATAAAATGACATGTTACTAAAATCCAAAAAAAAATTCGATTATCTTTTCATTTTCTATTTTCTTATATTTTTCGTCATTTTCATTTCATTATTCAAAAAAATTATCATTTTACTATTTTTTTCTTGCTTTCACACGTGTGAAATGACGCAAGTGTATTTAATTAATTGATTTGATTTATTGTTAAAATTATAACAAAACTATATTCGATCAAAACATATTTTTAGCTTGTTAAATTTCAAATTTAAATCATATATATCATGTTCAAATTTTGTATTTTAAAATAACATTGATACACTATCAAATCTATAATGAATCGTTTCAACTATTCATTGATATATTTGATTAATAT